AGCGGCAGCATCAGCAAAATTTTTAGTTTCACAAATCTTAAGAGTTACATTTAGTCACAAAAAGAGCATAATATTATATTTCCAATGTCTGGTTGTTTTTACAAGTATAATACTATATAATGTTTTGTTTTTTGTGAATCCAGTGTAAAAATATATTTTATTTAGAAACGTCGTGCTTAAATAATATTTGTGTAATTGTTTGCATTATTAAACAAATTAAATAATAGGACCTACCAATTTTAGCTTGTATGTTTCGAATAACACAATATATTCTTTATTTATTTATATCAAATATAAGACTTTATTTTATATAAACACTTTTTCGCGGTGTACGCTTTCTTTAAGTCAAGAGTTTCGCTGGATTTTAGAACATCTCCTTTTACAGAACCGGGTTAAATTCTACGCTTTAATGGCTAAAGACCAAGGGATGAGACAAAAAGGGCAAATAGAGGGGGTTTCGGGGGGTTGGAACCAACGGTGTAAAGTTTCCAGCGGGAAAGCAGGGAGGCTGAACCCACCTACAAGCAAAAAGAAACGTAGGGGGCTACGATAACCCCTTATCTTTGTCAACTGGCGTAGGGCCACTGGAATGTCGGAGGGGTTGGGGCCCTCCACTGGGGATATACATATACATATATATTCCCCCAAGTTGTATTTTTTTAACGTTTTTCATTTCGTTTCGATTCGCTGCCAGTACTGATCGTCGTCTGCTCTTTGTGCATTCCTTTAGTTTGCTTTGCGTCGTCTCTTTGTCGCCTGTTCTCGGCTTTCCGTTCACCGATCCCCCAATTCTCCGCTGCCCAATTCTCCGTTCTACCGTCTACCGTCTACCGTCTCCCGTCTTCTGTCTTTCAAGGCATGCAGTCATCGGCGACGTCGCTGAATTTCATATCAGCCAAAACCAAACCATACCAAAACACCAAAACCAAAACCAAAAAACCAAAACCGAACCCAAGCGAACTGAACCAAACCGATGGTGATTCATCGAAATTAAAAATAAGTGTTTTGTATCTGTATCTCAGCGCTTGTTTCACATTCGCCGCTGTTGTTTTTGTTGTTTTTGCTGTCGCTGATGTTGCTGTTTTGCTCACATTCCACTGCCGACGATAGCTTCACTATTTTCCCTTTGCTTCAGAAATGGAATAGGGCTTTCAGATCGAAGTTATCTATATGAGTTCTAAACTTGATTTAGTTTTAAAATCAGTACTTTTTATGTACAAGCATCTTATTTTGTATGACTTAAATTTCCTGTAAAACAATCCTGAGTATTTGGGGAAAGTCTGAAAACCTTATCTTGAAACCATATATTTTACAAATATCTCAAGATATAATAGGTCTAATAAAAATAAATATCATTTTCACAGTTGTTGTTCTGAATTACAAAGGAATCCAGGAGATATAAACATATTCTGCAAAAAAAGAAAGCCGTTCTTAAACATTTATTCTAAGTAATTTATATTGTAGTAAGAGTACATACAATTTTTTAAAAATATAAAGTTTAGTGTAAGATTTTAAATTGAAACCCCAAATCGTGGGAACTTCAGTAAATGTGAGCTGTGAAAGAGGGCTCTTCCAGGATGAGCCTCCATCCTAGCGCCCAGATTAGTCATAGAACGCATCCTGCTCTCGGTTCAAGGACACCTGTTTCCACATTCCAGGCCGAGCGATCCCTGGCATGCAACATCCGCCATTCGAAGAGCAGGTAGGCAGTCGAGTGTGGTGTGGCTGCTGTGATAACCTTGCCGCGATTTCAGATGGTGGTGCTACTCGCATTGCCATTGCTTTCTAGTCGTAGAGCTAATGGTGGTGCCTCGAATATCCTTCCTTGGTCACCTTGGGCGGCATTCACGAAATGTGTATCCATGACACGCACACACACACACACACATACACTAATGTATCCAGGAGACACACATACGGGTCCGCTGTGGATTAAAATTTCTTCGTTCCTTTTACTTTTTTATGTTCGTAGAATGCATTTCCCTCGGCGAAGGGGGAGCGAAGGCAAGTCGTCCTGTATATGTGTGTGTGTGGATTGGGTGAAGGAGGGGGAGGGGGGCATTTATTTTCGGCATTTGAAGTTAGTCCTTTGAAAAAACGGGGGTTCGAATTCAAAGCGCTAGACCGAACGAATCGCAGCGAAAGGGACAGGAATGGAAATTCGAAGGGTTGCTCGACGTCCTCTTCCCTTCAAGCTTGCCTCAGTGTGTTTGTGTGTGTGTATCTGTGTGTGGAAGGAACACATTTGGATGCCAGACTGCCGTCGAGTCTCAAACTCCCTGTGCGACATTACGGCCAAGTGTAAGCAGCAGCAACATGAGCACAGCAGCAACATCGAATCGATTTTGGAATTCGTCTCGTGGCGAGTGTGTGGAAAATGCTGATAAATGGGAGTTAGACTCGGGACTTGGCCATTCAGGATCCCCCTCGACGGACTTCACTGCCACGGCCATGCTAATGAGACCCCCACAAAAAGGCCTCCCCCCACAAACACAGGGAAAATATGAGCTTCACTTCTGATAAAGTATATCACAAATTTGTTATCTTGTAAGGTTTCTTTAAGTTAACAAAAGCACAATTTGTAGAATTCACTTTTGTGCCCATAAATTAAACTAAATTATGCAGAGCCCTTTGCAATCAATATCAGAGTATTATCTATTTGCAAAAGAAATAAGTAAAGTATTTTGAAATAAATTTAAGAATAATGGATGAGTGTAATAATAGTTTTCCCTAGAAATTACCTTTTATAATTGTAAAGTTGTTTTTGAAAAAATAGTTGTTAGGAGCGGAAGTAAATTTCTAACTAGAGTTTTGATTGATTTCACTTTCAGATCTGAAATGTTCACACGGTTAAATGAATTGAATGAAGATTAACATACAAAATATTGAACGATTTCGCTTTATGTTTTCATTCAAGGTTTGTTTATTCTAATTTAAATCATAAAAAAAATTTAAAAAAAATTGTTTTACTTTGTATTTCCCAGGTTGGTTGATTCAGGTTCTCTTAAACTCCATCCAATTCAATGAAACCATTGTATTATTGTCACCAAAGCTTATCAGGTGAATCTGTGCTGCTTTGCTTTTCTCTGTGTAACAATTGCAGCTGTGCTCTCTGCTAGACGAAAATGCAACTGCAGCACCCCATGAACTAGGTACCCACAGCCCAACAACCCGGCAACCCCCCTTCGCCCAAAGAACAGCCAACGTGACCGATAAGTGATGAGGCCCGTTCGGTGGGTGGTGGCCCATTGGGGGGTGACTCCGTTTGTTTGCCCACGTCGACGCATTGATAAGATAAGCAATAGGCAAGTCGGAAAGTCTGACATCAGTCCCGTGGACCCCACAACCCCCCATAACCCCTCCCAAAACCCCTTCGGTACACCCGTTGTTGTCGTGACTCGACGCTTTCTTACGGCTGCGTTTCAGAAAATTCAAAATTCATAGAATGCAAATGTTGGCTAAACAACATTTTGCCCGGCACACGACCGCGCTCCCAGGTCCAGTCGCATTTCCAGTGTTCAGTGTTCAGTGTTCAGTGTTCAGTCGCAATCGCAGTCGCCAGCTGAGGCACAAACAGAAACAGAAATAGAAACAGAAACAAAAACTAAGACCACACCGATTCAGGTCTCGACCAGGAATCATAAGTGGAAAGGGGCAGTCGGCGAGAGCTTAAGTCAGGTTTTGTGAGTTGAATTTTAAGTAAAACTAACTTAAACGGGCCGCTCCGTCCAGGTTATAGCTCTAGAAATTCCCAACTTTAAACCGGGATTCACATTGAACGAATAAAGGGAAAATTACGGATTATAATTACTTTAATGTTCTATGAGCTCAGAAAAAAGTACCTTCGAAATAGATTCCTCTTATCGATGCGAAAATATTTTAAAACTAAGTCACTTTCTATCAAACTTTTCATGTATTTTTATGACAGTAACGAACAGTTCTAATTTTAGCAGGGTCCAATCTGATGATATCCTAAGGACTTAAAAGACTTAATCCTCCACAATTGTATTGCATGAATCTCGTTGAAGTTCTCTGCGGTTGAGGACATAAAGCTTGTGTTCATTTTATTTAGTCTGGTATAATGAATGTAATTTCAGGTTTTACAACTCTAACAAATACAAATATGTACTAACATTATAATCCAAAACTTTTTAGATTTTTTGGGACCCAGAGTTCTGTTCCTGCCTGGAATTCTTATATTAAAACAAATTATTAATTGCATTCCAATGGATATCTTTAAGGATTTGGATGTCGACAGGAAGGGCTGAATCCTATACAAATCAGAAGTCAAATTCTTCGGTTGCATACCATCAGCCATTTAATCACTTGGATAAATCGGATCTTTGTATTAATACCCGAATCCGAGTTCCAAGTCGGGGGACTAATCTGCTTGGGGCTATCTAAAGCTTTAATTTTGGGATCCAGCGGATTGAATAAAATTTCCGATTGGGTGGTTTCCCCATATACTTTAGCAGGAGTGTGTGTGTCCGTATATAATCGCACACACACACACACAGGCTCTTGACGCATACGCACATTTAATGCAAATTTAAGCAGTTAGCAAGCAAGTAAAACCGTTATGTGTACACAGGGATATGAAGCAGCGCCTATGTGTGTGCGTGTGTTTGTGTATATAAATGCAAGTGTTTGTAAATGCATCGATGCTTATACATAATGCAGGCAATATAAATAATTGCAGTACATAGGCGGTTGGCCAAGAGTGTGTGTGTGTGTGCGTTGCATAACCGCATATGCTATACACGCACATATTTGGTTGTGTGAATGTATTTATATACGTATATATCGGCATCTGCATCTCTGGCTGGCTGCACATTTCACTGCAATTGCATTAGTGCCGGGCCCTTTGTTCATTACAAAATGCAGAAACACACACACACAGGCATGGGCCCGAATAAAATAAATTTCCCACAAAACATTTACGCATTTTGCCGAGCAAGATAAACAGCAGACTCCCAGTGCAATCAATAAAAGCGCTGGCATTTGTTTGATTTTTATACATATTTAATTTATTTTCTCTTCTTCCGCATCGCCAACGTCATCGAATCGAATTTTTTACGGGGGGTTTCGCCTCCTAAAACAGAAATATCAATTGTCGATTAACTTAGATCTAGGGAAAACTTGCAATCGAAACTAAGGTGTTTTTCAGAATCAACATAGTTAATAATATAGTTTGCAAAAGAATTAAGGCATTCAGTATATTGCAGATTAACAAAAGTTCATCGAATCGGGCTCATTTAACTAATCCAAAAACAGAGAATCAGAGGAATCCTAACTTAACATAACATTGTACATATTTATTTAATTTTAATTTATTTAATTTAATCCTCTCGCTCTTTTCGCTTCTTGCTGCTTAAATAAAATTACGTAATTGTTGTTTTAGCATTAATTTTTGTTTGCTTCTTCATGTTTTCTTTTTTTATACAATACATTTTATATCACAATAGAAAAAAGAATTAATTCGCATATTCTTTTCAATCGTTATCTTCTCTTTTTGCTTGCTTACTTATAAATTAAACAATAAAAAATTTACAGAATTTTCTTTAACGTTTGTGTTTTGTGTGTTTGTGTATGGGTTTTGGGTGAGTTTTTTTTTTGCTATTAAACAAGGTTGTTTGTTTTTTATGTTTTTATAACTTTTGTTAATGGTTATTCTCCCCTCTTTTTCGTTATTTGACTAATTGTGGCTTGACAAATGTTATGAACTAAGTATTAAGTTTACGCGCTTTCTTTAGGTGTCTACTATTAACATTGTTTTTTGCTTAAGTTTTCGTTACTTTTTGTTTACGTTTTAATCAACTAAATTAAACGGCATATCTAACGACGCTGTACCAAACAAATTCGCAACGAAAGACGAGAAGAAAACGCCGAGGCACAAAAACAAAAAAGATACAAACACAGAAAAATATAAAGGGAGCACAGCACAAAGCAAGAAAAATGCGGTGGAGAGCGACAAAAGAGCGGAGAGTCAAGTCGCCAGTGCTTTAATTCCCCACACTCCCTCTGTTTTTTTCTTTTGCTTTGTTGTTTTATCGTTGCTGCTGTAGTTGTTGTTGCCTTTGCTGTTGTTGTTGCTGTGGCAATGGAGGACGCTGGCTTTTGTAGCCGAAGCGTGAATTAAAATAAACTATTTAAATTTATTTGCATCTGCTTAACTGCGGCCTGCATTGCACAAACACTCACACACACACATGCGTGTTTGGGTGTGTGTGCTGCCCACTCTCCTTGCTCCCTGGTCCCCCCACCCCCTCTCCTGCTTCTTATCGCGCGTCTCCATCGCCATGCACTTTGTTGCTGTCGGCCATAGCTGCATTTGTTGTTGCCTGCTGTTTCTTTTTTTTTCTCTCTTTTTTTTTTTATCGCTGCGTGCGTGTAAGCCGACGCCAGCGGCATCTCCCCTCTCTTTCTCTCTCTGCCCCCTAGGAACTCAACAAAATACAACGCAGCAGAGCGAGTTCCATGAACAGTGCTGCCTGCTTTTCAACCGAAAAATAGCTCTAGAGTAAGTTGATTTCTAACTAAAGCTGATTTAAATGAGTCATAGTCTTAGCTGATTTAAAAATTAAAATTTCGGTACAGTCATTTTCATAAAGTAGAATAACACAAGGAAGTCCCTTTGACACAAGCTAATTTTCATTTTTTTTTTTAAATATTTTTTTTATCGACAGGGGTTAGATAGAAGCTATTTTATATATATCGGCTATATACTCTCTTCTTCTGGAACATAAAAATTGTTCTAACACCTTATCCAGGTGAGTGGGCAAATTATTAAATGAAATTTCAGGTCGTGTTAAAAGGGCTTAACTAGTCAAGATTTCTAAATACCCATATAAACGTAAAAATCTGAAGAACTGAAACGTGAGTCTTTAAAGTTTCAAAATCTGTATGAGAAAAAATATTTAACTTTATCAATCTGCCATAAAAGTTGAGATAGCTATAAACCCTCTAAGCTGGCAGCACTCTCTCCCGACATCGTCTGTCTCTGTCCCCCCTTTCCCCAACTCCGCCCGCTCGCCTTGCTTGCTTGCGTGTGTGTTTTACTGTGTGTGTGCCTCATTGTTTGCTTTTTGTTGTTGCTGCGCTGTTGTTTTGTGCCTCTCTGCTTCGCTTCTCGATTCGTACGAAAAAATGTAGTACAGCGTGTGGTATGGCAAACGAAAGCTATGAGTTCTCAGTGTATCTTGTCTGCTCCGCCTTCCGTCTCTTTCCCGCCCTGAACCTATGGTTGGGAATTATAAGAGCCGCGAGCGGCCTCCTCCGCCGCGCAGGCGTTGCAATCATGGTGGACGCATCACCTGACCAGCCAGAGGCCCAAATTCAGCTTCTGCAGCTTGGGCAGCTTCATGATGATGTCGATGCCCTTGGAACTGAGTTGCGTGCAGCCATAGAGATCGATGGTCTTGAGATTGGTCAGATCCTCGGCCAGGGTTTGCAGGCCCTTATCCGTAATCCGGCTGCACTGTCCGATATTCAGGTTCTCCAACTCGTGCAGCGCCTTGGCGATCTTCAGCATTCCATGATCGGTGATCTGGCACTGGTTCAGGGATAGGGATCTCAACCGATAGAGTCCCTGGGCGATGTGCGTCAGTGCCTGATCGCTGATCTTGTCGCAGAAACTGACGTCCAGTGAGTTGATACCGCTGCCGCCCTCCGTAAGATAGGCCATTCCGATATCTGAGATATTATCGCAGGAGCGCAGGTTCAGTTGCTCCAGCTTGGGCATTCGTGCCAGGTGCTTCAGACCACTGTCCGTTACCGAGACGCAGAAGCTAAGGTTGATCGATTTCAGCGAGGTCAGACCCTGGGCAATGTGGCCCAGAGCCTCGTCACTCAACCTCTGGCAATCCTGCAGGCCCAAATACTCCAACTGCAGGTTGCCCTCGGCTGTTTCCCGGGAGAAACCCGCCAGGTGACCGATGCCCTGGTCACTGATGTGCCAGCAGGAGCGCAGATTCAGGTGCTTAAGCTTCTTCAGGCCCCACGCTATCAGCAGGAGTCCAGTGTTCGTAATGTTACAGCATCCGCCCAGTTCGAGGGTCTCCAGGTTCCTCAGGTGCTGTGCAATCCGGCCGAGACTCGTGTCCGTGATCTGTTTGCAGAGCGAGAGATCCAGTGTCTTGAGGTTGGGCAGGTCCACGCTGAAGGCATGGCCCAAGTTCATGTCGGCCACGTTGAAGCAGCCACTCAAATTCAGCGAGGTGAGAGCTGGTACTCCCAAAACTAGATCCTTAAGGGAGCGTCGCAGCGAGAGGATCTGCACCTTCTTGATGCCCCGCTTGACGAGGCAACTGAACAGACTTGGACTGGAGCGTTTCAGGTGCAACTTGGCCTCGACGCCCTTCCATACGCTCTTGGCGTACGCCGCATCCCGCCAGGCGGTACACACCTGGGCGGCCCTGCCCAAATCCCTAACAGGCAGATGCTCGAAAATCATTTCGAGCAGTTCGGGGAACAGATTGCTGATGTGGGTGCCCTCCTCCAGCGGAGATGGACTCTCGGGCGTTGCGGGCCTCTGCTGCAGGTGGTGATGATGATGGTGGTGGTGGTGGTGATGCTGGGCATGGGCTGCTGCCGCTGCTGCTGCTGCCGCCGCAGCTGCGGCCTGCTGCAAGTACAAGGCCGGCGGAAGGGTTTGTAATTGATGATGGGGCGGCCGGTGGTGCAGGGCGTAGGGCGTGAAGCGCAGCAGGTGGTGGTGGGTGGTGGGGGCCCCGGTCCGCGTCAGACCGGGCAGCTCAGTCTGTTGGTATAGTTCATCCATGGCCCAGGTGGGCGCCGCTCCTCCTCCGCCCACCGATCCTGCTCCTCCGCCGCTGGTGGCCGCTCCCCCATTGCTGCCAGATCCACCGCAGTGGCTATTCAAATTGTTCAACACCGCGATTGTCTGGTGATGGAAGGGCAGCAATTCCGTATTGGTGGCCATGTCCTCCTCTTTCTTGATACACTTGGCTTTTCTGGCTACGCTGCTACTTTGGGTCTACTCTTTTGATATTAATTTTCTATATAAGCTGCATTTTACTGTTTGTATGCTTAGTTGAAGACTAGTTGTGTTCACTGTGGTTCACTCGCGATGCACTTTAGGTTGAGAGCACACTGTGTCGGGTGGTTAGTTAGTGGAAGTCCCAAGTCTCTTTATTCAGTATTTATTCTTCCGACCGAGACAGGGGCGATGTGCGCGAACCGGACGACGACGAAAAACTCAACTCGGAACGCCAAGTTGCCTTGCTTTTAGCCTGAGTTGGAGAGAAGCGCGAGAAAACGAGAAAGAGAGCGAGAGACAGCGAGGGAGGATTTATCTTTATCTGAGCGTATTCAGCCATAAGGTTTTCCTTGCAGACCAGGTAGCGAACTGCGCTTTCTCTCTCGCCTGCACTCACAAAATTTGTTTACCAAATAATGGAAAATTCGTTGATTATTTATATCTTTAAAAATTTAAGATAAAATGTGCCCCAAATCAAAAATATTATTATAAATACAATAAAAGTCAACAAACATTTTTTGTGCAAGGTAATTCTTTAATATTTTTTAAATTCTATCACAAACTATAGATGATTCCTTACAAGCAGGTGCTTTAAAACATTTCAGGCCCATTCCCTGTTATTTACAATGCACAAATTATTAACCATTTGATCTTGATTAAGGCCGATTTGTTAAATTTTAAAACGACTTAATAGTTTATTTTTGCAGTGTATGCTCTCTGCCTTTTTGCCTCTTCAGCTGAATGCTGAGTCAACAGCGATTTTCGGTCAGTTTGGCTTGTTAAAGCTAGGTTTTAGGTGTGGGTGGAATTAAATGCAGTATTGGGTGAACGTTTTTAAAAATATAAAACCGATTAGGTTGTGTTAGAACTGAGGTCATAAAGATCTCGGGTTCACTTTCAAAAACAGCCTCTGACATCCGTTTGGATCAGGTGTTTTCTTCTACTTTTGCATATGCGATTTATCTTTACCTTCCTTTTTACCTCAGCTTTCTCATCACTAGCAAAGAGACTGCGAGAATTGAATGTTAGGAGAGAAGGAAAGAGTGTGAGTCAACGAGAGCGACTAATGCCGTTTGCAAGACCTGGCTTGGATTTATCTTTTGGTTTTTGGCTCCAGCTCCGCTCCATGTTTCAGGTTATTCTTTGACTCCCCTCCTCCGAGCCAAACTCAATGCCAAACTCCGACGCATTTGTTGTTTCTGCTGCCGCTGCATTCCGAAGTCGAGCAGGTACCTGTCTTCTCTTCTCTCTCCCTCTCTTTTATCCACCTCTCTCTATCTATCGCATCTGTGTGAGTGCGATCGCTGTTGGCTACCTGCGAACGCAACAACAACACAATCCCGGTTTCCAGGAAAATATTAACGATAACTCCAAAAAAGAAGAAATTACGTTGCCGCACACAGAAACAGATTGGGATGCACAAATCCAACGGATGGCACAACAATAGCGAACTCATTGTTATTGATACTAGGAAAGCCATGCACATGCACTCTCTCCTGTGCATTTGCCCCCTAAAAAAGGAAAACGCCGCCGCCGTCTTCTTTGCCTTATAAAAAATAAAAGAAAAGGGACAGGAGGGAACAGGATCGAAACCGAGAAAATGGCCTAGGATCTGGGAAAATCTGAGTCTCTACCTGACCCCGAACGCTCACACCCGCACCCTAGGGCACACACACAGCGATTTTAGCATCCTGGAGTTGACGAGGGTTTGCTGCACTGGGCAAAAATGCTTTCTCTAAATGAAGATGAGCTAGGATATATTAATCTCACTCTGTGCTTTGATATTAAAATCAAAAATAAGTTAAGAAGGCCACTGTAGTAGGGGAGAGTGGGGTAATGTCGTCAGTGGGGCAAAGTCGTCACTCGCTATTATCTTAAAAAATATAAGGGCTACCAACCCAATTTTTTTAGCGTAAGTGTATTGCACTATTCCTACATTACCGACGGAGTTTGGTAGAATTATAGGTTATGTGTAATTATTTATTCATCAGAAAGTGTTTCGGAGCCTCAAAAGTAATTTTTCTCCGGCGCAGAACTTTTTTTCTTCCAAGTACATTTTCGATCAAAGAAGTATAAAGGTAAGTTATTATTGTTGAGAAAGGTTTGGCGAACACGAGATGGTAGGTTGTGTAACAGCTGATTCGAGTTTCGATTTGTTATTCATGTTTTTATCAAAAAATGTCGCGTGGGGCATTGTCGTCACTCAACGGGTGGGGCAAAGTCGTCACTGTATTATCTCAGACTGAAATACAAACTCGTATCAATTTATTATTGTTTTGTGATTGTTTATGTAAAGTATTAAATATAAAATATAATTTCTCCAAAATGTTCTTAAAAAAAAATAAAATTCTAAAAAAGAGGTCGCCCAAAGAAAAATCTTTAAGAAATTCTGATTTTTGCTTTCTATCCTTCACTTAGATCTGAATGTGTCAAATTTTTGCAAAAAATAGGAATAGTGTTCCACTTTTTTATATGTATGAATATCAATAAATGTGTGTTTGACAAGTTGAAATAGTTTTGTGCACATGGGTACCTATATTTGCATTCATTATTCTATGTGACGACTTTGCCCCAGGGGGGTGACGACTTTGCCCCACGATTTTTCAATTTTCCAATTTTGCCTTCTTTCAGATAACAGTTTCGTATTAATAAACAAGTGAGAGGATGTCCGAAATACTTACTGCATTTAATAGCCAGATCTTTTCCGAATCCAACCATGTATATTACATGATAAAAATAAGTTATTTTATCAACAAATTACGCAATTAAAAAAAAAGTGACGACAATGCCCCACTCTCCCCTATACAAAAATTTAATGAAGCAACAAGAAGTACATTTCTTTTTAACCTTACTGCGACCTTCCTGCTTTGCACCTTCTCTTCTTTATATTCAACTAAATCTGTTATAATTGTATGTTTCTATTTTGGTACATGTAAATAAATAAGCTTAAGAGTTTTAGAATATTTATTTTGAAAAAAAAAAATCACTTATCATAAGGTGAATACCAAAGGCCTGTTTACACTTTTTTACTTTTCAAGTAAACAATTTATTGGTTCCGTAAAAATGATATTCATGTTCATAATGGTAAACACAACTCAAACAATATTCTTCCAGTGCAAGAAAAGAGCCTGCGTAGATTCCCTGGGCCTCCTGCGGAGGACTCTCGCAGTCGTACAGTCATTATCCTGGCGCGCAGAAGTGCAAGGCGTGCGTCCCTCCAACCCTCCTGCCTCTCCCCTCTCCTTCTCCTTCCCCCGCCCTCGAGCCTCGTCCGTTGAATCTTGTGCTTCTTCTACCTGTCAAACCGGTTTGGCCAAAAAGGGCCAATCTCTTCCTCTATCAGTCTTTTGGACGTGTCAAGGCGGCCATCGAAAATAAAAATAATCTCTTCGCTGGAAGTCTGCATCGGCCACAGTCCTCTGAAAATATAGTGCGGCACATATAATAATCGATTGGTTTTCGGCCGGCTCTCCCTCGTCATCTTGGCTCTTCTTTTCTTTATTTTCCTTTTTTTTTTTTTTTTTTTTTTTTGCGCATTGCGTACTATGATCAAGATCATTAAAGCTGCCGCTGGGCTCACAGGTAGAAGTTGAGGCCAACGGAAAAGGTGCAACGCGCGCAGACGCAGTGCAAACGGGCCAAATGCAATCTTCGTGGGCAGATGAGGCTCTACCATGGTTACCATGGGCGGAGGGAAGATGCCCACGCAGACGGTTCGATCGGTTTTGGGCCAGCCCAGCGAATTGAATCTGCATAGCTACTTGTCTTATCTGCCGACTGCAGATACAAGATACCCGATTAATCTGCATATCCGCGCATGGGCACATCTGCCACTTGATGTCTTAACTCCACATTACCACTAAATAATTGATTAGGCCAAGTTCGGAACTTTATTAAAGTAAAGGCGAGATCAAATAAAGATTTACGCCTGTCATTTCAGATAGGCAGATGATTCCTAACAAATCAACATTTATCGTTGGTACATGGATTTTTATTGGTCTTTCGGAAGTTTACAAGATTATCCTAAAGTATGTATAAGAAAAATTAATAAGTTTATTTTCTTTTTTTGCAATAAATCTAACAACCAAACAAAACTTTAGATTATAGTGAATGTTCTATTCTGAAGGATTCCGAGAGCTTTTCAATTCACAACCAAGATGCGGATTCAGATCCATCCAGATTGAGTCAGTTGCGAGTGTGCCAATCAAGGAAATGAAACACTAAACAAAAGGCGCCGCCATCAAGTCCAATTGATGTTATCGTCAACTCTGACCAATTTGTGGTCTGCCCGCATCTTTTCGAGCTCGCATCTCTTCTTAGTTTGAACTTCTTGGCTGGCAGAAGGGTGTAATCCAGTGGATAGATGCTGGATCTTGGACACCGGCATCAAAAACGACGTCAAGCTGTGACAGATTTGTTTCAGAACATCACATAATTTGCCTTTAATCGCGCTTTGAGCAAATGTAATTTGTGATCGAAGAGATTGCCCTCATATAAAAAAAAAACAACACACAAAATAAAATGAACGAATATTTTCTTTGGGGGTACACACGATTAGCTCTAAAACATTCATTTGTCACGCTTTTCAAGATCATACACCCACAATCTTATCGGCGATCTTAAAACCATCTTTTAAAGTCCCCATTTCAAGGGAATAGCTGGGAATTCAAAATCCTAGGGCGTGTCCTTAGGATTCAAGTGGATTCTTTTGAGAAGGGGACACACATTTTTAGGGTCCCGTTGGGAATTAACACTTGTCCAGCTCTCGGAACGACTTCCACTTCCACATTCTTATGAGCAGCAGATCTTTGTAAACTGAAACCGGATTGAGAGGTCATGAAACAATCTCGAGGGTTGTCTCAAGTGCAAAGTTCCGCTGCATTTCAATGAGATTTCAGGCGAAGTATGTAGATATCCGCAAAGCGATCAAGGACCGTTACAGGAAAGATATCCTTAAAAGTAAAAAATTAAGTGTTACCAGGAAACGCAAGTAGGATCTCAGTTAAAATATCCTTCAAGTTTCCAAAAAAAGTCATATGAGAAAACACATGTTACTCAACAGATGCGTTTTAAATCACTTTGAAATAAAATCTAAAAAATTGCAAATCAAAAGACATATTTTATCCACATATATGTAAAATGTTCCTTTATTGTTTATGTAATTTTAAATGCTATATGTATATATCTAGATATAGTATTTATATCGTAAGTAAATGTCAGTTATTATTTTTGCTTTTGAAAAAGTTCGTTTATGGCATTACGCACTAAAAACTAAATGTCCGCTTCGTTTTTGGGGTTGGTTGTTCTGTTCGTTCTTAAAATTCGTTTACGCTATGACTTTAAAATACTCCCGATACACAACTCTAGAAACTAGATGCTAATTATTAAAACCCAGACCCAACTATGCTTCTTCTATATGTATATGGCTACGGAAGGGCAGTTCAACTCAAGCAAGTTGGATTCGATATTAGGATTAGGAGTATGTTGTATATATATATAATATATATATGTACATGCCGGGCCGATTCGGAGCGGCTAGCAAGGAAGTGGATTTGTGTGAGTGTATGCTAAAGCATATTTTGATTTGATTTGATACATGCGCGGTTCTAGGTGCTATATGATCTCTATATAGGTAAATGTAATGCATATGTGTTTTTAGTATTGTTTAAACGATTCGTTGACTCTAGTCCCCATGGATATTTCGAACATATCCACCGACTGTTTGCTCGATCCGAAACACTTCTCCACCATCCCACCTTTTCCCGATTCAACTCACGATCGAGGGTTTAAGTAGAAAAGTGTTTGGGACTCTTCGGCAAGCCGAACTCTCTGAGCGTTTCTCTCCTCCGTTCCGATTCGATTTGATTTGATGATATATTCATTTTGCATTTCTAATGTGTTACGTGCCTAGGTTCTAAATTATGCTATATACTCTCCCAAAAAAATCTCCGTCTGCGTGGGGATTACCAACAAACATTCCTTGTTGTTCGAACGCAATGAACAAAAAAACGCTACTCAAAATCAGAAAACCATAAATATAAAAAATGATTAAAATACTATAATGTATAATGGGGTTATATCACAGGTACATTTTAGACTTTTTCAAAATGCAAGATTGTAGAAAACATCGTGTCATGGAGGGATCTGCACAGGGACAGGACAACGGAACGGACAACTGGCTTCTAGTTCTGTTGGCCGTGTGCAGCTCCTCAACTCGTCTAAATGCTATGTAAGTAGTTTTGTGTAGTGTGTCGTTTAGTATGTATCTATATATCTATATATTCACTGGGTCAATGAAGTATATTATTCCTTGTTATAGAAAAGCACTAACCATTAAACATTGCAACTGCCGTTTCACTTGTCCCCCGAAACTCTTAACTCCCTAACTTCCCACCGAGTTCGAGTCCGGGGGCAAGTGCTCGATTGTGATCGTAGATATGAAAGAGTTTTTGCATACAAGTATATCGTAATCAGTATCGTTATTGTATCGCCTATCAAGCCTATTGACTAGGACCGATTCAAAAGCCCCAAAACATGCTGTACAATTGTGTGTACTTTGGTTCTAACTACATGCGTCGTGAGTCACCATTATGTTTGTTGGTTTCTTACTTTGTGTACTTGCTATGGCCTGATCTGTTCTATCCTCATCTATAAGTTCATTTGAGTACGTATTTTAATGAAGTTCTGCTGGGACACAGATCCCTGCTTTATAGTGTGATTACTGTCTCCTCGCGTTTCCGTGAAGCAATTTCTATCGTACAGCACTCGCGTCTCTTAAGTACAAAGGTTTTTTTTTCGATTCCCAACGGGAGGGGGGAACATTTCTGTGGTGCTTGGATGGGGGAGCACTGTGCCTGTCATCTGTGAGTCTGTCTCTACGCTGGTAGACGTGATAATGGAAAATTCGTAATTGCTAAAGCTGCACAATGCCCCCATGATTGTGACAAGTGTGGTTTCTGTGTAACTGAGTGTTAAGCACTAGATTTCACAACAACATAATTGCTTAGAAGTTGTTGTAGTGAATTCCAGGCTTCAGCCAGAAACTTTGAGTTGACCCAGTCGGCAGACCGTTTCGATATGAAGAGTTAGACTAGATGCTATCTTTAATACTAATCCACCCGGCTGGTGAGTCGCGCACAACACTTCGTCCTTAGGTGTTCTTAGCAGTCAGTTGACGGGGCGCCGGTTCGCCCGCCTCGGCGTAAAGACAGGATCCCTCGCTGCAGGAGCAGGTGTCGCCCTCGCGGGAACTGTTGCAGCAGTCGCTGGTGTACTGCCGCTGCTCGTACTCCGCCAGCATGTTCTCGTTCTCGCTCTCCAGGCACGGCTGCACCGCCGGTCCCCGTCGTCGGTGGTGGCCACCGCTCCGCTTGCCGCTGCTGCCGTGCTCCTCCAGCTGCAGCTGCTGCGACCTCTTGTGACCCTGCGAGGTTCGCGAGTGATCCGAGCACTCCGAGGAGCACTGGTAGATCTGGTGGCTGGAGTTGGTCGGGTGCATGGGGTGCACCGGCTGGTACCAGCCCTCGGGAACGGGTACGGGAATCGGCGGTGGTGGCTGCATCGGCGAGGGCGTGGCCAGGGCATCGCAGCTGTTGCAGGCGCGACTCTGGCCACATCGTGCCGCATTCAGTCCCGCCTGGTACTCGCTGGATGCATGTCGCTGGGTGCCGAATGGCAGGTGGTTGGGCGGCACCCCTCCGCCGGGAGTCGCGGTGGCAAAGTAGGCCGGCAGCTGCGGCGGGTGCTGATTGGTGGGCGTAATCTGGTAGCGGTTCTGGGCACCGCCAGCCACCGCCGACAGCGGGTTGCTGTACACGTTCTCCGGAGGACAGGCGACGGCGTATTGCGGCGAGACGCCCCAGGCGGAAAAGCCACCAGAGGAACTGCTGTGTATCGAAGCGTTCAGAATGCTGCAAAGGAAATGGAAGCCTTAGTTTCAGAGCTCACAAAATGTTGTGTTAAATGTAGATAGCAAGCACCACTTTATATAAACAAAAAGTTTAACTATTAAAAAGAATTGTTTTTGAACTTGAAAATATAATAGGAGTTCTATGCGATTGATACAAAATATAACATAATATTAGGTACATATTAAATATCATAACTTTATGAGCAATCACTTTAAGCAAAACAAATAAACTCTTACCTTTGGTTTGTGGAAATGCCGGAGCCAGCACTTTTGGAACTCTTCCGCGAGGATTCCGGGGATCCCTGCGTGTATCCATAGGTTGAGGACGGCGGTGGGTGTTCTGGTGGCGGTGGTAGGAACTCAGACCAGTTGATCGGTTCAACTGGGTACTGCAAGAAGTTGGATTTCACAACAGGCACCGCTGGTGCCTGGCCGGCAAATGCATCCGAATAGGGCGAATGAGTTCCCGAATCTTTGTCGGCACTCAAGGATGTAGCCTTGGTGCAGGTTTCACTTGAGGAAGTGCCAACAATCATGGTAGTGGCATATGGTGTAGGATTATCGGGACTCTGCAAGAATAATTGATGTTAGTAGTTGTAATGTTGGTAAAAATGTTTGATGAACTCACCTTGCGACAGTTGTAGAAAGTGGTAAGGTTTCGGGTGTCTACTTCAGCATAATCGGTTCCTCCATCGGAGTTATTGTAGTTAGACTGACTGCTATTTACGTGGGACAGTAACTTTGATTCGCTCAACCCGGAATCCTTATCCGTATCTGCAGTTCGCCAGCCACGATGCTGGTCTATCCACAAGCAGTCCTTGCTATTGATGTTCAGTGCGGTTATTTCGTTGTCGCTGACCACTGAAAAAGTATTTTAAAAACGTTACATAAGTTATATATAATCAGATTTGACTTATAACAATTTTTTTAGTTTAAATTAAACCTGGCTTTAGTTTAATGTACATTGATATCTTTTAAATTGTGACGGGATAGTTATAAGCAAACTAAACACTTACCACTTAAGTGCCCCAATTCCTTGGTCATTTGGTGCTTTCTTTTGAAGTAAACCATGGATATAGCCGCCGAGATTACCAGTACTAAGAGCACTATGAAGACCAGCACCATTAGCCAAGGACCAGAAAGGTAATCCGTGGTCTTTCTGTGGGTGGTGGGATTGATGTCACCGGTGGGTAAATTGCCATTGCTGTGATAGGTGAGATCCTGACCCTCATGGCGGCCATCGTGAGTTCCGCTGGGATGAGCCCTTGGCGGGTGCACATGGTGGGTGGGGTCCATGAAGAGGGATATCTGGGGATTTCAATAACGATTATAATGGGCTCAAGTGTTAAAAAATATAGTATTCACTCACCGGTTTGGAGTAGGGTCCATCTCCTGCTTTGGTGAAGGAGTTTAATCGCACACTATATACGGCTCCAGTGGTTAAATTATTCAGAAGCACAGAGGTGGTGGTGGCATTGAGGGTCATGTTGGCCAGAACCTTCATGGTATTCCCGGCACTGACCTCGATTTTGTAGCCATACAGATTGCCATTGTGGTGTTGTGCTGGTGGTGGAGTCCAACGCACCCAGCCAGCGGTTTGATTATACATGCCAATTTGTATGTTATCCGGTGGAGCAGAGGGAACTATAAACGGAAATATATTAGTAATCAAATTGAAGTAAGTAATATTAGAAAACCTTACCATCTTCATAGGTTAAAGCCACCTTGGAGTTACTGGGCTGTCCCTCAATGGTTTCGAAGAAAGGTGTTAGGAAGAACTCATATTTGGTGTACTTTTTAAGATTTCCAACCACGAAAGATTCCGAAGAAACATCTTTAACAGTAATCGAGTGATACTGTGCTGATGGTAAACTGGCATCCTTATAGTGAATACGCAGACCCTAAAATAAAGTATAATAAAAAGTTAAGCTATGTTTTTGTAAATATTTATTTAATAATGCTTACCTCCACGTATTTTTCATCTGAGCTCACATGAAGCAGCCAATCTAGACGAACAGCACTGGCATTAATAGCCGAGGCATCTATAAGCTCCACAGACTGTTTGGAAAGGGATAAAGTTAAAATTAATCCATTTTAGCAGTAATATTCACTTACCTTTCCAGTCAGCAAAGTTCGAGCTGCTGACAAATCATTTGCAGAAGCTGCATCGAAATCCTCCTCAATGGTTTTTATAGCATTGGATAAGCCGGAAGGAACAGATATACCCTGAGTATTTTCAGCTCTTACAAGAAAGACATAAGAAGAGCCAGGGTTGAGATCCGAGATCTGCAAGAAAGTCAAACAAAAAGTTAGCCAACGGCAAGTTAAATTATTTACAGCCAATCTTACAGTAACTTGAGTATCGCCCACTCGATGGGCAGCCACAATCCAACCAGTTTGCAGATCCGGACTGAAGTACTCAACAGTGTATCTGCAATAAAAAAAATCAAACATGATGATGATCTCATAGGTGGAAAGGGTGTGCCGTCACAACTTACCCAATGATTGGTCCCACGGCGCCAGGTTTCTCTTGGCTTTTGGCCCAACGAAGAGTGATGCTGGTGCGGCTGACATTCAGGACTTTTGGTGTCCCAGGAGGAGCAGGATACGTGCTAGGATCTGCAGCTCGATGGAGAGAGGTGGAGCCTGCTTTATCGACCTAAAAGGAAAGAGATTTCTCGATTAAGAACTGAGTAACTATAGGTTTTATTTCTTAACTAACCGTTAAGGTAGCTGCCCAGGAAGTTTCTCCTCGTTCGGCAGATGCAGTACAGGTGTACGTTCCAGAATCACTTAGCTGAAGATCTGTAACAAAAATCCAATTATTAAATAAGTTAAAATATAGAATATGAGTTTAAATTACCATCTAATCTCAGTGAGCTGCCTTGTATAATACTGTAACGACCGCCCGTTTGCACGGCATGTCCATTGTGGAACCATTTGATGCGGGGACTGGGATTTCCCATGGCACGGCAGGGCAAAGTAGCCACCGATCCTTTGGGAAGTGTTTGATTGGCAGGTCCAATTTGAATTATAGGCGGTGGTCGCTCATCCACCGTGCTGACCTGCAGGAAAACTCGAACGGTGGAGGAATCCACGACACTGAATGCGGAGCACACATAGAAGCCTTCGTCCTCCTGTCGCACATCCGTGATTTGTAGAGTTCCATCCGCAGCCACATGCTGTCTTCCGTGTGAGCTATTGGGAAACATGAGCGTGGAAACTCCCTCCTTGGTCCAGAAAACAGAAGGCGGTGGGTTGCCGGAAGCCATGCAAGGCAGCTGGACAACGCCATTTAGTCCCACTTTCTTGTTGCTTGGACGTTTGGTGAAGTTGGGAGGGGCTTTAATAAAAAGGAGGTTTTCAAATTAAATTAAGATACAATGAGGAAGAATAATATTTCTTACCATGCACTGTGAGCGAAGCTCTGGCGCTAATCTGACCCACATTGTTGTGCGCCTCGCAGACGTAGGTGCCTTCATCGCTGGGAGTTATGTTAGAAATCTCCAGACTCTTTCCGTCATGGAGAATACGAGCTCTGGATACGGGAATATTGCCCTCCTCCTTTTTCCACAGCACTTTCGGTGGGGGATCCCCGCCCACGGAGCAGTGGAAAGTGGCAGTTTGGCCGAACAACATCACCTGATCCTTGGGCTCCTTCATGAAGTACGGCTTGACCTGGACAATCAGCTTGGCGTAGCTGGACTCCCGGGTGCCCACCAGGTTCTGGGCAATGCACTTGTAGTTGCCCTCGTCGATGGGCTCCACATTGCTGATGAGCAGGTTGCCACCGTCCACGATTCGAACGCGTGAGCTGGCGCCAAACGACATGGCTTTCAGGTCGTCCAGGGGAACGCCGTCCTAGGAGCACAAAAAAAGCGGTTTAGCCAGTGAAATTCGCCTGAATTTTGGTGTCTGGTTTTGGGAACCCACCTTCATCCAAATGAGCGTTGGCTCTGGAATGCCTTTGGGCGGCCCACACTCGAGCAAAGCCGTCTCGCCTTTGGCCACTCGCGTGTCTTTGGGCTCCACGCGAAAATCGTCGCGCAAAACTGGCAACGATATAAAAAATTAACACAAAATAATCGGAGACAAAGCCTGGCCTGTGTGGGCAGACAAGTTGCAGACTTGAGTGGAGTGGAGCTGAGCGACTTACCAGCTATCTGGAGCGAGGCATGGCGACTAACGGCCTGGCCCACTCGGTTCTTGGCCACGCACCAGTACTCGCCGCCGTCCTGCTCCTTCTTGCCCTGCATCGTCCTGTAGAAGAAGAGGGCGCCGTCCTTGAACTGGACGCGGTGCGATTTCTTTTCGTTCGTGCTGACGGGCTCGCCATCCTGAAAGTGGAAGGGAAGGGAAGAACGGGCCAAATTTAGTTGCGATTCGGTAAGGTTTAGTGGTTACACTGGGAAAACTGAAAGAGCTTATTATTTTGAAATATGAATTTTTGAATTTGTTATTAACTCTTCTAAGTATAAATGTCATTGAATTGTTATGTACCAAACTCTAAAACTTATTGGTCATTTGACACAATAAAATTAAACATTGTAAAAATTTAAATATATTATTAAGTGACAATTTTCATATTAGCTAGAAAAAGTAAAAGAGCTATGAAAATAAACTTCAGCTTCTTAGGATTGTTCTTTGATATTAAAATGTTTTAAAAATAAAATGATCAAACTTTATTTATTATTTTGTAAGGACATGAAAAAAATCTGTATGTTATAAACCAAATTAAAATTTTAATTTGATGACTAATCATATCATTTTAATCGGAGTTGTTGAACTTGGAAATTTCGTTTTGATAATTTAAATATATAAATTCCTTTGAATTTATTGCTAAATGAACTTATTGATCCCGAGAATTCGTTATCTGAAAAATATGCCACAAGTTCTGGGCGAATAAATGAAGGTCTCTCATTTAGAAACTATTTATAAAGAAATACTGTTTTGTAAGTGTAATTCATTGTGTGTGGTTCGGGTTAGAAAAGTATGTTGAGGGTACCTTAAACCACTCGATTGTGGGTTCCGGCTTGCCCTCCACTTTGCAGTTGAGTGTGGCGGGCTCATTCTTTTTGACCACCAGATCCGTGGGATGTTCGATGATGCGGGGCGATTGGTACTGGGCTGCAATAAGGGGTTAATGCGGTGTGTGGGGTTAGCCAGTTGCTGATTTACTGAGGGAATTAATCCCCGAAAGGAGTGCGAGATTTACCTCTGACAGCTGGCAGGCCAACGGAGGCCACCAGGATGAGTAGCAGCCACGGCAGGAGCAACATCCTGCTGCTCCTCCGCCAGCAAAATGGGTTAATAGTAGTGCTCGTGCTCCAGGCGATGGCGTGTTTTTCGGGTTTCATAGGATGATGCATTTTATGATGGTGCTGTTGCGATGACTTTACAGATGACCCAAAACAGCGGTGATCATCGTGGCGTTTTCTTTTTTTTGTTGTTTGTGTTCTTTGTATTTTTATTTGGGATCCTATAGGATGATATGTGGATATGTATGGGTTAACGAAATGTGGGCAGCTGTTAGGATGATTGGTAAGGCGTGGCAGCAGCGCGTTTTTAGCCCCCGAGGCTTTGCGGGGTTTACTTGCTTTTTATCTGTCCAAAAATTCGAAATTATTTCTCGCCTGCTCCACTTACGCTTGCATTTCCATGCGATAAGCACTCACACTCAAACACTCACACCCACGCACACGCACACACACACATACATATGCATATGTCTATGCAGGTTTTCCATTAATTTTATTTCCGTATTTATCTCTCTTTGTGTTTATCTCCCATTCGAAGTGGCCCGAAAATTTACAATCCAAATTCTGATTCGGATTCGGAGTTTGATTTCACGTTCTCACACTTTCTTTGTAACGCTTTTTATTGAGTTTTTAGTTTTTTGCTTTTTTACGAGTGTTATTTTTTTTTTTTTTGGTTCGGGGGTTTCATTAATCAGCCGCGCAGTGTAAGTTTTGTTGGTATTTATTCGTCGATTGCTCGCTTTTCGGGGTTGTTTTCTCAGCAGCTCTCCTCGCGCACATTTTCCGTATTTCCCGAACGAAATTTCTTTTTGGTAAAATTACAAGAACAAGAACCCAACTGCCACTCCCCCCTCTCACTCTCACTCGCACTGTGGCACTCACACCCTTTCTCGCTCGCACTCACTGACCGTTCCTGGGACTTCCCCCGTTCCGCTTTGTTGTTGTATCTATAACAGTGTGTTGTATCTATAACTCCTTGTAATATTTTCGTTACATCCGCAGCTGCACTTTTGTAGTCCCCCAAATGTTGGATCTATCTCGATCTTTGGGAGCGCGTTTGGTTCACAGATCGTTGGGTGCCGAACTTACTTTAATTTAGGTGCTGCAAATTAACTATTTTCCTGCGATTTTACTTCGATTCTCGGCGCAGTGAAAACTCGCAATTGGACGTGGGTCGTGTCTGTGGAAATCTGAGAGCGCGACGCCCGGAATTGGAACCTTGGTTGGGTGTGGGAAAGTGGAAAAGCGGAACGCACTGCGATAAGGAATACCGAAAAATACCACAATTCATCTGTCTCCGACGATCTGGCAACGATGACTTGAATTTTGAATTAAATTTATTTTCGCGGGTCTTTAGTTATGGTTATATTCTCATATGCGCACATTAAAAAATTGTATAATGCTTTAATGCTTAATGCTTTAGTTCTTGTTTGTAAAAGATATGATTTATTTATAGTTTGTAAGCTCTTACAAATGACAAAAATATTCGATTAACTTCTAATTTACTCTTTGTGGATTTGATTTGTCATATTTTGTATATTTATTAAAAAATAGATATGATTATTCGAATTTTATCGAGTCCTTACACTTGATAGAAAAATTACTGATTGTTCAATGTTGAGAATACTGGCTTCTTTATACTATAAGATCCATTTTTTCAAGTTGTTAAAACTGTTCATAAATTACTCGATTTATATCTATTGTTCAAATGGGTGGTATAAAAGTACAAATACATGAGACTTTTCTATCAAAATTTCTCTGATTAACTCAATTTTCACACTTTTTAAAAATATTTTTTTAATGTGCTTTTAGCTTAATCCATTTTACCCCTAACCAGATTCCTTGAACGCACCACATTGGAGAAATTGGCATCAAAGGCAGGCACTAAATTTCTTCCCGGATGAAGGTGAAAAGTGGGCGCATGTGGGCGGCGACCGGTGGGCAGGGCACTTTTCACCTGCTTCGGCTGCAGTTGCAAACGGGCCACTCGGTCCACGGACATACTCTTGGGCCTCCGGGCCAGATAATTGTGGATATGGCTGTTGGAGCCATGGGCGATGTTTAAATCCACCAGGTATTCCTGCAGCTGCGCCTTCAGCTGACTGTTTTCCGCCTCCAGGCGACGCTTCTGCTGCTTGAGGCAGGCCACATCCACGGCAACATTGTTGACCCGCCGCCAAAAGGTTTCCATTTGGGGCACTAAGGCGACCTCGTCCTAAAAGGGAAAAATATAAAAAATATAAATTAAATAACCAAACAACAAACTGAATGCCAAAAATATGCAAAGTGTGTGTTCATCAAATGTTTTCAGATTAAAAGTGTACAACAAGTGACTTTTTGACATATTATATAAAGGAATAATCCAATAAAGCCTGTAAAATACAAATTTGTTAAAGCCTTTGCATATAATTACGATGCACTAATTAAAAATAAAGTTTTTTTTGGAAACTCCATTGAATTCTGTACCACAATTGCGTAATTTCCTAACCTACCTTTAAAAGATCTGTGGCTGGATCAGATAAAGCTAAACTTTCTTGATCTTCGATCTCGCGTATTTCGATAATCTCCTTAGATATTTCCGGTAGCTGAAACATCCTTTCCCTTTGGGTTTCCATCTTGGCACAGACCGCCGAAAGTTGGACCAGAGTTTCACCTTTGGCCACAGTTTCCTGTAGGAATTCCAGGGCATTGTAGCTCTCCACGGACATCAGCTTGAATGCTTGATGATCCCGGGATACTTCTTGCTCCACACAAGTACGCAGTTCCCTCAATCGCTCAGTCAATTGTTGTTTAATAGTTTGCCTTTGCTCCAATTGACCCTGCTGCTTAATGTAGAATTCTTCAGAGACCAAACGCAAATTGGCCAGTTGGTCAACCAGGTGCTCGATTTCGTGGGTTTGCTGACTAATCTGGTGGGCTGCTTCCTCATCTCGCTGCTTAAGATCCACGTACTCTGCATAAAAACCCTCGATGTGCTGGCAGTAACCCGCCAAAACAGCCTGATACTCCTGCCAAAGCTTCTCCAGTTTGGCCTCTCCCCTCGAGGTGATTTGTTCCAATTGAAGTTGCATCTGAAATGGTGGGAATTAATTAATTAATTTGCAATGCATGATACCTTTTATAAAATAATCAGGAGCTTGTAAGAACAATGCATTTTTTATTATTTAAATGTAATTTGATTTTTTTGTATTATTTCCAATGACTATATTAATACTAGTTTTATTTCGAAAACTTTCTGTGAAACTATAAGATTATTAAAGGCTCCATGTATTTTGAGAAAGACCAGTGGAAGGGCATTTAAAGACACTTTTAGCAAATCGGCACGAAATTTATATAATAAAACCTGACAAGCTAATGGGATCATTGTGTGTCAATCATTCTGTGACTTTAAACGTGAAGCTCCTGAACTATAAATAAAGTGCGACTATCATCTCCTACATTCAGTTTCCAAAATGCAGCTACTGACTTGGCTTGTGATTTGCCTGGCCTGCTGCTTCTGCTCCATTTGCGGACTAAAATGCCGATCGCAAGAAGGATTTGGAGAGGCTGAGCTGAAGAGAACCGTTCGCAGCTGTATGCACCGCCAGGACGAAGACGAGGATCGAGGACGAGGTGTGAGCAGACAAGGAAACGGATATGGCTACGACTTCGGAAGGAGTCAGGATGAAGAGCAGGATCGGGATAGGAATCAGAATAGCAGGATTAGTTATGGCAACAGGAGGCAGAGGGGACTCAAACAGTCGGAGAACAGGAACAACACAAGCGGCGATGGAGGTCAGTGTGTTGCCCAGTGCTTTTTCGAGGAGATGAACATGGTAGGTTTCACCCTGGTCGAAAAGCTAATCAAATACTAAGATGTATTCTAATTTATTGAAAGTGCCAAACCTCTTAAACTGGGTTCAAAAATATGAAAGTTTATAGTTTAAAGACTTCCAAAAAATATTAAATACTACATTGTTAATAGCGATGTTTGATTTTCCAGAAGTGTCAAACGCGTAAAGATTTAATTTGAAGCTCTTAGGTTATGTAACTATCTTTAAAAGGTTTAACAGCTTAAGAAACAACTTAAAAGTATGCTACTATGCATATGACAACTTTTACGAACCTATTCATGTTGTTTAAAATCTCTAATGATTTTGTGACATTTCTTTTACTAATGTTTCTTATAATTTCTTATTATTTTATACCCCAGGTCGATGGCAACGGGATGCCGGATCGGCGCAAGGTGAGCTACATGCTGACCAAGGACCTGCGGGATCGGGAGCTTCGCAACTTTTTCACGGACACCGTGATGCAGTGCTTCCGGTACATGGAGAGCAGTGGAAGGGGCAGGCACAACAAGTGCTCGGTGTCCAGGGAACTGGTCCAGTGCATGTCGGAGTACGCGAAGGCGCAGTGCGAGGATTGGGAGGAGCACGGCAACATGCTCTTCACCTAGCCCCCAGCTTACCCCACTTTTTAGATCCTCGCAGCGGTCGAGGAAGCGCTCGTGGTTGTCCTTGATGCCGCCGTCGGTGTTTTCCTCCAGTTGGTAGAAAACGCACTCCAGTTGTTGCTGCTTCTGGGCGTGCATCTCCTTAAAAACAGTGGAGTCCTGTTCCCATTGGCTTAGCACCGCCTGCTTGTCGTCCTCGTAGATCCTTCGGAAGAACTCAATGCGACCTTTGTGGGTGTCTGGTATAAATAAGTTTTGGAAGGAAATTTATTTATTTATAAGGTGTGCGGTTAGGTTCTTAAATGTTAAAATCATAAAAACAATAATTAAAAGTTTCTTGTATTATTCTAAATTTGAATAGATCTCTCTTTATAAATTATAATGAAAATATACTTGTGAATACTTGTGTGAAAGACAATGAAAAATTATTAAAAATTTTTGTGGCATCGATGTGTTACAATAAATAAAATTTTAATTTTTTTAAATTAAAAACTTATTATCTCCGTTTAAACCTCTAGTATTTTGAGTTATGACAGACTTATAAAGTTTTTAAATGTTCAACCGATATTTTTGATGCAAAATATGCTCAAATATACTCAATATACCTAGCCTTTTATGATTTTTTGTATTTTTTTTAATAACCCACCAACAATTGTTGTGACGTTTTCCATATGCGACTGCTGCAAATTGGCGTACATGTCCTCGGTGGACTCAATGTGAGCAATCAGGCGATGGATGACCTGATCCTTGCGCTTCAAAGCCTCCTGGAAGAAGGACTCCACCTCGACAATTTCACGGCGCAACTCCTGGATCTTCACCTGACGCAAAATGCTGCGCCACTCCTGATTGATTTTGGCCATATTCAAGCGACCGAAGGCGTCCTCCCTTTTCAGTTTGTTCTATTGGAAGTAAAGTGGCACTAAGTGACTTTTATGGGCTTGAAATTACCAAGACTGATACCTTCATGTACATGGAAATAAGCTGCATTTTGCGGCGTCTCGTCTCCCTCCTCCTGGTCGGCTCTCATTTGCAAATACCTGGCCCTTTCCTCTTCGGACATTTTGGCCAGCTTATTTCCTTTACCTTTACCCTTTTTACCCATGATTCTCGCTTTTTTGTTTCCCTTTTTTGCCGAAAATAAACTTATTGAATTTCAAAAGGCCAATCTCTGACTAATTAAACGAGTAAAAGCCGCGCCTCGGAAAATAAATAACGATTTGATTGCCGGCGTTTCCATGACAACTCCAACCACTTTTCCCTCCGTCGCTAAGTTTGTTGCCATAATAATGGATGCGAATTAAATTAATGCGGAACATTGCAAAACGCCATTAGGGCTGTCCATCAAAGTGGAACCATTTGACATATAAAACGCAGGCCAAATCGCTGGAAAGCTGTCAACATGTTGAGAACTGGCATTCTGATTTTTGTGGTTCTATCGCAGTTTTTGGTATGTGCTCGTATTTGTTACAACGCTTGAAATGTATAATTCCATTTTACTTTTAATTGCATAGGTTTCATATTCCATTCTAATTTTGCAGTTTGTATTGTGATAGAACCGTTTTGTTTGGGAGAAATTAAGTTGGTCACTTAAAGGTTTTAAGCTCCCGTGTCAGTGCATACAAAACCAGTTGTAAAATAATTTGTATTATCTTTCAGGAAGGACCTTTAGCTATCCGAATTCATTGTCGACACACGGAGCGTATTCATGAGGAAAACATTCACCATTGCTGCAAACATCCTGATGGTCACAATGATGTCACGGAAATGTGTGCCAAGCAAACCAACTTTAAACTGCCGAATCCCAATGAAGAGGCCATTGAAGATGTCACAGTAGATCAGGCAATGGTTGGAACTTGTTGGGCCAAGTGCGTCTTCGATCATTATAATCTGATGGAGAATAATACCCTGGATATGGCTAAGGTGCGCCACTACTACAAAAGATACCACAAAATAGATCCGGAGTATGAAACGGAAATGCTAAATGCCTACGAAAGTTGTCACTCAAAATGTGAGTTGGTTTTTATGGCTAAAAGTTTAGAATTAAATTAATTTTTTCCCATTTTTAGCTGAGGATGCCACCGAGCAGTTTTTGTCGCTACCAATTGTTAGAGCCTTTGCCACCTCCAAATTTTGTAAACCAACCTCAAGCATTATAATGTCATGTGTTATCTACCATTTCTTTCACAATTGCCCAAAGAATCGATGGTCCAACACCACCGAGTGCGTAGAAACTTTGGCCTTTGCTAAGAAGTGCAAAGATGTGCTGACAACAATGTAAAAGTATGTATATTCAAAAGCAAATGTGTTTAACAAAAATAAAGATATCTGACACCCAATTGTTAAAGAATGGTTTATGGAATGTGCAAAAATAATTGAATAGAATAATTTAATAATTTAATTGAATAAAGTAAATAGATTTTTACTAGAATATTAAGACTAAGAGGAAATACTTGACTGCTGTACCCTAAATAAAGCGAAATATATCAATATCGTAACAGAGCATTACAAACAGCAAATTGAAAATTTTAAATATTTTAAAAAAGAATCAGTTTATTGTAAATTAACAAGAAATCAAAAAATGTAGGTTCCAGAGTAAGTCGAAAAACCTAGAGTTTTTAAGTTTATAATTACACAAAGAGTTATCAACAATAAATGCCAGTATTTTGTAATTATAATGCTCTTTATTGGTAAAACTGCTACTCAAGCAATTACAAAGTGGCCAGCGAGTTCTGACACTTCTTGCTAAAGGCCAAGGTGTCCTCGCACTCCTTGGTTTTGGACCAACGATCAGCGGGGCAATTGTGGAAGAACTGACGGATCACACAGGCCAGAACCACACTGGACTTGGGATCGCAGAAGTGCTGGGACATTTGCTTGAAGAGAGGTTTAGAAAGGAACATGGATGTGTTCTCCTCACCTTAAAAAAATTTGATTAAATTTTACCATATCTTTCTCCCAATACTTCCAACATACTTTTGCCATGACAGTGATCAAAGGCGTTGATCATTTCCTTGACGTACTCCGGATCATCAACAAACTTAGCAGCAAAATATTTCCTCACAGCATCCATGTCCAAGGCGTTGTCCTTTATGAGATTCAATTTGGTAAAGACACATTTACCAAAACAAGTTCCCTGAATTGCTCGATCTGCTGTAATGTCTACCAAAGCCTCTTCATTTTGATTTGGCAGCATGAAGTTAGTTTCCTTGGCGCACTCTTCGATTATATCATTGTGTCCATCGGGATGTTTGCAGCAATAATGGATATGCTCTTCATTAACCGCCTCTGGATTTTCACAATCAATTTTTATTCCACTGGTAAACTAACAAATATAATATAAAAGAAAAGGATTTTTTATTTATTTATTATTTAATGAAAATAACTCACCCAAATCAGACAGGCAAAACTAAGCAGAATTATGCACTTCATTGTTCTGCTTTCACTGCCAAATTAAATTTATTCCGACTGCTTTTATAGTGGGCCATATAAATCATTAGGCTGCAAACAGGAAATCGCCGTCAATTCAACAAATGCATAACCTTCGAACTGTCCAAAAGATTTGTCTTTTTCCACTCACTTAATTTCAGCCATTATAACTGACATTTGTCACAATAAATTAAGCAATCCAAATTGATATGAAATTGATTTATTCAAATAAAGGGGGCACATGATTTTATAAATATTTTGGTAAGAGTAAATAAATTTTATTTATTAAGAGATGGTCAAGTTAGGTTGTTGTTTCATGGTTTTAATTCTGGTGTCCATTTCAGAGGCACAGGATTCGGAAGAAACCGATTTAGTGGAAAGTTCTGTTGGCGATTTAACTGAGGAAAAATGCAATAAGAAGGTTAAGTTTTAAAAACATTAAAAAAAAGTATATATATATATATTTCTATAATTGAATTTAGCGTAATGGCTGCTGCTCAGAGCTTTATATAGGCGAAGAAGAGGACTTGGTTAAATGCTTTGTAATACACTCGCAAAAATTACCGGCCGATGGGGACACTGATGTTGGTAAAACCCTGCGATTTTTATCGGTATGTACATATTTTAAAAAAATTTAAGGACTGTAACACTTCAGTTTCAGAATTTAGTAACTTGTTCTAATAATATAATTATATATTTTAATATATTTTGGAGTTTTCATATTAAATGATACAATTTTTTACATTTTTTCCGCAGTGTTTTGTGGAGTGTATTTACAAGCAAAAGAAGTACATTGGTAAGAGTGACACCATTAACATGAAAATGGTGAAGCTAGATGCGGAAAAAATGTACGCGGATCGCCCGAAGGAGAAGGAATACCACATCGCAATGTACGATTCCTGTCGAAAGGATGCAGTTGGTGTCTACAATCTTCTAAAGTCAAGTCCTGGGGCTATGGTTCTTCTTAAGGGAGCTTGTCGTCCCTACTTACTGATGGTTTTCATGTGCATGAGTGACTATCATCAAAAGCACGAGTGTCCCTACTTCCGATGGGAGGGTTCAAACAGTTCAGGAACGAAGGATCAATGCGAATTGGCAAAATCCAAATGTTATCAAATAGATGGAATAACACTGCCCACAAAAAGTCCTCTCTAAAATGTTGATATTTCAATAAAGAATGCCTAAAGAAATTTGTCTAAAGAAGCAAAAGGTGAAAAATGTGAAAATAAATATGATTTTTACCCATCGACTTTATATTTCTCGTACATTTATAATTTTGAATCGCCAAGAAATCTCTTGAGGCTTGAAACCTGGTAAAAATGTTTAAAAGTATAGTAGAACAAAGTGTTGCATTTATTTCAATTTAAATGGTAAATATAAATATATAATAAAAATAAACTCAGTATGTCTTTCAGTTTTAGTCACACATTACACACAATTTAATCGCACTGATTTTGGCTTGGGATGAATGAGTTTGACGTTCGCTTGGCTGAAGTGGCGGACCTGGATGCCATCAACAAGCTGATCCGTTCGCCAAGCGTCAAGTGGTTCGGTAATATTCGGCCGAAATTCCGAGGCAAGGAGTGCCTGTTCCATTCATATCAGACCTACAGGTTGTTGGCCATTTGCAGGAAGTCCTCCGCTTTGGTGGCCTACGCCGAGATCCGAAATTACCCTTCTATCGGTGCCCTGCCCAGCGATTCTTGGTTGGAATGGCTGTCCGTTAGATACTGGTATTCGATAAATAAACTCGATTTGTTTTATATACGTTAATGTATATTCTTTTGCCTTCAGTTTGTCCTTGTCTATAAGCTGGCTAAATGCGTTGTTCATCAACTTTTGCATCTACGATAGTGAATATCCCACGGCGTTTGTTGAAATCATGAAGGACCTGTTTTATAGGGAGAACAGGATTTGGTATCTGATCGCTGTGAGGACTCCGAATCTGCGACAGCCCACCCACTTTAATGAGACATTTGACGACTTGCAAAAAATTTCTGGTGTCTACTATCCGCATGAGTTTAGCATGGAAAATAATAGCAACACGCAGTCATTATATATTGTCGAGCGATTCGAACTGCTGCCGAAGCTGGCTTACCGGAAAGCACTGTAAGTTCTGAAAGATTACATTTTCTGAAATCAATTATCTAGACATTATTTGTGTAATAATAATACAGAAAAAGAATATTACATGTCCTTTTCAACCTTTTTGATAAAGTCATCAACCCTAAAGATTTTCTTCATACTACAAATGATTATAAGTAATAGTGCTATTCTTGGAATCATATAGCGCTTCAAAAAGATAAGAAAAGAACTGTATATCTATTGAAAATAATAAACCTTTAAAATTTAAAATTACATATGAATATGATTCTGAAATTTTTATATAATTTTATTTTTTTCCCCCAAACACAAACTTTAATTCAAATTTTTTTTCTTTAATTTTGTACTTTTTTTAAAAAAAGGGCCAATTTATTATTTCTTTGGAAAATTATATTATTTACCTTTTTATTTACTTGATTTAATTGATTTTATATAAAGACCAGAGGACAACGATGATATAGTTGCTATGCAAGAAGTCGAGATGCCCGAACTGCGCGAGGAGCTGGGTGACTTCTATATAGCCGAGGAGGTAATGTATCAGGATCCCGACAGTGAGAAGAGTTTATTGGTAGTGGCCGAAAGCACCAACGAGTGCGAGGAAACCAAGTTGGATGTCTTCCTTTGGTTGACCACGGATATCGATATCCTGTTCTATGTGCGCAACTACGAGATGGAACAGTTCGGCAACCTGGTGAAACCTACAGATGGGAAATCGTTCCATTACGAAATCCTGACTGTATCGTATGTTAAAGGATCATTCAGTGGATAAAGGAACACTTTAAAATATATATCTTGCAGATCTGTTCAGCGGAGAGGAGACGCCAGTATGTTTACCGCTGATGCTTTAGATGATCTGGATGCCATGACAATTCTGGGTGGTCTGCAAAGAATTGATAGCGGCATGAGGTAGGTAAGTCCTACAGAAAATATTTGTATAAAACTTAATATTTTTTATTTTTAAAAATGTTTTAAATTTTCGTATTTTAAAATAAGCTAATATAAAAATAAATGATTTATAGAAACCATAAGAATCGGAAGGCCTTTTAAATTTTCGTTTAAGCAGAACATAACTTATATGTTATTAACTGTATAAATTGTGTATTTATTATACCCTTATATCATAAAAAATTACAAAAAAATCTGCCAAAAAATGAAAAAGCTAACTTATATTGCAGTTCGTTAAAGTATTAAACTTTTAGAGGTATGCCACTTCAAATTGACAAAGTTGTAGGTCCTGGAAATCTAGTTTTGGGTCACTTTTGCGTGTTGGTTTTGTTATACGTTTTGGAAAAATATCAAGGAATATATTTGCTTTCCCCTTTCCCTCTTTCCCTCAGCGTGGCCAGTCTTGGAAAAATGAAGGTGAGCTCTATCCACGGCACAATTGTGGATACAAACGTGGCGTCGGAAAACAAATTCTACATGAGGGAATGCCTGTACGCGAAGTTCAAGTACATTTTAGAGAGTGAGTCACACTGTTGCTAACGAAGCTGAAAATATCCCAAGTAAATAAGGTTTCTTCATCTAGAACTGCATAGCACGGATTACTATATGCGTCACGAGCAAAACGTAATCAATTTCATATATCCCGTGGGAAAAGAGCCCGCAGGTCCTGCGGCCATAGATTTGGCTTCGAATGTTTTCTTACTGAAAAGCATTGTTACCGGAGAGGATTTTCCGCTGCCACGCCTCTTCAACGCTATAGTTGCCATGTTCTGCGCTTATCCAGATCGGGACTACTGCATGGTGCTCATCCAGGCGAAGCACAAGGCCAACAAGAGCTTTCTGGAGGTGTTGCAGTACTTTATGGTAAAGCGATATCTCTTGGAGATTCATGAAATGAAATATAATATTAAGTATAAGTATTGAGTTTTGTTTACAAACAAAATTACAACATTTTTGAAACGCTTATTTAAAACAAAAAAATTTAATTTATTAAAACTTTATAACCATGTTATAACCACTGTTTGTTAATAGGTATATACAGATTTAAACATAAATTTTCCCATATCCTTCATAATTATCTGTAATAAAACAGTCACTTAGCTTTTGAGGTTTCTTAAATGTAAAGTAATGGCAGTAGCAGAAGTTGGCCTATTCATATCGATATGAGCCATCTTTCAACAGTCTTCAGCGATTGTCCATCACTCAAAAATATAAGCGAGTCTTGGATCAACGAAAATGTAGAGAACCCTTTTGTAAACATTTATCCATATATCTATCTAAATAAACTATTGATTATAATCCCATTATCTTACATAAATAACGGGTTTTTTTTGAATAACAATAAGTGTTAAAAATAATATGTTTATTTTTTAACCAAGATTTTATTTTCTTTGTTTCCCAGCCTGTGGTCTCACGTCCCAGTAATGTGGGCCATTTGGACGACGTGTATATTACCCATCGAAGTACCATATTTGGGGAAATCAGTCTGTACAAGCTGCGAAAGGAAGACGTAGCCGTGGTGCACAATTTGGCCTTGGGAAGCTTGGCCAAGGAGAGGCACTCGGCTACAACCACATCCAGTAGCTTTTCATACTGCTCCAAAATAAATGAGAGAGCTGAATTGGACCAAGAGCTTCATGTCCTCGATGCCATTATGAAGGATGTGCTGGAAAACGAACTCAGTGACTTCGCAGTGTTCACCATTCGTTGTGGGAACTCCACGAAAGCCGTCCATCAAAATACTCCGATTGGGTTTGTGGTGCTCCGTCCATTCCTCAATCATTCTCAACTTTTCAATCATTACCACCTGCCCGAGCACGATAGTCATTTGAGTGGACGAAGAGCTGAAATCATTTCTCTGCGATTGCATCCATTATTCCTGGTTAGCGCCGATCTGATCTTCAGGGATTTGGCCAGGAAGACAAACTTTTATGACTTTTTCTTCATCAGTGCATTCAATGTAACTCCATATTTACTGAGCATAATTACAGTTCTGTTAAGCAATTTTATTCTGCAGGGTTATAGATACACCAATGACTTGAGGAGAATGATGATGGTCGTGGAGCCCAAGGCCATAAAAAAGGCTCCGGTTTTTTTCCGACTCTACAAGGAGCCAAAGAAGCCAAAGACCAGAATAAATCTGCCAAGTCCCAATTTCTCCAAGGACCATTTAATCGTCTATCGGCATAAACTCAATCCGGTTAAGTGGTTCACCAACAGCAGGAAACTGGTCATCATTGGCTTTAGTCCAACTGCGAAAGCTTTTCTGCGACAGCTAGTTTTTCAATGGAATTGCAAGGAGTAAGTGTAAATTTCGAAATAATATTAAATTATTTTGCATAAATTTCTAAATTAGCTGAAAAACTCTCATTATTTAATTTTGAGCCTACATGCCGAATACCATTTGGCACTGAACTGAACATTACTCTTTATTTAGTTGCCTATTGACTTATATAATTATATTTTTTAACTTTTTTTGGCAGCCACAAAAACTCGGATAACTTTACATGCCTCAGCTGGTTCCAAGTGACTGTGATTTGCCGAGCGGGTGTTGTGGAAGCGGATTACGACAGTCTTTTCAAGTGTCCCTATTGCACAAACACTCTGGGCTGCTACCTTTCCTACCAGAACGATTCCTGTTTCATTAGGGATTGCTGTGTGCGACTGGATCTGCGATATTGGGTGCATTTTGTGCCCGGAAGGGTGCAATTTGTTAACAGGTAGAAAAGTCTCAAAGTCCCAAAATACATATATTTATTGACTAACATTATTTTTTTTTAATTAACAGGGAGAAAAAAATCGTGAAGCTGGAAACTTGCGAGATTCACTATGACACCTTGTTCATAATGTGCGACCGTAGTTTTTCAACCCGACTTCCGACAGAGGTCAAGGCTCGTCCCTGCAACTTTGTTGAAATCAACTTCCGACTGAACAAGTTTCTGCTTTTCTATAAGGTGCGAGCACTCCTGGAAGATGTGCCGCGAACCTATTTGATCCTGGTTTATGGCAATAACTTGTCCACCTACGAATGCATCGCGTTTTTGATTACCCATGGAGTAGATTGCTCGAGGATTGTATTCGTCCAGCCGCATCGATTTACCGGCAAGGATGCGGATGCCAAGGAGAAGAATCCGTACTGGGACAAGAATCTGCAGCTCATCCTAGATGATATTCTCACGGATAAGGGGATCACCATGATCACGGACTACAACTTTCACCACTACAACTTGCACCAAACAACTGATTTTATAATGGATGTGGTTTTTCAGCACTTTCCCAGTAGAAAGCAGGCGACCTTCGAGTGCGATATATTTATTTCCTTTGAGGAGGGACATCTCCACCAAAGGCACCGTAAATGTAAATTACATTACTCAAAGCTACTAGTTTTTATAATTTATTAAATACTTTTTTTCAGGGATAGTAAGTTCCGACATCGAGGTAGAAGGCAATGAAATTCTGGTAAATAATAAATATCAAACCAATGATCCCGATATTTATGCCGCTGGTAAATATATCAAAATCCGAGACTTTCCGAATTACCAATACAAATTTGCCAGTGATCGAGAGGTTGCAAGAAAGGTAGACGAAGTTGTAAAACTAAAAATTTGAATTCCCTATAAGTACCTGATTATTTACAGCTTTTACACCATATTGGCATTGCTCCCTTGAAAGATTTTGAGGAGCGTTTCTCTGAGCCTCTTCTTTTCCAGGCCATCCTGCCACTTCGGTATTTTATTACCAAAGTGACGATGCCGCGAAGATATCTCAACTCCGAATTGCCTGTCATGGGCATTTGCAGTTTAACTACTTACAAGGATAACACCTTTTGCAGGGTGGGATTGTCCACGCGAATGATGGTGGATGAGATAGTGGTTGTAACTAAATTGGTAATATCACCTAACCTATTTTCCTTTTATTTTATTTAATAAATAAAGCCTCGCTTAGGAGTGCCACTTGGACTTCCTGCAGCATTTTTGTGGCAAGCATGAACTGCTCTTGAACAATCTCAAGGCTCGCTATAAGGCCAAAACCATTAGCTCATTTCTGAAATATTTCCAAGAACCCTGGACCGAATTGCTTTTGCACGAGAACTTTGAAGATCTTCAGGCGGATAACAAGGAACTGCTAACTCCTATGGTTGTTTCTACATTATCTGTAGGTTGAAAATGATCTCCTTGAACCAACTTTAAGTATAATTTGAATTCAACTTTATAGCGTCCTAATCGTGGAGCTCTGGGAGAAATAACCGATATGGATTTCATCACTTTGAACAAACGAGTCATGGAGATCAAGCTGCTGGCATTCCTTCGAGAGCATCGACGTGACTTTCGGCATAAGTTTGCCCTTCCCGAGGACTTTCTCAAATCGGATTCGACTGAATGGGAGCAAGAATGGAATGCGATGGCCGAGACGCAGGATGACTCATCCGACTCTACAGAAAGCTAGTTTTCAGAATCGAAGCAATCCGTTTCTGTACTTTCCGATTTCCTTGTGCAGTGCTCCAAACTCAAATACACGTTCAACCAATAATATTTGATTTTTTTTGTGTGAAAAATGCCTCGCATTCAGGATAAAACTATGGTCGTAACGGCGGGTATTCGGGATCAGCAGCGCATTGAAGATCTCTATGAGGCCAAGAATACGTGGCATTTTGGAGAGAAGGACACCCCGCCACTGGATACCCTGTTCACCAGGAACCAGGCCCAAAGGCTGTTGGTCTACAACAAACAGGAGTTTCACATTGTGTTGGCATACGCTGAGTTTGCCATCCATCCAAATATTCCGGTGCTTTCCAATGAGCTGTGGCTGCATTGGCTCAATGCCCGTTTTTGGTAGGATACATAAGAAATATTATTTAATTGGAATGTGCTTTACTTTATATATTTTTCTCTACCTAAAGCATAGAACATACCATCACGTTGCTCAACTCAATATTCTTCAACTTCTTCATCTGCAAAACAGCACAACCTGATGCTCTTAGATTAACTATATTTGAAGTCTTTTACAACGAGCACAAAGTCAACTATGTGCTAGTGGTTAGGCCCCCGGATGCTTTACCGGGCCAATATGATGCCATTGAAAAATTTGGTAAGGCCTATTACCCCAAATACTCAAAAGTTTCCGAGCAGAAATATCTTCCTGCGGTCATCATAATCCAAAGAAAGGATGTAATGCCTGTACTCTCTTTCCGAAAAGCATTGTAAGTTTGAAACTAGTGAACTGGTCACAGTTGTTTCCTTTATTTGTTATTTAAGGCCCGAGGATAATGACGACATTGTCGAGATGATAGATTCCGAGGATCCTGAGCTGCGAAGAAAGCATGGTGACTTTTATATAGCTGAGCATTTACTTGAGGCGGAAGGAACCAGTGATAATGATAAAATTATAATTGCTGAGGTGCGTCTGTTTATAATTTTTCCTTGAGCTTTTAATTCAGGATAAAGATTTATAGTTTGAAGAAGAGATTGCGGAAAATGTCAAGGGAGCTGGCTTAATGTGGCTATCGGAATCAATAGGTATTGAAAACCTGGTCAAAAACTTTCACTTGGAGCGTTTGGGCAATTTGGCGCGATATACACAGGGAGCTAAGCATGCCCGTGTACTACTTGAAGTTTTGTAAGATATACATTAAACTTAGTAACGTTAACTATTACCCTTTCATAATTTTATTTTTAAAGCTCTGTTGATCAAAAATCATACCGCGAGTTATACACTAAAACCCAAATGGACGAACTCTTTAGAACGCATGAAGAATCAATTACCAAAGACGGACAATATGAAGGAAAGGAAGTTCTCTTCAGCAAGTACAAATACATTTACGATGGTGAGCAAACTTGGTCATCCTATAATATAATACGAACTAGGAATAGAATTATAAATTTAATACTATTTTTTATTTTTAAGAACTACGCAAGGGAACCTACTACATGAAGGCGTATAGAGAGAAACTGGAAGTTGCTTTCGATTTGCCACCTGGCGAACATTCGCACAGTGAAAATCGATTGCAATTCTTGGGAAAGGCGTCCAATGGATTTCTGCTGAAAATGTTCCAATTGCATCCACTGGTTCGCTTTGAGTACACATACTTTTCCTTGTCAGCCATGTTCAGTGCCTTTCCGGATCACGATTACTGTGTCACTTTAGTGCCATCCACCGCAAACTCGAGTCCTTGCCAAAGGGAACTGCTGCGATTCTTTTTGGTAAGTGAAATATGGCTTAGAAATTCCTCTGGAATTTGAAATGATATATCCCAATTTGCAGCCGGTTGCCCATCGACCGAATAGCTCCGTGACGGAAAACGTCTTCGTGGCCCATCGAAGTACTTTGTTTGGGGAGCTGCGAGTTCAACGCTTTGAAAGGCAGGAGCTTGATGAAGTCAGAGCCCTGATAAGTCCGCCGTCCCGCGGAAGAAGCACCTTTGTCGACGGCCTCAAAGCTGATGATGAAAATACAGACGATTATGTTAAGGAGGTACTCACAACTTTTGAGCAGATCGTCGAGAGCATCCTTGAGAACCCCCTGACCGACCTGAGTTGCTTTACCATTCGATGTGGTCAATCCAAAAAGCACACCGACTGTCCCCTGGTGGGATTTTTGGTTCTCTGGTGGGTTTGAATACTTCAGTACTGTATATATTTTACCTAACTGTTATTACAGTCCATTTAAGGCTTATGACGATCTAAGCAAGGTATTCATGATGCCAAGGGATCAGTACTATTTGACCCACAATCGTGGGGAGATTGTCATGTTTCGGCTGCATCCCTTTTTCCAAATGTGGTGCACTTCGATTTTGCGCACGGCGGCTCTCTATGAAAACTTCAAGGAACTGTACTACGTACACTACTTCAATGTTGGTTGAACTTGGGCTTGGATAGTGTAATCGGAAGTAAAAACAATCTCCCCCTTTCTAGGGAACTTCACTTCCCAACGACTTGACGTACAACATGATGCCAGTGGAGCCGCGGCGCATGAAGAAGAACTTATTTAACTACAAATGCTTCGCTTACCACAGAAGGCTTTCCCAGGGTTATCGCGCCTCCAACTTGGACGTCTGCTCCACTCGTATGCGTCTCTTCTGCCATAATCTACAGCCCACCAAGCATTTGGGTGTGAAGCATTCCCTGCTCGTCGTGGGATTTTCGCAGGTCTGCCTCGCTTTCTTGCGGATCGTCATTTTCGGCTGGAACTCCAAAGAGTAAGATTGATCAACAGTAAATGTATTAGTATCTTTAATTCCATTTAAGGCGTTTGATTATTTTTTTGAAAATAAGAAGTTTTTTAAATTTTTGTACTTGTTCTTACCACTACAATAATATTTCACTGATTAGATATTTGTCTGATTTCAGATAATACTCTGAAAATACATTTAACTAGTTAAATACAAATTACAAATACAATACTTTGCGGTGAAAAATTATATGATATATTCTATAAAACCTATATAAAGCAAGGAAATAAAGAATTAATTTTCCCATAAATTCCTATTAGTTTGATAAACTACAAAAAGTACAACTGCCTGCCGATGGTGGACATTACCGTGTTGGTTGCCCATGGACTCGTGGAAGCGGCCTACGACTCTGAATTTTTGTGCAGCTTTTGCGGCGGAACCGGAAGAAACTGTTATGTGGACACCGGAAACCTAAATCCCTTTGTGAGGGATATGTCACAACGCATGGATCTAAGGCACTGGGTGCGATTTATCCCGGGAGTCCTTAAGAGCATAAATAGGTGAGTGATGATAGCATTTTATGTGATGATAGCATATTAATACATATGGTATTAATATTAATATATAATATTTTTAACGAATTTTCATTTTACTAAAAATTGTCAAAATTATATTTTTTCGTGTCTTCATTTCTGATCCTCCCGATAATGATTTCCACAGAAGAATTCGCATCGGGTAAATCGAATCTAAAACAAATTTCTTTTCAGGCAAGAAAAATTGATACATTTAGAGGACGGTTGTTCCCTTCACTACGAAAGGCTCGTCCTTTTAAGTTCTAGAAGACTTGGTTTTGAGGATAAGGAATTCCAGGGAAATTCGATGCCGTTGAACTACGTAACCAACAATCATCGCCTGGATAGGATAATTTTCTACCACAAGTTGACTGAGATGACCGAATCCGAGGAACCTTACAGCGTTATAGTCTATGGATATGGATTGGCAGTCTACGAGTGCCTTAACTTCCTGGTCACTCATGGGTGTAAGGCCCAGAATATCACTTATGTCCAGCCTCATGTACCAGTGGTTGTCGAGGAACAGGGAAATCCCGAAGTGGATGCAGGACTGGATCCTATCATCCTCGAAATGGTCGCCGATCTTGGGATCACGATTTACCTGTCGACCAACTTCAGTAGTTTCGTTTTCAGCCCAAGTAAAGACTACATCGAAAAGGTGGAGTTCATAGCGTTTCCCCGTAAAGAAAGGATTGTGTTGGCGTGCGATCTCTTTGTGAACTACAATCGGAGTTCAATGACTACGGAAATGGAAGTTGGTGAGGAAATAAAGAAAGCTCCATATAAAAACCACATTTCATATTTTCATTTATTTTTCCCTTCTTAAAGTTCTGGCCAAAGCAGGAATTGAGGTGATCGATAGGAAGATCGTAGTTAATTCACGTTATTGCACCAATGATCGTAATATATTCGCCGCTGGTAGTCATATAGTCATGCAGCCCAAGCCCAACTTCCAATACACATCAACTAGTCCGCAGGAATGTGGTGAAAAAGTAAGTAGCTCCTTAAGATGTATTTATAAAAAGGTTCCTAATAATTTGTTGCCTTAGTTGGCCAGCGAACTGAATATGATAAAGATTGTGATGCAGTCGAGGTTTTCGCGGCCATACATGTTCACAGGAATGCTGCCGATGGGCTATCAGATCATAAAGTTCATTCAGCCAAAGGCACTGCTTATTGGCCAACTTCCCGTAAATTATTCAGCGGTTATGACCACCTACGAAAATGGAGACTTCTGTCGTATTCGTCTGAACAAAAAGATGATTGTGATCGAGATTGTTTGCGTCACCAAAAAGGTTAGAACTTATTCATATTTTGTTAGTATATCTTTTGCAAATTTAATTTTTTTAATCGATTCTCTAGTCAAAGAGACTGTACTTTATGGAATACTTTTGTGGAAAGCACGCTACGCTTTTAAATGATTTGCACGGTCGCTATCAATCGGGTTGGATTTCAAACTTCTTGGATTTCTTTGAGCAACCTTGGACTGAACTTATCATGCACGATCGCTTCGAAGATTTGCAGTTGAAGAATCGCAGACTTCTGCTCTCCATGTTGCTGATGAACAATAAGGATGCAAATGTCGCCAGGGGAAGTTTGGAAGCCAATCAGAGGCAGAGACTTGAAGAGAATGTTATCGATTTTGTAAGAACCTATCGCAAAGATTTCACACACGAATTCGCTTTGCCAGAAGATTGGGGAGTCTTTAATCTGAATTAGTATAACCAAATGAATTCTTAATTTATAAAATAATAATATTGAATGAAGATATTTATTTAAGTGTGTATTGCATACAATGCTTAAAAATTAAACCAATTGCAAATTTTTACATTGCTCAACATATTAAGACTATTGTTAATCAAAAGCGAAAGCTTTCTTTTGGGATTAGCCTAAGTATTTAATTATTCGGTTCATTATGTTTTTAAGTTAGCTAGGTCGATTAGTATAACATTTAGTTCTTTAGCTTAGTTATTTATACTACAGGGGATGGATCTCTAGACTTGATCGGCTAAAGGGGAGAACAAGTGGGGTTTCGGCGCCGCATTTGATCACGATTTATGGACAGGGGACTGAGGCCACTGGGGAAGACGATGACATGGTGGTTGAGCTGGCCTCATATGCCCTGTAAGTACCTTCGTAACTCCTCCTCGGTGTCGAAGATCATGACCGGGAACGGTGATCCTGGCACGAATTCACCGGCCCACTTAACCTCGACTCGATAGTCGCCTGGTTCGGTTGGATCGTACTGAAAACAATTAATAATATTTCATTAAAGGGGATTGTAATAAAAGAACATATTAAAGGGTTACCTTGCAGAGTATGGTGCGATCTTTCTGACTTTCCCTCTGCATTTCCACGCGGAATGCTCCCTTGGGTCCTCGAACCCGAACTGTGAGTTGACCTGCTCCAGCGCCTCGGGTATCGCAAATAAAACGCGACTGGAAGGTGGCCAGCACGCCATGTTCGATTCCAGGTCCATAAACACGAACCTAAAAATAAAGGATACAAAATAGAAAAGTCAGTTTCTTTATTTTGTAACCTTTAAACATGTTTACCAAGAAGTTATTTTATAAAAGTGAAATAGATTGCCTAAGTTTATTAAATTAAAATATGCTTGTATATTAGTATCTGTATGTATTGAATGTATTTCATAACCCACCTTGCTGGCATCCGGTGCTCCGGCCACTTTCAGTGCAAAAGGCGATCCCGGAACATTCTGTCCTCCGTATTTGATGGTCAGCAGATGTCGACCTGGTTCCTGTGGCTTAATATTTAAGGTGAACGTGGCATCACCGTGATCGTACAGCTCACAGTAGGCCACTTTGCGAACACCAGCACAATGAGCAGTGAGTTCCCCGGGTCCAGCTCTCCTCGTGTCTATCCAGGACTTGATGTCCTTGCCCACAATTCCGTGACGAAGTCCCTCACCAGATGCAATCACCTTCGAGGCATCCATCGACGAACCAACGGCCACAGTAAGGGGACATCCCTTGACCAAACGGCCATTCCATTTCACGGAGAGATTCAGAGTGCCAGTTGTGGATTTCAGCGGAGTATACGAGGCCATCCAGATATTCTCGCTGGGTCGCGGTTGAGCCAAACTTACGGGCAGCGAAGTGTTGTCCTGGCTGGTGAGGATCACCTCTGGTCTGCCAGCCGGAGCATTCGAGGCGTCGATGGTGAAGTGGGCGGCTTCTCCAGCTTGAGCTGCCGCCAAACCACGACCCATCAGTTGAACCTTATCCGCAGCTTGTTGTCCGGTGACGAAGGCACTCCTCGGACACTGGGTGATGGTCAATCCGCTCCAGGTTAAGTCCAAGTCGTGCTCACCTGCAGCTAGATTCTCTCCCGTGATATTCAGACACATTTTGCCATCAACTAACTTATCCACAGGTATTTCAATGCCATCAATGCTGCAAACCAGCTTTCCAGGTCCAGCATTCTCCACATCGAAGATGATTCGAGCGGGGAGAATCAAGCGACCATCATGATCCACCAGGGTTCCCCAACCACCAACGGGTGTAACCTTATTGGACTCCACACAGCTGATGTGCCAGGGAGATCCCGGCAAACTTCCTCGATTCGGACAACTGGCTCTGATTTCGTATTTTCCCACAGACAAAATTGTGTAGGAGATGCGCCACTCATTGTTGCCCAAAGCCTTGATCTTGGGTTCTATCCTCTCGCCGTACTCATCCAATCGCTCAATCTGAACATTTGGAGCAATGGGACAGTAGACCACAAAGGATGCCTCCTTGTTCCGGTGACAAACCTCCAATCCGTGACCAGCTGCCCGAGCATCATTTCTCACTCCACTCGAAGAGGCAGTGAAATTCAGCGGTGAACTGGGAATCGTTTCTCCTCCGTACATCAGGGTCAATTTGTAATTTCCTGGTTGGGAGGGTACAAACTCCACATTGTAGACTCCCTCCGATTGTTCGCTAATCAAAACTGGCAAACTCTGATTGCTCGGCGAGATGGCAAAGGCCTCGAGTTCAGCGGTTCCGGCATTATCCGTTCGCACGGTGAAACTATTTGGACTGTGAAGAGCCAAAGGCTCCTTGGTGACTCCTTGGGTGGTTACTTTGCTGCTGTCGAAGGACTCGCAGGTGAAGGGACTGCCGGGCAGGGGCTTCGATTGGTGGAGAACCTCTGTGGATAATGGAAAGGATATGGATTAGTTTCGTTCTCTTTCAAGAGTCATTTCTAGACCACTTACCAATCACACACTGTCCCGGCTTGTTGATAGTAAACTCGGCCTGCAGATGACCATTCTTAGTCTGATAGCATCTCACCGGCAGAGCTTGTCCTCCTGGTCCCGAAACCACCACATCGAATTCCCTAGCTGGCCTTTTCACCGTATCGATGGCAAAGGAAGTGGTCTTTCCAACTCGACTTTGATACAACCCCAAACCACTGACGCTGATTTCCTTGCCAGCACTTGCGGGAAGAACATTGATCTCCAGGGGTTTCAGTGAAATGGGAACCTCATTGAACAGAATGCTGATCTTGTGGGGAGCCACTCGAGTTGGTTGGTAGACAATCTCGTACACTCCGGTCTTACTTGGGCCTCGAATCGTATGTGGCACTTCGGTGGCTCCACATCGCACCAAAGCGGATAGGTCTCCTTGACCAGCCTCGTTTAAGGACACTCCGATACTCGCAGGACGATGGCAGAAAGCCTCGCTCACTTCTGTGATCTTCACCAGAGTGGGATCAAAAACACACAGAGTGCGGGATCCGATGTGCTGACGGGTCTCACGATCTATGAAACGCAGGGTATAGTTTCCAGTCATGTGGGTCCTGAACTCCGCTGTTTGTCTGTTTATGGAGTAAGGCACCGATTTCTGATCTGGTGAGAAGATCTCAACGATCTGATCATCTGCTGGGAAGTCAATGGCTGCCAAGCTGCCAATCTGAATGTGTTGGGTGTGCTGTTGAATATCCACGCGGAAGGGACTTCCATCCACTGCCACCTCGTTGAATGTGATGTTCACGTAATGGGGTTCCGTGCTCTGGGGAACAAAGGTAACATCGTAGAGTCCTCGGGCACAGGCCACCACCTCAGCTTTTACGGTGCTGCTGTCCGTGGAAACCACTAGCTCCAGGGTTCCCTCACCAGCTCCTGCGGCATCCACACTGAAGGTCACCGGAACACCCAGGTTAGCCGGTCCGTACTGCTGCTCCAGACCACTGATGCTCACCCTGGAGACATCAAACACATTGCAGCTGAAGGGGGAACCATTGATGTGCTGATCATTGGCCGTGACACTGATCAGGTGACGACCCACTGTGGTGGGTCTAAACGAAGCCGAGTAACTGCCTCCATCGTGCTGACTCAATTGGCAATGCTCGTTATCCCCCGAAGGCGAGGTTACAAAGATCTGCGGTTCCACTCCCTCGAAACCCTCGAGTTCGAAGGTGTTGTCCATCTTGACGGCTGCCTGTTTCAGACATTCACCCATGGCCATGGCTCGGGGTAAACCCATCGAAGGTGAAGCCGCTGCAGCGGCAATGTGACAACTGAATGGCGAACCCGGCACCGGATGTCCATTGAATCGCACCGAAAGCGAATGGGTGGCCGCCTCCGTGGGCTTAAAGTTCACCTTAAACCGGGCATTACCCTCGGATTGAACGAAATTGGGTACATTTTTGCCATTGACGGCCACAATGATCTCCAGGTTGCCAGCTCCTGCTTGCGATGCGTTGATTCCGAAGCTCACGCTTTTGTTTACCACTCCAGCTCGAATGTCTGTCACAATGACCTTTTCAGCGGAGTAGGCTTTTAGCAGGAAGGGACTGCCCTCCACATGACCACCTCCAGGCAAACGAACCTCCACCGAGTGATCACCCACTTCCATGGGCTCAAACTTGACATTGTAGCCCAGAGTGGACGAACCCAGTGGATCGATCTTCACGGGAACACTTCTCCTCGCAGGTCCAAGCACCTCAACGGTTGGTTTTGTGTCCGATTCCACCACGAATTCGAATAGTCGACCCACGCTCACTTTGTCCATGGTTTCCGGGGATTGGATTCGAGCAGCGGCTGCCACTCGACAGGTGAATGGTGAACCAGGAACATCCTGGCTGTTGAATCGGAGTTCCACGGTGTGGCTCTCAGCCTCGCGGGGCGTGAAGCTGATGGCATAGGTGTGCTGACCCTGAGCCTGGGCTGAGGTGGGAACCCTACCTCCATTCACGGTCACCTCCAGGTTGCCCGGTCCCGCCTGGGAGGTCTCCACCAGGAAGGTGACCGCCTTGCCCACCGTTCCGCTGCTCACATTCTTCACCTTGATGGCGCTCACATCGTAGACCTATAAGAAACCATATATGTATGTATTACTATTAGCTGCATTTCTTATGAACGAAAATGCCGTGCACACAGAGTTGGTTTATCATAACTAAGTATCTAAACACAATTAATACTAACCGAAACATCAAAGATTTGTTTATCATTATTTTACCACAATGGTTTACCACAACACGTTACCAAATTTATCAGAGAGATAATTTATTTCAATAGAGTGTCATTTTCATAAACCTTCAAGGTACGATTTAAATTCTCCCAAAATGAACCATTAAAATTTTTTAAATATACAGTTTATAAATGATTAAAAAAATTCCAAACAAAGCAGCATCAATTTAGATCATTATTTTTTTTAGGTTTTATTGGATTATTTTGCCTTTTTCCAATCTTGTAGTTGGGTTAACAAAATTTTTAATTTTTTAATCCAGATTGGAAAATAATAACCATGGTAAGCTTTCCCCTGTACTCACCTTGGCTGCATACGGACTTCCGGCGGTGGGTAATCCGTTGACCGTAACATTAACCCGATGTTCGCCGACGACTCTGGGCACAAACTCCGCCTTGAAGACTCCATCGGCGGACTGATGAACTTGAGCTGGAACCGACTGGCCAGCAGGTCCTGATTTGGCCAGCATGTTGCATTTTTTTTTTTTTGTTTTTGTTTTCATTTCGTATTCGATTTTAGTATTGATTAATTATTTTGTGTTTGGTTTGATTTTGATTTTCGGTTGCGACGCGGCCGGAAACGAGTTTGAGATTGATTTCGTTTGTTTGTTTTGTTGAAATTCGATAATTGGGCAACGATTCGGTTGGGTCAGATGTGTGTTGGGTTAGTGTTTAGTTTTTTTAATCGCGGATGAAGCGAGAAAATTTGGAAAAATGTTCACTCGATTAGTAATTTGGAACGTTTTAATGTTGGGAAATTTGGGCTTTCTGATGGTTAGTTGTGTTGTTTGAGATTAGTTCGAGTCATTTACTTGGAGTGCGGTTAGTTTTGATTGATTATTGTATTGACTGTGCCAGAAACGGTTAGTAAACGGGAGTGTGGCAAGGGTCAGAGACAGTATAGAATAGATAATATGCGGGTAAAACCCAGCGGATCTGTACAAAATATACAGATCACTAAGAACGAGCCTGCTGAATATACAACCTATTTGCAGTTTGTTTTAAACCATTTTATTTTGTTTTGATTCGAGTAACTCTACACATTAATCAGTAAGAAACATATTAGTAAACAATCGGACATTAGTAAATACTTCATTTTGTTATTGTGTTGGCATAGGGTTTCCCGCAGTGGAAACTCTTTCTGGGGTTATTTTGTGGTTCGGACGGTTAGCGAGTATATATACACCTGGTGAATAGTATATATATATATATGTATAGGGGAGAGCACGGAGACTTCTCCCTCATTTAATAGTATAGGTAATATAAGTATATGCATATATTTATATATATAGTCTAGTACAAAAGATTTCGCCGTCCTGAAATATAATACAGATACAAAAGTGAGCAACATTATTACAAATAGGACATATAATTACAAACAAAGGACAGACACAATCACAAATGCACACAGAACACACAAGTTTAAGCTCGAACTACATGAGTAATAGCAATTGAATGGTGTCTATGGGAACTCAGATTCCCAATCTGGGCCTTTGGCTTATTTGCTTGCATTCAACTACTTCTAAATGCCCAACACAAAAGCATCGAATCCGATCACTCAAGGAATAACAGTCGAACATTCCTAAGCTAAAAAGAAAAACTTTCGTTAATCAAAAAAAAAAAATGATAAAAAAATGCATTTAATTTCTATTTGTACTCGCGATCAATAAAAAAAAACAGAGCAATTTATTTCCTGAATTTTTCGATAACAATAAAACTAAATAATGTTAGAAATAATAAAACTGAGACAACAATTAAAGAAGTCAATTAAAAATGATCAATTTACAACACTATTTTTTCTATTTTTGTTTGAATAAAACATTTTATAAAATTCATATTTCAAGGGCTTGTTTAATTTCAAGATAAGTATTTAACTTTTTATTTCCTTTAAACTTAATATATATTTTTTTGCACCGTTCCTCAAGAAAAAAAAAACCTTTTAGCGGTTTCATTTTTCAAATATATCTATCCAAATAAAATAGTTTTACAGACTGCTGACATTCGTTAGCGGAGTTCGACTGTAGAAGCAGATGATAAATGTGCTACATAATTACACAGGCACACAAACTACTCGACTGGGCTGCGCATCTCATAAATCCACTCTCTAAGTGCAGCACCTTGTCTCTGGATTCCGTTGGAGACATTTACCACAAGTTGGGGCAGGTGGAGGGGCGGTGAGAAGTGAAGGAAGGGGGGTGGGGGGGTGTGGCATGCTTGGGAGTTTCCACAACGATTTCCGCTCATACAAGTCGTACAAGTCTCTTTGTGCGTGAGGTGTGAGAGTGGGTGTGATGCGGATACAGATACAGATACAGATACGAGTGGCAGATACGAGTTACAGATACAGGTACGGTTACTGCTACCAGATACGGATATGTATGCAAAATGGATCCAATCGAATAATACGCTTAGCAGACACAAACATTTAGCAAACGAGCAATTAAATTACGAGCCTTAGGACTAAAACCAATGCACAAGAACACAAAATTGGGTGGCAATGAGGGGGAAATTGGGGCATACGAGTATAGCCCCACACAAACTGATGACATTTGGTTAGCGGGGTTGGGGGAATGGGCCCAAGAACTGGCGTCCAACTGGAGCCCTACATACCTTCCACGTTCACCTCGATGTCCTCCAAACGGCCGCCGTTGTGATTGATTACAAAAGAATTGGTCTGGTGCACGGGTCCCGGTCCGCCCAAGGACACCTGCGGTCCTGCCACGCCCCCACTGATGCTCACCGTTATCGGACAGCCCGGCACGGGCATCTTGTTGAATGACACGTTGATCGTGTGCTCGCACGACTCCGTCGGCACAAATGAAACCGAGAACCTGCAATGCAGAGGGGAAACATTTGAGATTAAAGCCAATAATTTACAAGGACATATAGCTTAATACACGGAAAATTCCTGGCGAAACATTGTTTTGGTTTGAACTATACCCTATAGTTAAAGTCCTTCTATTATAACTATCTATTAAATAAAAAACTTTCAAAAATTCAACATCACCATTGTCAAAAACTTATACGGGAATATAAAGATCTTGTGTTGCTTATTTCCCAAATTATTTTCATTCGTATTGACTTTTATATTGATTAACCGATATTTACAGATTCAAAAGTATATAACTATTCATTATCAAAGGGTCCTTATCAGTTCCCAATAAAAACATTTGCAAATAGATAATCCGTTTAATTTGCATTTAAGTTTGAAAATTTAAACAAGAGAACAAGAAAGAGAGAACAAAATAATAATTCGACCACTACATTGCAAATAATTTTAAATAATAACATTATTATTTCCAAAAATGAATTATTTACAATTAAGGAATATTATTGTTGAGTCTGAACAATTTTTAACAATTATATCAACCAAAGCCAAGATCAATACGAAAACTGCTCTCTAAAAATAGAATACATTTAATTGTTTGCAAATTTCAGAATTTTGTAACAATTATAATGGTTTGAGCATTTACTAAATTATATTTAAATACATATACAATTACTCACCTTGCACTGCCCTGCGGATGCACCTGGGTGGGAATGTTCTGTCCCTTGGCGGAGATGGTGATCTCGAGGTTGCCCTCGCCGGCATCGCCCGCATCGACGGTGAACTGCACCGGACGACCCATCGTGCCCCGCGAGACACTGCCCACCACCACCTTGCTGGCGTCGTACGACTTGGCCAGGAAGGGGGTTCCCTGGACGGCGAACCCGTTGTACTCCACATTGATCGAATGGCCGCCAACGGTGGTGGGCGTGAACTCGGCGGTGAAGCCAGCGTGGATATCTCCAGTCACCCGGACGGGCAACTCGCCCTGGGGACCGCGCACACTGACAGCCAACTCGGCGGCTCCTCCGCCGCTCACGGTGATGTGAAACGAGGAGGGCCTGTTGACGGGGATCAACTCCAGATTGGAGAGATTCAGGAGCACCCGCGAGGTATCCGCCACGGCGCAAACAAACGGACATCCTCGCACCGTTTCGCCGTTGAACTTAATGTCAATCAGATGGGATTTGGCCTGTTCCGGTGTAAAGGACACCAAACATCGACCACCGCCGACGACCTGGACATGATTGGGCACCTCGCCCTCATTGATGGATATCTCCAGTTGTCCCTCGCCGGCGGCGCTGGCGTCCACACGGAATTGACACGGCTGCCCGACAACGCCGCCGTTCACCTCCGTCACCTGGATCAAACTGGAGTCGTAGACCTTGGCGATCAGCGGACCGCCAGCGATCTTCGTGCCGTTAATGGACGCATCGATCACATGGGTGCCCACTTCGGTGGGCACGAACTCGATGCGAGCAGCACCATTTGCCGCCTCGTGGGTGACTCTGGCATTCAGTTTCGACTTGCTGGGCGTCAAAACCGTGGCCACGCACTCGCCCTTACTCAGGGATTGTCCAGGAGGCGGCAGTATCTCAAAAACCGCCGGCGTATTGGCGGGAACCAGGCGAGTGGACTCGCCCAGAGCGGTCAGACCGGGTGAGGACATGATCTCAGCGTGCCACGGTGAACCTGGAAAACGAGAAAACAAATCAATTAGATTCATAGTTAAAAAAAAAAAACCAGCTAAGACCCAGGAAATTGTCAACTTAAATAGCTCGCTTTGCAATTGAGAAACAAACTATGATATTTGACCCACAAAGGCATTCCACACACCTGCAGTTCAGGTAATTGAAACGATGGAAACTGTATATGCAACCCCAGAGGGTGGTTAGGAAAGTTTAAGTACAGCAATCTGACATGCTCCACATTCAAGCATTTTGCCATCATCATTAAGTCGAATCATATCAAAGGTAAATGTGCGAAATCTGACTTAAGCTGTTCTGCTTTGCTCTACATTTCGAGAGATTAAAATGTGAGCGCATCTGACTATCGCTTTGGTATTTATGAGTACGACATAAATTGACAATGGAGATATGCCAGAAATGGCAGCAAAATAAATCGCTTCAAAATTGTCAACTTAAAGTCAGTGACCGAGAACTAAATGGTAATTTTTAACCCACAAAATCACAATTGCAGCTGCAGCTGGTGTAATTGATATGATTAAAACAAAGATACTTCACAGGTGGTGGATAATCGACATTATCGGGTACTTTATATATTGTAAGGATTATAATCTTTCCATTTAAGTTTATTGTAACGTTAATATTATTAATCTTAAAACCTGAAAACCAGCAAAAAATATTATCATTGGAATCGAAGTATTTTCATATCTATCTTAATATTTTCGGAAAAAAAAGCATCTATGTTTTCGTAATGTTCCCCATTAGTAGTTTTAACATTAATTAAAATCACATTTTTGTAAGGAAAAACTCTTGTGATTTATCATAGGGAAAACCTATTAGATCGCAGAATGTGAACTTTCGGAGCAACCCTCGCATTCTTGAGCTGGCAAGGTTTCCGCTGCGACTTTGCATTGTTTTCCGCTGCCTCCCATTGTAATTGTCGCAATCTCAATCTGTGCCGCCTGGTTGCCGGTTGCTACAAGTGCGTATCTCTAGCTATTTCTGTATCTGAATCTCTAGAGCCGAGTATCTTGTGACTGCCTGAGCTTCGACTTTCATCTGTGTGTGTGTGTGCAGTATCTGTGGGGCAGCCTACATTTCGGGTGGAGCGACAAGAGACACATAATTCGACAGAGAGCTAGTTCGGGAATGTTTCGAAACAAGCCAGAAAACATCATTAAAACGCTCCGAGGAACCGAAATCGAAATCGAGTGGCTCAAAGCGATGCGGCTGCCAATTTGCGATGGCGGAGCAGATTGGAAATTGCTTCGTTAAACGCTCGATTATTTGTTGGCACTCGCATCTCACTTCTCACAACTCAAAGCGTTTTTATTGGACACGGTTGGGTTTGGCGTCTTATATTTTTTTTCTCCAGCCGTTTGCCTGGCGCTCAAATTTACTTTTGTTTGCAACTTTCTATGCATTTCTCTTTTTGCAATTGTTGCACTTTTCCTTTTAGCGCTCGTCGTTTGCCGTCGCTGCTGTGTTGCTGTTTTATGGCTTTCCATGAAAATTGCTGAAACGGTCGGTCAGTCCGTCGTCTAGTTCGATGGAAAAAAATCGAGCTGTGGCTCTGTCATAGTTTATAACTTGCGCGACTCGTCTTTCCCTGGGAAACTCCAACTACTCCTCCATCGCCGAGCCCAAAAAAAAGAAGGAAAATAGTTTTTTCTTAGCCAACAGAGCTGTGAAAATTCGTCGTCTGTTTGCTCTTAGCACTTTGGCTTGAACAGCTTTCGTAACTGTTTCTGGTTGTTTGTTTTCGGAATTCTACAAATTGGGGCCATCATTAATCAGTTATCGCATTCTCATAACTCGGCTCCATGGCCAGCGGCTATGCAAAAAGTTACAGTTAGCCGACCGCAGCTCCAAAGAGTCTAACGCACCCAGTAAAAGTTGTTCGACTTCCCCTTAAAACAGCGTTGCAAGTTCTTAGTTGCAAGTTCTCAGCTGTAAGTCCCAGTTGCATGTGGCAAGAGCAACTGCACTTCGACCAACTGAAAAGCTGGCTTTTTGCCTTTTTTCTGGCCGGTTTCCCAGCCGGAGTGCTAATCGCAGCGCTGAGTTGTTGCCTCTCGGCTGGAGAACAAGTGCAGCTAGCATCTAACGTTGTTATTCAATCTGCATAGACATCTACTGTAGTCTTGCACTGGGAAAAAATCTACTAGACAATGTATGTTCGTTTAGTAATCTCTGTCTCATAATCTTGCTTTTCTAAAGCCACTGAACCATAAAATCATATTACGCAGCTTGTAAACAATGGACTTTACAAACAATACTCCATTCCATTTCACTCTGTTTTTGTTTTCTCAAGAAAGTTCTAATACAATTTTTTTCAGCTAACGTTGGCTTGACACTTTAAGACTTTCTCTTCTACAAGATAATAAATTAAGACTTGTAACTATTTAGCTATGTATTTATACAGAAGCCCTGACCTTAGATTAAAAGCAAGTTATTATAATTCTGTGAATACCTTTATATGGGACATATTAAAACCCAACTTTTGCCAAGTAAAATTGTTTATATTTTCTTTAAGAAATCTTTTTGATACTTTGTTTGAATAACAATAAACACTCTACAAGAAATGAAGTATTCTTTGGCACTAAAAAGCCTCGTATTTATTCAATTTGAGTTAGTGAACTCCACAAACAGAGCTTTCGCATATGAAGAACTTTTTTGTTTTGGTAACTGTGGCATAGTTTTTCGCTCAGTGCATCCACCTGAGTGTGTTTTGTTTGCCTGCGGTTACGTGACTGGCCGCAGAAGCCCGTTAGATGGCCCGCAGCTGTCGCAGAAGTCTAAATCTAAGTCTGATTCTGATGCCGAATCCCGATCCAAACCTGACCGTTAGCCCAAACTATTTTCCCGAATGTTTTGTAGGGGTGAAGGGGGAAGAATTACGTTTTTGTGGCTGGAGACTGCAAGCCGGTGCCGTTTGGGTTTGACAGTGCTAGATGGCCGGATTTATCTGGGAGCTGAAAACGCGGATGCTGGTGGACCACAATTCTTTTGTTGAATCAAATCACAATCGCTGGCGGCACGTTTGAACTTGAAAGAGGTGGAAAAATATATTTCGTGTAGCGATTATGTCAGCGAGTTGTAAATTATTTATTTATGTGTAAGCTTTTAGCGTCGAGTGCTGCAATCAGAATTTCAACAAGACGAACGATTAAGCGAAAAACGCTTATAAGAATTTGCGGAGCGTTGCACAAAAATGACATCGCGGCACGACCACGATTCGGCGCACGTTTTAATCGCGTTTTTACCACGGACCGGCGACACTTTAGTTTTATATTCGTTTTTAGTACGTTATGTGCTTAAGTATTTATAATCACTCGCGTTTGAACTCCGGCTCTCTGTGGTTGGGTTTGGGTCTGAAGTTCGGGGAGTTTGGGTATTTTTTTTTTGGGGGAGTCAGGGGGTTAAGGGGTTTGGGGGCTTGGGGGCGCGTCAGAAACCAGTTAATGTTGCTGGCTGCTTTTGCTGCCTTTTGCTGCTTTTCGACAATTTTCGTTATTAAATTATGCACACAGCTCAGAGACAGACAGCCAGGCAGTTTCACTTTGAGCGGCTGTGGCTCATAAAAATCCCAAAACAGCCGAACGCTGGAAGTGGGAATGTGTGCCAATATGCTGAGCGGAAATGGCCAAAAGCGACGGGTAAAAGCGGGCTAAAGGAGGCTAAAGCCGTCGAGAGGTGTGGCTCATTGTTAAACACGAAAAAAAAATACAAAAAAGAAACGTAACGGAGCCAAACGAAATCGAAATGTTTGCTCACGATGCTTAAACTTGAAGCATATATTTTCTCGTGTTTCGTGAGCTTAAATCGGGTGGAAAGCGGCCGACGTGGCCAAGAAATCGCAATCGGAGATCCGAGATCTGGAGATCTGGCGCATACCTGTCGCGCCCTTTTCGCATACCTGACTGACAACCTATCCCAACGGGTTTTTGGCTGCAGCAGGAGCGGATATTTTCCTTATTTTTATACCCTTGCAGAGCAAAAGGGTATTATAATTTCAGTCAGAAGTTTGCAACGCAGTGAAGGAGACACCTCAGACCCCATAAGGTATATATATTCTTGATCCGCATCACGAGCAGAATCGAAATATGTATGTACGTCTGTCCGTCTGTCCGTCTGTCCGTCTGTCCGTCTGTCCGTCTGTCCGTCTGTCCGTCTGTCCGTTTCCGCGCAAACTAGTCTCTCAGTTTTAAAGCTATCGTGCTGAAACTTTCCCAAAAGTTGTGTAGTTGTTGCACGCAGTATATAAGTCGGAACGGGCCGGATCGGCCGACTATATCGGATAGCTCCAATACAAGAGAATGAAATTAAAAATTCTCACTCTGTTGTTTTTGATCAGATCGACTTGAATTCTTCAAGATGGCGTTTTCTAACTGTTATTGAATTTCGGATTAAATTTGATCAAAATCGGATAACTCTATCATATAGCTGCCATAGGAGGGATCGAAAATTATATATAGAATTAATGGAAATAAATTGATAACATCGTTGTTTTTCATCAGACAAGTATGATTTTTGGAATATAGAGTGTTCTTACGACTCTTGAATTACGAGTTAAATTTGATCAAAATCGGACAACTATATCGTATAGCTCCCATATGATCTATAGTCAAAAATATGGAAAATGAATAGAAAAATCGTCTTAGCTTCGATGTTGTCTAGCCTTTATGCGTTTTGTTCGACAAATTTGATGACTGCAAGGGTATATAAGCTTCGGCTTGCCGAAGCTAGCTTCCTTTCTTGTTTTTCCTTTTTTCTACCTGGGCGAATAGCTTTGATTTCCGCCTCGGCCGAGAAATGTGTGTGTACACACACAAACACACAATGCCTGCAACACTGGCATGCAACAAGTGCGCCTTGAACCACATACAAGCTGCACCACCGCGTATCTGTATCTGTAGCTGTTGTATCTGCGCCTTTTGGCTTGGCCAAGAGTGCAAGTTGCAATTGCAAACCAAGATGGCCGCCCGCTTTGTCACTTTGTCTGCGGCTAATAAAAAATTGCATGCGCACTGCGGAGATAGTTTTCTTCGCATATTTATTGAATCGACCTGGCCAAAACACAGAGCCACCGCAAAGCTGCCACCGATCTGCACGCCGCCTGAGCTTCGGGTTTAAATAAATTCCAGCTTAAAGGTTCATTAAACTGGTTTTCGTTCGCACAGAAGACCCCGAATTGTTGTAGGAAGGGAGCCACAAAAACAGAGAGTGGAGGGGCGGATATTAGCATATTTCTTTGGCTTAGAAATCTCCGACACGGAATCTTTTCGATTCGCTTCACATTCCGGGGAGCCCAAAAACTAAGAATGAGCTCCGCGTTCTTTTGCCAGACAACTGTTATTTTGTTAACGCGTGGGGTTCTGGCTACTTGTTGTTTTTAACACACAATTCTTCACTTTTATCTGATTCCCCGCTAGCCACAATCACACAAACACAATGCGTTTTTCTTGCCAATTTTCCTGGCTTGCTGCGATGCCGCCGACGTGTCAGTTTCGTTTGGAGCGCGATCGTCGAATGCCAACGCGACTCTCGGCGGCAGCGCCTTTAGCTCAGAAACCCGTCGAGCAAGTAAAGCAGAGCGGAGAGAGCGAACTGAGAGCGTCAGAGCGTAAAACCAAGAGAGATCGCAGCAGGTGAGCGCAGGTGAGCAGGTGAGCGAGAGAGGTGGGAGCAGGGAGAGTCTGCGTGAGTGAGAGACTGAGAGAGCTACTCACATGCAGCGAATTCGCCGCACAGTGGCTAGAATTCTTTACAAACATCTCGAAAAAACAAAACACGAAGCCAAGCAGAGATAATCAAACTTTCTTGAACGATATAGAATGAAATATTGGTGTTTTTTTTTTAAAGTGTTTACGATCTAAGAAATAAGCTTCATTTTTTCCTTTTTTTAAAGAAGTGATAATTAATTATTTTATCAGTCAACATTTTATTAACTCCATAAATAGTTTCAAAGCAGTCAAAGTAACTTAACTAAGAAAACCATTGTAAAATGTTCTGAAGTTTAAAGTTTTTCCGTTTAAAACTTTTTAGGTATCGACCTGATAAAAAATTTTTAATAATAGCAGGTGAAAATAAAGAAATAATCATCATTTATCAAGAACAGGTGTCTGCATTTTTTTTAAATCTTCGTAAGAGCACAACAATAGAAAACCCAAACAGATAGCTATTTCTATCTAAGATCATGGCCAAAATATGTGGTCCAAAGTGAGATGCCTTTATAAGTAAGTTAGCAACTTAAACCCACCCACATGTCGGATACAAAGTGAACTCGAGACTCACCTGGAACTGTTTCGCCATTGAAGGTGATCTGCACCGTGTGCGTTCCATGTTCGTGGGGCGTGAAGCTGGCGATGAACCTCTGACCTCCCAGCGAGCGGACCGAGGAGGTGACACGCCCGCCGTTGACCAGGATCTCCAGATTACCGGATCCTGCCTTCGAGCCATCGATCTCGAACTCGACGGGTCTTCCGATAGAGCCATTCGGAATATCCTGCACCCGAATCGCCCTGGCACCAGTGGCATTGCTGTCTATGGGTCGAAATCTAGACAGGGAGCTGTATCCATAACCAGGAGCAGTTCCATGTCCGTTGCTCTCGGTTACCACATGTTCGCTGGACTCCTTTACGGTTTTCGTATATCCACCGGACTTGTCCGTGTAAGTATTGTTCGAATGTGACTTGACTGTAATGGCACTGGGTCTGCAAAGGAGTTTAGATGAACAGAAATGTTAGTTATGCAGTTTATAGTAGATGGAGTTTAATTTCATAAATACACCCAATACTCTTTTGTCAACTCATACGATTTCTAAACAGTTGACAAAGCACAAAGTTACGCAAATAAATTATTATTTGAAATAATATAAAATATAAAATTCTTGCTGTTTGGCCTATAAAGCATATTGCACTTTATTATAAAAAAATTTATTAAGGTTTTACATTTTAGCTTTGCTTGGCTGGTTAGTCTTTTAATAAGAAATCATATGAGTTAACCCAATAGCACAACATAAATACACAAGACAGTGTAAATTCAGAAGTAGATTAAATATTACATTTAGTTAAATACAATTAGCACCAGTTTGACAAGATGTAAATTAATAATTATTAACACAAATTTGACAAGCATCTTTTAAAAGATTTTGTACTTGTAGAACCACTCTGCTGTCTTAACTTTTGTTGACAATAATGATTTTTCTGGCTGTGTGGTTCTTTTTATTAATCATAATAAAGGTGTCTGCATATCAAAAGCGGACTATTTAAGCCCAGTTAAGATATCCTTAAAATTTTTAAAGGATTTGCTTAGACACCTTTTTAAAGTTATATAATTTGTATGGCAAGCTCTGTTAGTTGGTTTTCTAATTCTATGTTAGGTTATTACTTGTAGCGCTCCCCATCATCGGGGGAATCCCGGCGGTAGTCCGACTGCTGCTGCTGCTGCTGCTTGTGCAGAGCGAACTTGTTGTACTGGGTGTTCCGGTGCGTCTCGTGGTCCAAGTCCGGCCGGTTGTACTGCAGTTCCGTGTTCAGCTGCTTCTCGGTCATGTTCGCCAGCGATTCGAGCGAATTGTGCGAGAGCATGTGCTTCGTCTTGTTGATGACGTCCCAGCTGTCCCTTCTGGCGGTGGCCGGCTTCATCGAGGACACCCTCACATTGGAGGAGTGATCGATGCGCGGCTCCGGCGATCCAGTCCGGCGGAGTCGCTCCGCAGTTCCGTACAGCGAGGGACTGGCCCGCATGTTCGAGTCGGTCACGTAGTTCGATGTGGACTTGTACGTCGACGATTTCTCGACGGTTCGCGAGGTTTCGTAGCCATTCTGGGGAGGCAACAAAAATTATGATGAATTGGGGATTATATTATAAAAAATTACATTTAATAATGTTTCATATCTTTAAAATGTTGTTAAAAAATATTTAAATTTAAAAAAAATATTTATATTTAAATATTTAAAAAACCGTTAAATCAAAATTAAATTGCCTACTTTTAGACACTTTTTAAAACGTTTTTAATTCGGTATATATTAAAAAAGGTTTTAAAACAAATCCGGTTTTGTTTAAACAACAACATGAAATGTTATACAAAAAAAAAACGAATTAATCTAATATGAAATATATATTGCCACAAAATTAGTGACTTTTGAATATTGGTAACATGTCGTGAACTACGAGGAATTTTCGTTATTGACATTGATTCCAGAAAAACTTTAGTATGTTTACGTTTTTATGATTTTTATAATTACCTTGCTCACTGGACTGGTCAAAGGACTTCCCATCCTGTGGGTGGCCGTGGAAATATAGGCGCTATTGGGAGAATAACGTTGCACAGGTGAAACAGAGGCGTGTCTTGGACTGCTGGTGATGTTCCGCGTAGAGCTCTCGTATTGATTGGACGTCTTGATGGTCAACGGGCTGTGGGTGTGCATCTCGCTCGATCGGGTCTACAAAAAATACAGAAAGGATTACCAAGCATTCCACACAAGTATTAAACACAAAGCAGGCAAGAGTTAATCTTTGGTTTTCGGATAGTTCTCTTTTTGGTTGGGATAGCAAATCGAAATAGAAACAAACAAAAATTTAGTTACATTGAGTGTGGGACTAGGAATTGGACTAAGCGATCTGGTCAGAGTGCTGGTGGCCAACTGCTGGTGGCGCTGCTGCTGGTGGAAGCTGCTGCTGCTGCTGGTGGTGTTGCTGACATTGGTGGTGCTGGTCAGCTCACGTTCCTCGCGCGGTGGCGTCAACTTGGGCTTGGTCACTCCCCTTCGCTGGCTGTACAACTCGTTCTCCTTGTCATAATAGTAATCATTTTTCGAAGAGCTGCTGTTCGAAGCCTTCGAATCGCGTCTTCCGTTCAGAGTTTCCGTATAAAGATCGGCGGAGTTTAGATACTTCACCGTGGGTGAGCCACTGATTGGTGGTGCAGCTGGTGGTGGTGTGGCCTGGTTCTCCTGTCGAAGGTAGTTTTCAGTGTGTGTGTGTGTTTGGGGACCGGACCAAGGATGAAGGATGTGTGTGTGTGTGTTAGCCAAAACATTCAATTTTGATGGGTTTCGGGATTGGAAAGTAATAAACCCCATGCCGCATGCCATGTATTTTCTTCCCGATTTCTACTTACCTCACTTTCCCGTTTATAGTACCTTGAACTCGAACTGTGATAATCGGTTGTATCCAACTTGGGGGAATATTGTGGCGAATAGCTGTTGGTCCTTTCAGCCGTATTGTGTCTCGAAAGGGAGGAGTTGCGGTAGTCATTGTGCCGGGTATTCGTGGTGGATATAAAGTGCATCGAGGGACTTTCCGAGCGGTGTTTGCTGTCGTGCAGCGGACTGCTCCGTGTTTTTCCTGATCTTCCTTTGGTTCCAACACGCATGCTGAAATATAACTCATATTATTATTAAGTGTCCTTATTAAATTGGTAATACTACAACAAAGATATAGGTATTTAAAGCTTGAACAAGCAATAGAGTTTACTTAAGCAAAATTTGTATAATAATTTACTTTAAATGCTTTAAGTACCAAATAAATTAAATATTAACATGATTTAATTTATTTCTAAGAACTAAGTAGTTAGCCGAAGCTGATAATTTTCTTCTTAAAAAAAAAAAAAAAAAAAAATAAAACATATTCATACATAGGTACTTCATTTGTTTAAAAATAAAATTATTAAATTGTTGGAACTAAAATTCTGATATATTATTAGAGATTTTTATTCTTTACTAGTAAGTTTACTCACATGAAAGGCGATCCCTTGACATCGTAGCCATTGAAGTAGATGTACACCCGGTACTTTCCGTTCTGCCTGGGCATAAAGGTCACCCGGTACTTGTTCTCCACGATCTTCTCCACAGAGCAGACCAGCGAGTGCTTATCGTGGACGATGTCCACATGGAGTTCCCCGGAGACACCCACTCCACGGGCATCCACCTCGAAGGTGTGGGCCCTCAAGGGCATGGCTCCATCCAATCCATGAACGGAAACCCCGGAGGCATCGAAAACGGCACAGGTGAAGGGTCCTCCCTGGATGTGGCGACCCTGGTAGGTGATGGCTATCTCCCAAATGCCCGCCTCATCCGGCTTGAATATGGCACTGTGACCCTCGTCGATCTTCTTCAGCGGACAGTTGTGCGAAATGCCAGTGGGTGAGACCGCCGTGACCAGGATGTCCTCCGTTTTTCGGAGCCCCAGTGGCATTCACTAGAACCTCAACGAGGCTTCCCAAGGCACAGGGCGCCATTCCCGGAGGCGCCACCTGCAGCAAACGAGGCAGAGCACGGAAGAAGTGTCCGCCCAAACTGTCCTCGCCGATCTCGACCACAATCTCGTGCATTCCATAGCGCTCCGGAACAAAGACTCCCTCCCCGTGGGCATTCAGTCGCACCGGCTGCCCTGGCTGTCCGGACGGAGGAACCACGTGGCAGCGCACCGAGCTGAGGCTTATATCCCGCGACATCACGTCCACGCGGAAGTGGGTCTGCGTGTGAATCGGACATTAAACATTTACCAACTGCACTTGCACTGCACTGGAAAGTGTCATTTGTGCATATATTTTTTAACAGTTACGGGCAGAATTATAGTACTCAACACTATTTAATAGTAAAGTTTACATGGAAAGAAATATTATGGTAATCTGTTCTAAATAAAATGTCTTAACTTTACGTTCATTTTCAGTTAAATGTCAAAGTTCAGTTTAAAATTTTTTGAGAATTTCTTTTAATAAATAGTGAGAAAGTTTTGAATATTATTATTAATATTTTAAATATTAAGTTAGTGGATTCAAATATGAGTTCATTCTGATAGCCCAATTTGTAATGTTGAAGACTGGATCTATAATTCTGCCCGGCACTGTCACCATATGGTCCACTCACCGGTTCGCCCACCCGACCGGATGTGCTCTCCAGGTAAACGGAGACCAAGTCGGAGAGCGGCGGCCTCGGCGGCACCCACTGCAGGTGGGCCGCGTAGGCCATGATGCCCAGGTGCTCCACTTCCGGATTGGCCATGTCCTTGGCCGTCAGGATGGGCTGCACTCCCAGCCGGGCACCCGCGTCCACCGCCTTGCGAATGTTGTTCTCGTAGTGGAAGGGATCGGTGCTGAGCTTTTCCGGTGCGGGCGCCGAGCCGCCCAGTCCCTTAATTATTTCGCACATTACGCGTCCGTCATTCCAATCGGTCTGCAAAATTAAGACGCCATTAAATGAAAAGCTTCTTTTGAAAAGGGGGAAAAATGAAGTGCAATAAGTGTTTGTGTTCTCAGTGAATGCAATGTATTGGAAAAATGTGAAATCAAATTTAAAAGCTATATTAATTTTTGAATAGCATTATATTGGATTTAATCTTAATTTTTATTTCTCTCAAAATGTACTACCATACTTAATGCAAATATGAAGTTTTTAAGATAATACTTTTGAAAAAACGAAAATTGAAAAAAAAGGTTCATTAAAATACTATCTATTTAAACCAATTATTATGAATACATTTTAAACGAATTAGACCACATTTTCACAAATCGCTTTCTTTAATTAAAGAAATATATTTCAATTTTTGTGAAGTGTTCTTTTAAATAAATAAAAACATCTCATTTAACTGTTCTTTTGAAAACAGAAACAAACACTTTTAAAGTTTGTAACCACATTACAAACTTTTTATTTAGTTTTACAATTTCCCTCAACTCACCGTAAAGTTCTTGACAGGATCCTTGACCTGGGTGTTCACCCACCGCATGGTGGCATTGTAGCCAGGACCACCTGGCTTCATGAAGTAGGAAAGGTACGTCATTCCCGACAGTTCGTCCAACCAGGGCGAGGCCAAGTACTCCGGTTCCAAGACCTTGGGAACTCCAAACTCCCGCTGGGCCAAATCCATGGCTTGGGTGCAGTTCCTCACACTCTGGCTGGGATCCATGCTTCGCCAGTGGGGGAACAGACCCGGCTGGCAGTAGTCCAAAAGTGCCGCCAGGTTGACACCACTATTCCAATCGGTGGTCAGATTGGTGATCCTGCAATCCGGCAAAGCGGCCTGCAGCCAAGCCAGCATTAACTTTCGTGGCGGGAATTTACTGCGTCCAATCTGATATCGCACAATCAGCGACCAGATCAATCCCAGGATCAGCTTTATGTTGCCATTGACTATATCCACATTGCCAATGTTCACCAGCTTGATGTGGTCCGCCTCGATGGACTTCAGCGCCGTGGTGGCATTCTCCAAATAGTGATGCTGGTTGGCGGGTCTGCGATTCCACGAGGGCTTCAATGGACGCGTCTGCAGATTCTCCACCAGGGCACACAGGCAGGTGCCATCGCAGAAATCGGTGGCCCAGTCATGCACCTGGGAAACACAATAGAAATTAGCATTAACTTGGCTCTATAATTAACAAGAGTAATGGGAAGATTTTGCAGAGACACAAGACCATGTTTGTGATTGTATTCACTTAGTAAATTAATTAGGCTAGTAGGAAAACTAGACTATACTTGAATTGCAAAGGGAAAAATATTGTTTGGTAACAGTTCAGTAAGATACGGTTGTGTTAGGATTACATATATCAAATATATAACAATACTGATTAAATTTGGCAGTAGACTGTTGAATATCTTTGATGTAATAATGATCTTTCTTTTATAGTAAATAATAAAATTTATAAGAAATTTTTTTTTTTAAATAATTTGTTCTTATAGAATAACATAAATTTAATATTTATTTTTGAAGCGGAACTTTTTTACTATCTGAACTTTGTATTTTATATCTGAAGTATTTAGCAAACCTAAAAACAAAGTTGTTAAAACGGTATTTGTGGTTTATTATTACTGTCTGGTTTTTGCTTATGTAAATACAAATAAATATGTTTGTAGATCTTTTGCGGTACCTACATCAAATCAGAGATTATAAAACGTGTGCGACGCCCTCCCGAGTCTGTCTGTCCGATTGCAAGAGGGCCGCTTGACAGACAGCCTTCCTAATGAGCAGTCAACTCGCCGCCCCTTCCGCCCAACTGTTGGCCCACTTTACAAGGTGAACCGCCTGCTTGGAGCTCAGGAAAGAAACAAAACATGGAACCTGGGGATCTTGGCTGCTTGGAACTTGGGAGCTTGGAAACTTGGTAAAAACCAACAGGTTCGCCGCCACTCGGAACTGAACGGCTTTCTCCGCCCGGGTGCAACCAATTGTGCGCGATTTTAAGCATTTGACATAAAGCTTTTTATCTGCTGGCTGTCAGCATTTGGCCGGGAAACTGAAGATAGGCAACTGGGTATGGGTATGGGTATGGGGACAATCGCGTGTCTGTTGCTGTTTGTTTGTGCCTAGCAAAATATTCATTGGATGCCATAAAAATCTCGCACATAGTTGCGCCACGGCTCTCTAACAAGCTGCCGCAGGTTGTTATTTGTCGCTGCCTTTGTTGTTATTGTTGTTCTCAGCGCACAACCTTTAAATTTTTAACATTCCTCTTGATTTTACGATATGAACTCAAGCTTTTGGGGAGAAGTCGCATTTTTCCCTACGTTTTTACCTGAATTTTTATTTGCATGCGAAGCTTATGTATGTACATATGCTGTATGTATATATGTTTTATATACATGTTAAAAATGATAGAGTCAATAATACATTTGAATTTAAAGAGTACGGCTTATAAAATTTTTTTATTTCAGTTGCCATTAAGATGTGGTCTGTTGCTTGTCTCTACAAATCTATGTTCCAAATATACGAAATATAAATATTTTTAAAATAGATTTATATTTAGCTTCCTAAATAAATGATTTTTATATATATATATTTATTTGCATATTACTTGAAATTGTGTGATTGAATGTAATAACTATATCAATTAATTTAGAAGTGGAATACGAAGTATAAATATATTTTCCTGTGCATGACACATCATCTTCACTTAAAATCTTCCCCTTTGTTTGTGCATGCACTTGTCATACAAAGTTGATTGCAATATTATTTGTCTCATATTTACGCATGAGCTAGAATTGTAAACAGCGCTAAAAGCGCAAACTTGGCTGTCTGGTTTTGGTTTGCTGACCCAAATAGACGAAAGCCAGGTCACTTTGGCCTGGCTCTCAATTAGCGCTGTTTACTGGGGTCTTCAGCCTTGCTCATCACATTCGTTTTAACCTTTTTTTTTTGGCCCAGCCGAGAAACCAACAAATGAAAAAACACACGAAAATTATACACAAAACTGGGCAAGATCGCGGACAAAAGCTTTAGCTTGTTTTGTGTTTTGTATATTGTGTATTGTAACTGGTAATGGGAATTCGATGCGTCGGCCTTGGCATTCAACCGGCCAAATATGGTTGCTTCAGGTCGCTCCGTTCGGTGCGTGTGAGAAAAATCCGACTGGCTGACAATCGAAAAGTCCCCGGACAAAACGACAAAATGAAATGCATTGTTGGCATCACGTTAATTCGTTTTGAGTACTCTTGGCATTATTGTAATTGTAATCGCTGGTGCCACTTGCCATTGAAGTTGCTGCGCTGCGTGGGCGTTTGAGCCGAGTTTCATGAGCCCGGCCATTTAAGGCAACTTGCGGAAGAGCTCGGAGGCCCAGTTTATGATGGGGTTTGATATTTTTACGGGTTCTGTCACCTGCCCAAGAGCTCATATGGCCAGCTTGAATGCTCATATTTAGCGAGAATGGGATCGGTAAGCGACTTAATTCGAATTACTTGGTTTGGGAAAGATTTATGTATGTTATAAATTAACATTCGAAATATAATATAAAAAGTTAATCCTACTGGAACTATCAAGTTAAGGTTCTTAACCATTGTACTCAAATTAATCTCTAAGGAAAGCGTTTTGTCTGTTATATATTTAATAATCTAAAACATATAACAATACGAAGTTTAATCTCTCAAATATATTCCTAAATGTTTTATAAATTGTGCTTTTAAACTATAATTTTCCTCTTTATAATTTTAAATGGTTAACAATTGTGTTTCCTAGCTCAAAAAAAATCAATGGCTTTAATTGTCTAATTTTCCGATTGCCTGAAGTTTTTAATTATGTATTTTGCTCAAGTTAACTAATTAACCAATATACTATATTTTGGTGTTGCTATGGTCTCTTTACCTAAACCTATTGCGTTTATTTTTCTAATTGCAGACAATACCTAGAATAATTTTAAAACCTTTAATTTCCTGTATAGAATTCCAGCCTTAGCTATGTATTTTTTAAACCTTATAGTAGATTCTCAGGCCCTGCTTCATCGATAGTTCGTTCTACGAATTCCGTATTCAACGGACCCGCCGCACTGATTGGGTAATCGTTTGTCGCGCTTGATCGATCAGATATTCAGTGGGTTAGAAAGTGTTACCTAACTAGCCTGGGGGAACGGAATGAAGTATCTACTCTATCTATGTATATATGAATGTATCTGCGACTCACCTGCATGCCCGTTTCGCGTAGGTGCTCGTTGACCCAGTTGCGGAATGTGTTCGCCTGGATCTCCACCCAGAGATCCTCGTTGCCGCGGATGTTCATGCCCTTGGCGGCGGTGCCCTCGGGACTCCGGGCCACCAAACCGGCGTGGGTGATCTTCTGCGTCTCGGTGGTGCCATCGGAGTTGTGCTTAAGCAGCCCCGCATGCGTCACCTTGGCGCCTTTTATGTCCTTGACGTCCATCGCACGTCGTCGCTGAACTTCGCGTCACTTCACTTCACCTCGCGTCACCTCAGCTCAGCTCACCTCACCTCGCACATATGTACAGGTGTAACTCGGCGTTCAAACACTGATCGGGAAAATGGACAAAAGAATTTGCTATTGATCAAACACGGCTCGCAATAAGCTTTAGTTTCGGTTTCAGTTTCAGTTTTCAGTTTTAGTTTCGTTTGCACGCGTTCGCAGCTCGAAGCGAACTGTTTTTATTTTTCAACCAGTTCGATCGGAGCGATCGCTCTCTTGGCCAGGCCAAAACAAACGATGACGTCATTGACTCAAAGCTCAAAGCTCCGGAGAGCAACAGGAAGGCAAAAAAAAAGTAAGAAATAAAAAATGCGGGGGGTTTCGCCAGCGAATGTGTGTGTGCGAATATATCTCTGAATCTGGCTATAAAGCAAAACTGGTTTCGTCGCTTCCAAGCCAAAACGAAGCGGGCGAAAAGGAAAATTGAATACAAAAATAACAAATAAGAAATAAGAAAATAATAAAAAAAAAAAAAAAAACAACTACGTGAAAAAAAAGAGTCTGAAAAATAACAGAAATCACTTAGTTTGGAATTTCGCCGCGGCAAAAGCGAGCAGATCTGGTGGGCAGTGCTCTGTTGAATGTTGAATGTTGAATGGCTGTTGCTTTTGCTTTTGCTGTGAATGTTGACGTTTGAGCAAGTCTTTCACAAACGCCACGATCGCTAGAAGGCCAACATGTGTGTAAACGTGGGAGCCGTTGCCACCACCGTCAATGATAATGGCCGTAATCACAGCAATGAAATCTGCCGCGATCAATTGTCAATTGTTTGCTGCCCGTTTTCACTTGTCGCACTTTTACCCTAACAATTTGCACAAACCGAAAGTTGGCCTGTCTCTTCTGTTTGGCCTTTTTGGCATTATTCCACACACCGCATCGCAAAAGACAACGAGGCGTCAAAAGACTGTCTAACCAACTTAATTATAGGAAATCCGGTTGCGTTTCCAACCAGTCAGTTTGCCAGCGCATATATCATTATAGCATGTCCAGTTCTGAGCGAGGCTGGTATGCAGATTTCCAAACACCAAATACTGTTTATTGACAAACACTTTTCGGAGAGGTAAACAACTCGGGGATGACATCACTCGTCACTTGCTCGGCTCAGCGATGAGTTGTGGCTTGAACTGTTTTTTAACGCCCCTACAGAAGAGTACAAAGCGAGAAAATATAACCAAAATTGGTGTTCCAAATACACTTTACTTGTAATTAAAAATTCCAATTTGAAACAGAAACAAACATGCCTTGTTAACCAATTAATCTGACCCAAATGACAGACTTTAGTATTTAAATAAACAGAAGCTATTATACTAATCTTTTCAACTGAATTTCCCATATAAAACTCAGCGCTTACATGCTATTGTATTTTATGTACTTCAATTTATTTCAAGCTAAGATGACAAATCCGAATTGTATTTTTGTTTTTTTCCGAGTGACAAAACTGCGTTGCTCGGATCGCATAAATTAACTGCCGGGGACGGCAAGAAAAAAGTGGAAATAAATGAATTGCTCCTCCGACTTATGAGTGATCCCGTGGCTGATGTCATTTACTGACACTTGACATTGGCAATGAACCTAATTAGTTGCACTCGCCGGTGGAGTGGAATGAGCCCCAATCAACTCCGCTCCTCACCGAGTTCTATATTTTGTATTTGGTTTTGTTTTACTTATTTTTTGCTCGCGGCAAGGCCATGGGAATGGTAATGGGTAATGTTAATGGGAATGGGAATCGGAATGGCAGTCGGAATCTGACGCACTGGCCAATCCGCTCCCTAGTTTACTCAGTTGGTCAGCAGGCAAATATCGAAAGTGTTGTCGTGACTTAAAATGGGTAGAAGAGGGCCAGCTAGCGAGCACACCTAGTTTAGGGATATTACGTAATGCCCAAAAATTCATGACTTTGCAACTGGCAAATATCTGAATGTATGTATGTATATATATCGGGTGTATCTATATCAGAGAATGCGATGTGCACGTAGGTGTCTGGCATTTTTTACACTTTTCGATTTGTTTGCTGTCCGAATATATACGTTTTTTTTCGTTGCTTAGCTTTTTTTTTGCCATTTCAACCCACACGAAAGCCAAGCAAAATCTCGTAGTCGTCGTCATCGTCATCGGGGCTGCCACCCACATGGTGTGGTTCAACGCCTCGTTCTAGACGTGGGTGCGATTTCAAGTTTGACTTTTTTGATTTGTGCCAAAACCGTGTACCAAATGGCCATTGATTTCTCAATGGTTCTGTAGTGGCTGCCCAGCTACAACTCTGTTTAAATCGGAGCTGTGGGAATATATTTGGTTAAGTGTTCTATGACAACGTCATTAACTCTGAAATATATGGGATTAACCGGAGCGGAGGTGAAGCCCATAATTATGTTGATGGATGGTTACGGAATTTACTACGAGAAGCTGGGATGTTCGTTGATTGATTTTGAAAAATGAATAGGGGATTACTTGCTGATATGCTTTACTACTTTTATATATATATTAGTCCCATCATGCAATGTTTCCCACAAGTTTTAACAAATTTAGATTTTTGAACACAGTATTTTACCCTTCATATGAAGTTACAAAATCTTCTTTTTTAACTAGTCTGTGCGAGATCCAAAAAAGCTTAAGAAAGCAATTAACATTTCTTTTAAAATTTATTTTGTATTGGTTGAAGGTATTGCAAGTCCTGAAAAAGTTAAAAAGCCAAACAATCCATTTAAATGCTTTGATCTTTATATTCAACATTTTCTAGACTCTAAGTTTGACCACAACTGTTCTTGCTAAGAAGTTAAAGTGTAATTTGATTGGTATTTCCTTCTCAGAGCGAATGAACTTCAACGACTAGACGTGGGCTATTAGTTTGCCTCGCGATATTACATATTCCATTTCCTGTTGGCCAAATGCGATTGTAACACTTGCCCCTCGGCTGACAGCCACGCCCCAAAGTTAAATGATGGCCTATTAGCGCACGCTTCTAAGGCAAACAAGCGTTTATTTTTGGCAGCATTTTTATGGCTGTTCGTCATAAATAGAAAACACTCCAAGCGAATAGCTAGCACCGACATACGCACACACACACACACATACACATATATGTATACACATGTGGATGTTCGCTGGTCTTTTTGAGGCGCTGCCAAGTTTGTGTCTTCAGTCTTTTGATTAATGCCGTTAGGCGTCGCCAAAGCGCAACCAAGCCAAACCTTCTTGCCAAGTGCGATTGCGAGTGTGTGTTCTTTTGTTTTTTAATTTTTGCTCATTACTCTGCCTCGTTTATTCGCCTAAAAGCCGCAGCAATTACAATTGAAGTACGGAAAATGCTCTTTAAGCCAGCCTTTAAATTTGAAAACCAATCGAACCGAAAACCAGCGGAAAAACCAGATTCAGATTCAGACACAAGACCAGACTAAGATTCAGATTCGCTTTCGGTTTTAACTTTGGCTTTGGTTTTGCTTTTGTTGTTGTTGCTGTTGCTGTTGTTATTGGTGTTGTTGTTTTCGCTTCCCCTCCGCATTCGCCTATTATGCAATGGGCTAGGCCAGATATCTAAATCTGAATATCTTATAACTGCGACTTTTGGTATTTATGCTGTCGGCCAAGTTGTTTTTTCTTTTTTTTTTTGCTCATTTGTCTTGTTTTCTTTCCGTTTCACACGGCTCGCGGTTCGTTCACGTGTTTAGCACAAATTCCGCACAGAATTATATAAACATAAATATATATCCCCACTAATTTAAGCAGCAGCTCGAAATTAGAACAACGCTCGGCACGCAAGTCTCTCGCTCGGAACCAAAGAGAACCAACGTACAGAAAAGATAGAGTCGAAGTTAAACACAAGGCAAACGGCGAGGCACATGAAGATTCATAAAACAAAAAAATATGTAGTTAACGTTAACGTTAGACGACGGCATCAGAAGTTATTAAAAAGTCGGTGGGGGAAGTTAACACACACACACAGCACGGCACAAATATGTGTATATATGTGAGTAAGATAGCCAGGTTTTTTTTTTGTTTTGTTTCCCTTTTGGCACTTGTTGCGCTTACACTTCGGATTTGCCTTCGAAAACGGGGTGGGAAAAAAGCGTTAAAGCGTTAAGCGTTTTAAAACACGTCCAGCGCGCACGAGTTGCTAACAACGACTGAAATTGGCAGCAGCCGTGAGCCGAGCGATCGGGCCAAAAAAGCTCCACATGCCCGCCGCCTGGCTTCCACTGGAAGTTTTCGAGTTGGAGTGGAATCCAGCGACGTCATCGTTTTTGGCCCGATCTCGGGCTTGTTTTGCTTGCCCGCTTTGTTGGCGCTTTTGTTTTGGGCCCCCAATTCGCTCAGGTGCCACGTTTCCGCTTAGCAAAGCGGTTAGTTCGTTCTCGAGCCGCAACGCGAGTGGAGTGTTGTTGGCCTAATGGACTCGACTACTCAGCTACTCAACTACCCTGCTACTCGACTGCCATTCGGCCATCTCGTTAATTGCAGGCGTCGGCAATGCGATGAGTGTGTGGTTTCGGCCTTTGTAATTGAACAATTTTGCGGCTTTTCCTCAGATCCCATTGATTACGACATGCAGTTGCATTCAATCGACTGATCGTCCGATCGACGGATTGTTGGCTAAGTGGATGGATGAGTCGAATGGTTATTAGTGGCCCCCCGAAGAAAAACGCAACGCACGATTTTCATGTATTAAGAATTTTCTGTTTTTGTTTTGATTTTATTTGTATTTCAGTTTTCTTTCTGGTTTTTTGTTGTCGTGTTTTTACTTTATAATTCCATTTGAATTTACCCTTTGTCAGATTTTCAGAGTGGTTCAGCAATGTAAACGGCTTTGAAACTCTCGCACGATAAGCTCGATTTACCTGCTGCAAATCGGGGCCTTATTTGAACTGATCTGATTTATAGTGACCGTTTAAAAAATGCCTTTTCCTGCCCGATGATCTGAGAACTATACTGTTTCTCTGTGTTCTTTTGCTATGAAGTCAATGCTGAATTAATTTACTGTTTAGTTCTTATAAATTAATTAATTAATTTATAGTAAAAATAAAGCTATAAATGTTTTCTTTCTTTTTTGTATAGATCTCGAATGCATAAAATAATTTAATAAATTATTATTATGTAAGCCATTCAAACTCGCCAGCCATTTCTCCTCCACATTTGGCGACAACAACACAACCGAATCGATGTAGTTCCTTGTATTTTACGTTCAATAACAAATAGATATATGTCTATACGCGCTCTAACGGAAAACATTAATGAAATCAGAAGGAATAAGTCTAACAAGGGACAGAGCCTCTGTCCTGTGATAAGCGTGCTAATAAGCCATAAAAATGTAATTTAATTTAGTTATATTATTCAACTTTAACTTTGGCAATAATTGGCTAACTAAGGAATCAAAAACTCCGACAAACTTTTACAAGTTTTCGTAGGCTTTCGCTTTAACACGTTTTTTTTTTTTTTTTTGGTTTGGTATAAGCTTTGTCTTAGATGAAACCCCATTTAATGTTTATTGTAATTATTAATTAATTTTTAATCCGTTATATGATATTCCGAAAAGTAATTAGGTTGAAAAATACGAAAAAAAAGAATTTCTTCTATTTGTTCTCTAGAAAATAGAAAATAGGTTTACCTCGTTGACAAAAATCTAAGAAAAAATCCTAACAAAATTTGAGCTTAAGTTTTTGGCCTATCATTTTTTGTTGGCATGAAATGAGATTCGCTCCAGTTTCCGTTTTCTCCGCAGATACTCAAACGTATCCTGGCTCAAACGCCGGCTCATTCTGTAAAGTTTAGGTTCTTATTCGAGTTAGCTATATAATTATTAAATTTCCTTATCAACTCAGTTTGTGGTTTTCAATATTTTTGGGAGTTGACACTGAACAATTTGCTTAAACGATCGCGATTCGATCTTTTTTTGGTCTTCTCTGGTACACATCTAATGGTATAACTAGGTATAACTAGAGTTACAGCTATATTAATTATTTCTTCTTTATCGCAGCCCCCATATTATGGGGATTCTTGAACTGCGTTCTGCAAACTTCTGCAGAACTCTCCTGCCTAAATTAATCTTTGTTTTTCTTTTTCTCAACTACAATCTTCAGCATTGGTTTTGGCTTTTGGGGCAACTAACTAAAGTTAAATACATTTAGACCTTTAAATTGTTACCATATTAAGTATAATGTAGATCATGTATAATGTAGATATACTATATACGACAGTAGTACAATATAATATTGCATTAAAAGTGTTTTCCTTTTGACATATCTACTCATTAATATTGGTTTTATTAATAGTTTAATGTCTTTAGCTTTGAGTTTTTTTGTCTTGTTTAAGATTATTATTAATATAGTTTTTCGAGTGTGTGGTGTATGCTCTGGCAGTTCTTTTCCAATAGTACAAATATTTTGCAAATATTCACTTAGTTGTCCATAAATTGTTTATGCATTATTTTCAGTTGTAAAGTAAATCGTTTCCCATATACACATCTAGTAAATGTTCATTTTTGTCGAATTACAATTAGCAAATATTACAATAGATATACGATTCATTTGTTACACTCATGATTTAAAGTAATCTTTTAGTTTTTTGTTTTTTTTTTTTTGTTTTTTGTTTCGGATGATCCATACTAATGTCATTGACCATAATGCTAATTGAGTTCCTAGAGCGAAAGTATTTACAATGGGAGTTCGAATACCCGTTTCGGTTTTGGTTTAGTAACCATTAAAAGGAGCGAAGAGCGTCTAGGCCTAATGATATCTATATGTAAATCTCAATCTATTTCTGAGCTTAGTATGGAAAAAGTGTAAGTGTTGGGTAACAAGTTGTTAGGGGTTCTGGAAAAAGTTCTCTCTCGGATTATCTACTAAAGCTTTTCCGATCTCTCCGGTGCATAACTAAACCAATTACAATCGTTTGGCGTATATTTTGATCTCAATGTTCTTCCATTTCTATTTACAGACAATTTTTTCATTGTGGCAGTGCCATTTTGGGCTATATTTCTTTATTTAGTTTTGGTGTCGCGTGATCATAAGAGATATTAATTGCACATCTTGGGGTTTATCTGGCGCCCCGTCCTCCCCTCTCTATCTCTCTCTGTCTTAATGGTTCCCTAAAGCGAGAAGTATTTGGTGCAGGTCTGGGTTCCCGTTTCAGTTTCGAGCGGTCGTCCTTGATCCTCCGCCTCCTGATTCCGCAAATCCTCCTCCTGCCGTAAAGCTGCTGCTGCTCCTGGTTTTATTTTTTTATTTTATTTTTATTTTATTCGTTTGTTTTTTTTTTCATTAGTAAGGCAATTTGGAATGCATGCATAACATACACACACACACGCACGCACACAAATACAAAGAACACAGTGAGTGAGTGAGAGAGAGAGAGATACAGAGAGAGAGGGAGAAACACAAATACGAGACAGATAGAGAGTGGGAGAATTTGTTTTTTTTTTGGGGTAGCGATAGATAGATGCGATATGATGCGGTTAATGATCCAATCGAATCCGCCTGATCGCCGGATGCAGTCAGTTGATAGTTGATCAATGTCAGATGATCAATGATGATCGTGGAGTCATGAGGAACATGATATGTACACCATACCGATCGCCTGATGGGGCAGCACGCTCCCGTGTTATATGATACTCTCTCTGTTCCGCTCCAGCTCCTCCGTCTCGTTCTCGGGATCCACGCTCGATGTCGAGGACACTCCGCATATCTGCATCTCGATCTCCGCCAGCCGATTCTCCAAGTCCCACTGCTGCTGCGAGAGCTTCGTGTTCAGTGCCTGATTCTCCGATTCCACCGTGTGCAGGCGTTCCCTCAGCCGCTTTATCTCGTCCTCCAGCACTTCGTGGGAGCCCAAAAGGGGCGTCGTCCCACCCCCTGCCCCGCCCACTCCGGCTCCATAGCACTCCAGCTGCGAACTGGAGTCGCAAATGTGACCTGGGTGAAGGGGATTGATAAAGGGTTATTTAAATTCGATGCCCTGCCATTATATTTTATCGGTCTACGTGCTCTTACCCGTGTGACTCGGTTGCGATTGGGGTCTTATCGAGTGGTGCGAGGTCGTCCGACTGCGCGGCCGCTCCTCGGATCCGTGGGCACTGGGACTCACCGATCTGGGGGAGTCCGTCGCGCGAACCAAGCGATCCGCATAGCTACGGGGACTTTTGGGATAATATTAAGTTAATTAGTACGAAGTAAGTCATGAATTAAAAATGATGCTTATTAAAATGTATATAAAACTGTCCTTAAAGACTAATCAGAGGTATCAACGAACAACTAAATTATACAAATAAATGTATAAGGAAAAGTATCGTACAATCTTTAATAACTATTTAATTAATTATATACTTTGGTGTTTAGATCTATAGTATTAAAAGAAAAAGATGTAAGGATATAAAAATGTATCTTTTCTCAAAATGCAAATGTGAAATTTAAAAGAGAATTCTTTTCTGAGAAAATATTAAGGGTTTATCTTTTTGCTACAATAAAAAACAGCTTTGTGCATTTTCTCTGCAAATAATAATAATTTCGAAGGCGTTTTGGTCGATTGCCAGAAGTCTTAAGTTTTGGCTAACACTCCTTGCCAAAAAGAGCGCTATAAAAAAGATTTAAATGGATATAGGAAAAATAACGTTATAAAATAATGTGCTCTTTGGGTTTTTAAGTTGTATTTAAGTCAATTTATAACCAATAAAAAGAAAAACATTTTTAACATTCAAACATTTTAAAGTATAGAAAAAAATTTCGATCTAAATTGCGTTGTTAAAGGTTCGGAATAATTCAAGGATTCGGAATTATTAAATATATTTGTAAAATGTTTCGACCCAGAATTTAAATCTACATCTTTATCTATCTGACAATCTGTAATTTTTTACTGACTCTCAGAAGCTTCTTTTTTACTTAAACTCTTTTTAGTTTATACTTATCTTGCTATCATGGCACTTTTATTTTATTGACCGCTTAAGCGGCGATTAAACTCACCTATAACCGTGCGTCTGCGAGGATGTCTGCGTGGACTCCTGTCGGTGTGGCAGGTGTGGCTGCTGCGAGGCCTGGTGTTGCAGCTGCTGCTGCTGCTGCTGCTGCTGCTGGAGCGTTTGGTGGTGGTGCAGCAGAGAGGGGGCGGGGCCCGTCGCCGGGGGCAGCCACATCTCCTCGAGCGAGGTGCGGCCACAGCTCTCGACTAAGCCCGGCGTCGATTGACAGCGGCCCATGGCAACTACATTAAAGTATTTGACTGTGTTTTAAATCAAAATCGTTTAAAACCAAACGCAAGAACGGAAACGGAAACGGAGGCAAATGAAATCGATAAACGAAAAGGAAGGAAAGACGGAACGGAAGGCGAAAACAATCGAATCGTGTTATTCTGGGGCAATCGTATTCGTATTCGTATCTTTGAATTTCGAGTGGTATTTGTTTTTTTTTTTTTTTTTTGGGTGGGGGGGAGGGGGAGTGGGGCGGGGTAACTGCGGTGGTAACTGGATGTTGTGTGGTTGGGGTGGTCCTTTTGGGAGGTGGTGCAGAAAGGGAATAGGAAGGGAGAAGGGAGAAGAGGGGGAATGGGGAGCAAATAAGACAAGTGCCTCACCTTTCTCCAACGGGGCCTTCTTGTACTTCTCCAATCGCTTGACGGCTATCGACTCCAGACGAACACGCGCCGCCGGATACTCCTTCAGCACGTCCCACATGTCCTTCTTGCTCAGGACGAATAGGTCGCTGTATCCCACCGAGCGAACGCTGGCTGTGCGTCGGTTGCCTGTTTTTGTTTCGCATCGGGAAAGTTGGCAAAGCAAATGTTTGCCAACGCAAAGAGAAAAGTTTAATGGTCTTGCAAAAAAGCATTTCCCGGACTGACTGAGTTTGAGTTTGAGTGTGTCTGTGTGTGTCGTGTGTGTGTGTGTCTGTGTGTTTTCGAGTCAGTGTGTCTGTCGATTCTTCTTGTTGACTTGGGCGCACAAAGACATTAAAATTGCATGCCAGACAATATGGATGTGGTATGGGGACGATAGCAATACAACAACAGAAAAAAAAAATAGGAAGTAAATATTGAATGGGATCATGTTTTGATTAAAACCTTAATATCCAAATTCCGGATGTGCAGCTTTGCAGCCACATTTCAACAAGAAGAACCGAAGGTGGGAGTGACTTGTGTAAACGGGTCGTATACTTAATCGAAATTACACAACTCTCAATACAATTACGTGTAGAGAAACGTTTAAATTACGTCCAGGCAAAGCAATACAACAACAACATTGACTCAGATAGACAGAGACAGATATATAGAGAGTGAGAGTAAGACAGACAGAGAGAGATTAAAGAAGAGAGAGACAGAGACAGAGATAGCGACTAACTAGCGTAAGAAATTGCGCTCCGGTGCCATAATCCTTTGGGCAATTCTCACCATTGAGCGCACACGAATGGAACCAAAACCAGGATGATGCCTAAATCATGCAGAAACACAAGGAACTTTAAACAATTCGATTTCGCCGTCTCTAATTGTTCGGGCTGAAAAAGGGGGGAGGTTGTGGGGGGTTTTGGAAACTTTTCGGGTTGCACCTCCTTAACTTTTGTGTGCAAATTGAGTTGCTCTCGCCACTTGTGCTTCTGCTCCTTCTTGGCAAACTCAATTAGATGGCACACGGCTCCGAATGAGTCCTTCGAGTATGCAACGAACAGATATCGCGCATGCAGCTGCCTGGAACGCAATCCTGTTAATTATGACGAACGGATGGCTGCCGAATTTCACAGCCGGCTGGCCAGCTATTACCCGAAATTTAAAGCCACGTTAAGCTCAACAAAGTGTTTTTTTTTCTGTGCTGTTCGCAACGCAACCACAATTATTGCGTACGTTTTTATAGGCCCACAATAAAAATGTCAAGAACAATGAAAACGAGAGACCCGTGTGAGTGCATGCAGGTGCAATAATTGCATTTGACATTCATTAATATTTCAACCGTGTGTGCAAAGGGTGAGCAATAAAAATTCGTTGCATACTCTTAGGTCTGGCTTAAAAAACAAAAAAGAAGAAAAAACCAAGGGATGAACAATTTAAACTTGCAAAAAATGATTGAAAAAGAACTAAATGAAAGGTGTATTTTTTCGCATATGGCATTAATAAATCAAAATGTAAATTCTATTGAAATCGATTCGAGTGCTCGGCTAGTTGGTTAAATATGTATGTGCTGAAGGATTCGGGGACGGGAATCGGTCTCTAAACTATTTTTGTGGCTCGGTGGGACTCCAGTTAACACTTAGTTGCACGATTAGTTAGACAATTACATTCCACAAATAGACACAGATACTTGGGTAGGCTTGCTAAACTGTGTGTGTGTGTCTGTTGATTAATAGATTTTATTTTTTCGTTTTTCGGTTTTATTTTTTCTGGACTTTTTTTTGGAGGGGGGTTGGAAGGTTGTTGTAGTAGTTACGTTATCGTTATTGTTCCGCCTGTCGCACTAAAACGGGATATTTACCAAGCTCTTTACCTGCGGTGCCCATATTGAGTATACTAATCTCGCCAAAATAGGAACCGGCCTTCAGCGAGGCCATAACCGTCTTTCCATTGTCGGCCACCACCTGCAATCGTCCTCGATTCACAATGTACATCTCCTTGCCCACCTCGCCTACATCAATTGGGTGGATTGCAAAGGGGAAAAAGCTTGTAAGGATTGGGAAACGCTTAAGGACTGGGCTTAGGACAACTCACCCTTTCTGCAGATGTAGTCGCCGGGCGAGAAGAGCACGGGCCTCAGGCGCAAAACCAGTTCGCAGAGGAAACCGGCCTCGGTGTTTTGGAAAATCTCCACCCGCTTAAGTGTATCTAAATGGACGTTAATTGCTATTTCAGCCTGACGGAGCGAATACGAATACGCATCGGAATCAGTATCGGAATGGGGGGAATGGTAAAAGATTTCACATTTAGTAATGGACAAATCGTGTTTCTGGGGGAGATCCGTACTCACCTTTAATTTATCAGGAAGACAGGACACGGCGCGCTCCTCGTCCGAGCATTTTTGCGTAAGCCACAGGTAATCGAACCATTTGATGACCTTCACCTGCAGATGATTCGGCACACGTCGCATCCGCATATACGTCTTCACGCCATCCAACTTGGCTGAGATACGGGAAAAACCCAAAAAAAAAACGAAACGAAATAGGGAAAAGGAAAGAGGGGAAAACAAGAAACGAAAATGTATTATTTGTATTTGCTAAGGATTTTCCTGGAAATTGATACGCGACCGGCATACAAAGTGCGTGGGAATTAGGGGATTGCACAATGGTATTCAGAAGAAAAGATGTCCGGTAAATTTATTTTGGGTAGCTCTCGAGGTAATATTTCGTAATATTTAAGTCAGGTGCTCTTTCCACAAAAATTTATTTATAATCAAGTACATTTTTCAACAGATGTTTCTGACACAACTTGTTTGTGTTTTAATTATTCAAAGAAAAACACTATAATGGCTGCAAGCAGGTTTAAGTTTTTTGTCATTCTAAAATTGTTTTTGTTTTGCAAAAACTTTTTGTATAAATAATAAAACTTCATTTGAGTTACATATCAAAATACTTTATTTAAAATAAAACTTATCTTACATTCATTCATTTCAAAAAATAATTATATTTATTATTGGGCTTATACTTTGGCTTTTTGGACTAATTTTTTCTGCTTAATATATACTCAATTAAGATTGAAAAATGAATAAGTTTTAAGCAACCTCAAATTGTCAAAATAAGAACCACTGTAACTAGGCTTTACTCAGTAATCGGTCAATCAAGACGGTCCGCATAAATTTGTAGTATAAGGCTTTGAGCTGTCCGGCAGATTCTGCGGGACATAAGCTCTTTCTGGCCCACCTGGCATATGCTCGATATTGATTACTGCAACATAGTTGTGTTTAGCCGGCAATTAACGATCTCCTCGGCTGAAGGAGCACGCACAAAGGAACCGACTGCCTTAGTCGGTGGGTTAGTGGGTTTGTGGTGTTGTAGTTTCAGTGTTTCAGTGGGGCAGTTGCAGTTGCTATTGCACTTGCCATTGAACAATGAGCCAGTCCGCTCGATTGGCCATATCTGTGGGTTAGTGAGCCACATTCCATGCGACCAATGAAGCAGGGACATGGGAACTCCTAGCTGTTTGAGCAATATTGATGACAACTGGCTTTTGTTTTTAGTTGCCCACCGCCAGAGTGCCAGTCATCCCAGTCGATAAGAGGAAATTAAATCTCTTGGCTCGTCAGTGGTAACAAATATTGACACAATTTGTCGGCGTTTGCCAAAGGGGGAATGAAAATGGCGAGTGGGCGGTGGATGGTGGGTGGGTGGTGGATTTGTGGGTGGCAGCAAGGTGGATTCCATCCGAAACTAAAACCGAGTGCTTCTACTGAGTGCTGCGTCTTTTGTGTTTGCTCGTGCAAACATTTGAAAACCAACTGACAAACAGGCAAACAGATTGAATACAAATAAATACCCAGTTACCGTTCTAAAAGTCCGGAGGGGGCGTGGCCAACAACGACATCGTCTATAATGCAATCAATCGCCAGTTCTCCTGCCGCCGGTATCCCCCAGGCTCAAGTTTTCCCTGTTGGTCATTTGTCATCTCTCAATTGTCAAATGTCTTTTGTTGTCCAACTCAAATTTCAACTCGCTTGTCTAATAAGATTGGAGCTTGGGGATCCCAGCGTGTGGGGATAATGGAAATTGCAGTTTTTCAAATAAATGAACATGCTCCCATAACTGCGATAAAATCAGACAGATTGATTTTTGCAATGACTTGTCAAAGAATTTTACTTCTGACATTCCGGAAACAGAACGTTGAGCTATGTTTTTCTCACAAAAAAATAGGTTTAGGTTATTAACCAAAGGCTTTAATTGCCGTTCAAAATCAAGAGTGAACGTAAACATTTAACAGTATTTAATGAAGGTAAAATTATTTGGCTGGAACTAATCCGCATTAAATAAGCTTAAAAGTATCAAAATGGAAAACATAAATTAAGGATTTGAACAAAAAAGTTGTTTACTCATTTGCACGCAGTCTTTAATGAAATAAAAACTATTTAACCTGACTATCGAAGTAATCTACATTGAATGTTTAATCACAATCAATTTAATTTGAAAAGGAAAATAATCCGAAATTAAGCTTTATATCCAGGATATCTCGATTACGTATTTCACTTGGTTTGCTCATGTTGGTGTCCTAGTTTCAAATACTTTTTGTAGCAGACGCCGGCAAAGTGAAAGATTATTGAATGGCAGTGTCTGCCTCTTGGCAACCATTACACATATCGGATATGGATGAGGATAGAAATGCCGCACCACGTAGCCAACTTTCCACCTCCCCCTTTCTCCATCCCTTCCCCCTTTTCTCCACCCCCTCTCCCCCTTGATTCTGCTCCATTTTCTATCCAGCATTTCAGTGATACGAGGGCCATGCAAAATTACAGCGATTTTTATTACAGCGCTGCTTGAATGCATTCGACACCCGACCATTGAAATTTTCCAAGCGCTTTTCCCCGAACCCTTTTCGCAGTTGGCACGTCCTTTGCGGGTTTTTTGTTACAATTGAAAATCAATCTAAATATTAATTGCATATTCCATGGCAGCCGGCGAAAATAAACAAGTTGAGCACTGGGTTGGCTCGTATTTTGTATGCGGTTCGCTCGGTAATTGCGGTTTCTTTCTATCGACTCTCGTTGTCGCTTTAGTTGTCGTTTTTTGGTTGTCGTTTTTAGTTGTCGTTGTTGTTGTCGTTGTGTGTGTCTCATGGTTTTCGGTGTTTTTAGAAATTACTCGAGCTTTAATTCCTTTGCTTGCTCTGCGGCTGAGCAGAGCTTATCCTGTTTCTTTCGTCCTGTCTCGTTTTGGTTTCGTTTCGTCTGGTTTCGTTTCGTCCTGGATCCGCTCTACTCATCCTTTCTCCTCATCCGCTCTTCTCCTCTTCCATTTGGTTGCATTTTGCGAGCAAAATTTAATTTGCCAGTTTTTGCCCTCAAGTCACTTGGCTGCGTTTGGCCAAAAAGAAAGGCGGGGGGGCGGGGCAGGGCCTGGCAGGTTGGAAAAAAGTGCATTTGGCTCCACATTCAGCTTATTTCTTATTTATTTTTCATTTTATGCTCTGCTTCGCCTACAGTTGCCCCCGGCGAACTTTGATCTGCTTCTGTTGCAATTTTCCATGGCGGGGATTTTGGGGTGGCTTGGGTGGCTCGGCGGTTGGGTGGTTGGGTGGCTGCTTTGGGTGGCTTTTCTTGGAACTTGACTGGGTGGCAATGTCACCTCAAACTAAGCGGTGCAGTTTCCCAATAATTACATTTACTGTTTTGACTCGACTTTTGTCTCTCGACTGACAGCCGAGGACAATTGCCGCCGAAGGATCAGCTGCAGACAAAAGTCACTGCCTTCCCTATGGCGGTTTATCTATGTGTATGAGTGTGTGTGTGTGTGTGTTTGTGTGTGAGAGTGAGAGTGTGTGTTTGTCGGCAAAAGAAATCTGGGTGCAAAAGTTCAAGCCATTGTCTGCCAGCGAAATGCTGCAGCAAGTTTCGCAGCGAACAAAAGTGGGGATCACATACAAACAGTAAATATGCGTGACAAAAACTTGCTCTTCCTGTGTGCCACACAGTCTTTTCATAAAACCGCCGCACAAAAACACCGACCCCAACATGCATTCAAAAAGATGAGGAAAAAATAAAAAACAAAAAGAAGAACGCAGCAGGATGGCGAGGTGTGTGTTAGTGTGTGTGCGAGCCAAGTGAAAATTGCAAACTAACTAGAAACCACTTAAGAGTCAAGCTGATGTGTTATGCCAAAGACGGAAGTTCTGTTCGGAGACCAGGAGACAACGAGTTCGGGGGCAGAACAATGCTCGCTGATGGGAGTTCCTGGGTGGCCAAAGGGGGGTACTGAGGAGGGGGAGGGGAAAGGGGAGTGGTGGAAGGACGCTCCGGCATTTGCTGAATGCGCACAGGAATCGTAGGAATTGTCTGCGATTATCACCCGAGTGCAGAGCGCACTTGCCGCAATTCGAAGTGGAGGCGAAGTAATGGTCTGCAGCTTCCCCACCTGCCGCCATTCCATATGGCTTTTTTCAAAAGCAGAAAACAAATATCATCGATTCGGAATCGGCATTAATTCACTTGTTAAGGTGCTTTAAAGGTGTGGCTTTTGCTGGCGCAAAGTAAACAACTATATGGCATTGAAAACACTTTGAAAAGTTGAAATGCCAGTGATTATTGAAGCATAGAAAATCCCTTCGAATAATTCATTTTTCATATAAAGTTTTTATAAGTAGGTAAGTATTTTATAAGTTCAGATTTTATGCATTTGCGTGTATAATAATTATTTTTAAAAAGAATATTATTTTTGAATTTAAAAACATTACTTATTATATAATTATTATTATTATTTTTATGTTAAAATTAGTAACCTTTCTCAAAAGTAATCTGACTTATTTCTTTTTGTGAAACTAGTTAAATATATTGAGCAGAATTGAAAGCAACTTAACAAAGTGCATAAAAGTATGCTATGAAAAACTAAACTTCCTTTATCGACATTTAAAAGTCCTTCTTTCGGTTACAAAATCCCTACTACTTATGTTTTATGCAAGTTTATAGCGGATTTCGAACCCCTTGAAATTTCCGTAGCACTCCCAAGCCCGTGACTCTTCTCTCCCGGAAATGTTACAACCGAAAGCCGGAGATATACGGCTTACCGTTGAATGGTGTACATTCAATTTCAAGCCAAATGCATTCGGCCTCTGATTTTTGCACCTTAATTATGCATTTACCTCCGCCACGGCTGCTGGCTGGAGCAACAAACGGTGGCAGGTGGAGCAGCAGGAGCAGCAGGAGCAGCGGGGAGACGGGTGGCAAGGAGCAAGGATGCTGGCTGATGGTCGGATGAAATGCTGGGGATGGATTTATTCAGGCGGTAACTAAAAATAAATGCGGTGAGCACCTCGCAGCGGCAGCAGTTTGCAATAACAATGCGCATGCCAGCTGCATCCAGAGCTGAAAGCTGAATGCTGAAATCCTTGGGAAATTCGCCATTCAAGGATAATGGAATACTTTGCCCTTAAAGAGCAGCAACATGCCGTAATACAACAGCAACGAAAGAGGGGGGAAAAGAAAAGGGGGAGGGGGATAAAAAGCGAGAGGAACAAGAACAACAACTGGCATGTTCTAAAAATACGACAGTAAGTTGGTGTACATGCAGCTTAATGGGCAAAAGCGGCCACCAGCGGCGACTGCGTCTACGATATTGATTGGAATCCGCATATATATATATATATTCCCACAGACACACACACACAGACACACTAACACACACGCGCACACGGTTACAGCTGTGGGCCATAACCAGAAGCAAACATAAACTCACACAAACGCAGGACATTGCTGTGGCAAGCAAAAGCAAACAGCGAAACGAACAACAAACACAAACCAAGCTGAACACACATACCAAAGCATGCCAGGACATTCACACACTAACACTCGCACACACACACACACACTCGCACACTTTCACGCAGCAAGGGCGGGCAACTTAAAGTGGATAATGGACGTCGCTGCATCCCCCTCGCCACGCCCACCCGCCCACTTAAAAGAGGCAAAATGCGCAGGAGGGAAAAAAAATGAAAGAGGTGCGGGCCAAAGGAAGCCGGCTTAATCGAAGAAAACGATACCCTGGAAAGGTCTGCGAGAGTCCTTTTTGCTTTGACAGCCCCTGGCCACCGGCATTCCGGCGATGTCTCGCTTGAGAAGGATACGCCGGTACCTTTGCCATTTGTCACCGAAATGCCACTGGCAAAAATATATTAAGTCTCAATACACATTAATAAAAAGGAATTGTTAATATTGTATTTATTTTAAACTACAAAAGAAATAGTTGCAATTTTTAATTCATTTTTAAGTTTTCTAGAAATCTAGAAATATCTAACAAATTTGTAAAATAATAAAAATATAATAATTTCCTATTATCTAAACATTTAAATCAAATACAATTTAATTTTAATCCAATGAATATTTTTAAGAATATTTTATCATATTTAATAATTGCATAAAGTATCAATATTGCTGTTTAATAATTAATACAAATATTGTTTTTATTTATTTTATTTTTAATTTCATTTAAAAAACAACTCAGTATTGTATTTATTTTATAAAAGAAAATTAAGTATACTTAACCAAAACTATACAATCTTATATTTTTACTGAAGAAAATCTAGCTGTTAGCTTTCGGAACTTAAAAACCTCTTAAAATAAATCGATCACCAAGAAATTTCCATCAACCTCTAATAGGTGTTGATTTCCTGAATTAAAGGTCCTTGCTTTGCCGCAGTGTGCGGAGGGGGAAAGGATATCGCCGGGACGGGGCCAATGTCGAATGGCTGACGCGCGTTCTTGCCTCAGTTCGTTTGCTTTTCGTCACTTCGCCTCGTTGCTATTTTTAGTGCCACCATAGTGGGCCAGCATCACCACTAGCAACAGCAGCAGCGGGAAAAGCAAAAAACAAAAACAAAAACAAGGGTAAACAACAACACGTTGTCCATTATGCATTTACCAAGTCGAAAACGCTTGGCTAAGGCACTACAAATCTTCTGCAACTCCCGCTCGGCTCCTTTTGGCCCATTCGTGTTTGTTTGTGCTGGCTTAAATTGAGCGCGTAAATTGTTTTAATTGCGAGGCCAAAAGCCAAGTCCAACCCAGCCAACCCAAACAGACGTTAATTGTAAATGAAGACCGAGAGCGCTCTAGCAGCGAGCGGCGAATAAATGCCATAAATATTTAAAAACTAAATAAAAAGCAAAGGGGCGAAATTGGAAAAATCCACACACGAGCGATGATTCATATGCAAACTGTCCCCATGCATCAATCAAGGTCCGTTGACAGTTTTGCTGACAGCGGCAAAATTTGCATAAAACTATTTACAATAACAATTACATAATGGCCGGGGATAGGGGGAGTGGGGGGTATTTTGGACAGAGATAAGGGGCTGAGTTTCCATAATTTTAAATGCCGGTTTTTGAAACGATGTTTGGACGGTTGCCAAAGCAGGGGAAAATTCAATACACAGCCTCATAATACGAAAGTCCTGAGTGAGAGCAGGTTGTTCGTCAGAGTGTATCTCTTTTCTACACTTAGAAAAATGGAAAATATTTCGAAAATTATTCCCTTAAAGGATTTTGAATACTCGCAAAAAAACTTGTGTTAACGATTTGATTTCCAAAATTAATCAAGAATTGTTTTTCTAATGGTACTTAAGTTTTTCATCACATTGAACTAGTTTAACTATTACCTGTTGATTAATTAAAAAAATGAATACATAACTTTGAATCAGTAACAGAGAATATAATGTTTTTATTATTTTTTCAATTAACAATATTTTTAAAAGTCTTGATACAAAATGCGATAGAACTTCGGTAAGAACAGATTTGTTTACTTCATAAAATTTGAAAAATGTAAGAAAAACTTAGAGGAAACTATTATTTTATCAGAATAAAATCTATGTCGATTCCTTTCAAGTAATTTTTGAGAGAGAGTAAATTTTTTTAAGTGCATCTGGTCGAGTGTGTGAACGCTTGTCGATTATCGCAAGCATTTGGCGAACGGCAAACTTTTGCGCTTGTCGGCGTTAACAAGCCACAGCCATGCGTTTAACTAAGCGTGAATGTAACAGTGTGTGTGCCTGTTTCAGGGAAGGGATAAAGGGGCGGTGGTGGGAGGGGCTGGAGATCCTGTCAGCGCGTGTCTGAAAAGTGAATGTGTGTGTGGGTGTGTGTTTGAATGGTTGGGTGGCGGCAACATTGTTGCAAAATGATTTTGAGAAAAAAAGAACCATCAATAACTCAAAAATAATGACAGTTTTCCACTTGTTGTTGCCCCTTGCCTCTTGCCCCGCCCCCTCAGCACCACCCACCGCCCCCCAACCCCTAAGTGGGGCTAAATGGATGAATAACTTAAGCCATCTGCTTCGGCTTTCCTCTTAGTGTGCGATGTTATGTAATGTAATAACGTCAATCAAATTTAAAAAGGCAGACCAACTATTTCAAAATCAATTTTCTTTGCGCCCCCTCCCCCTCTGCATTTCCCCTTCGGCGGCATTAGCATCAGCGGGAAAGTGGAAAAGCGGCGGAAGGAAACAGGAAAACGACCTCGGCTTAAGCAAATACACAAGCACAAGTTGTTGCAGCATCAGTGGAATCCTGAGTAGGATGTAGGATGTAGGATGCAGGATGTAGAGCGGAGGAAGTAGGCTAATGTAGCAGGAGACGAAGAAGAACAAGAAGACTGAGAAGAAGAAGCATAAGAAGAAGAAGAAGAACCGGGGACTCAGTCACTTTGCAAACAGTATCCCCCCACTAAAATAGCCTGACTAGCGGAATTCGCAGCGAGCGGCAGCGTGACATCGAGTGAAAAAGTGCCAGCCTTAGTTAAAAGTTAAGTTTCAACTTTTGACTGGCTCGTGGTGGCTCGTGGGCACCCAGGAGAAATGTATCATTCGTGCCATTAATCATTCGTCATGTGGGACGGCGACAACATTTCATTTGCCTATCATCTCGGCTCAAAGTCTTTGGGGACAGACAGCAACAAGAGCAGGCCTCAAAAGTTGAATGAATGAATCAAATGGGCGGGCTGCCGGCAAACTTATTGCTAAGCCTAGAAATCCCCGACAAGTCAGTGGCTTCCCGTTCGCCTGAAAAACAAAGTGAACTTATGTCCGGCATTTGTAGCAGGCAAAAGAAAAATGATTCCACAAACGGTAAGGCTACATTTGTAATTAATTTAAATTTGATTCAATTTCTCAAATATATAGAAAGAAATGTTTGCTTACAGTTTGCAAAGCCATTTATAATTAAATTTGGTCTTGACCTAACTTTGATAAAGTTGTGAAAACGTTCATCTAAGATTTCCTTTTTATTTTGAGCTCACAAAAAATAAATTCAATAACAAACAAATCAAGTTTCCAATATGTTGAACAGACCAAATATTTTTGCTATGCATTTCATATTTCTATTTTTCAATAAACTCTAGAGAATATAGTGAAGCGTTCCTCTTCATTTTAGGCATACAAAATCAAATTTAATTGCAACCAATTCACTTTTTAAGTGCGTTGAACAAACCAAACCATATTTGCCATGCATTTCATCAAATTTTTTTCCGATAAGCTCTCGAAGTGAAGGATTAAACTATATCTCGAGGGCATACTGCCATCAAGCCAGCGATTGTGAGAGGCACTATTCCTTTTATTTGTATTTTTTTGCCATCGAAGCCTGCTTGATTTTTATGACCAGCACTCCAGAGCAACTACTGCCCATCATCATCATCATCATCATCGTCATCAACATCATCATCTAACATCATTCCTGTCCCATGGCCGGCCACTCAAAGGCAAGCGCTGAATTGACAAATTGATGGATGGTTCTCCAAACGCTGCATGCTTCAGCATCTCTCCTTTCTTTTTCCTGTTTTTCTATTTTTTTTTTTTTTATATCCTTCACTGCCCCTTGTTCGAGTATATGATGCATTATTATTCCGGAAAAGTTTGCGGCCGCAACAGCAACAATTGCCTGCCTAAGTGTTTTATTAGCCATCGAAAACAGAGTTTGAGTTCGGTTGAGTTGAGTTGATTGTCAGTTTTCATACACAACGCTTTTTTTGTTAAGTGTGTATTGAGTTTTCCTGAATTGCCTTGCGGGTTTTATGGTTAAGCATGGCTACTAATTTTGCAATTGCCCATGAGCTGTCGACAGAGCAGATTGAAGAACTGAAGGAAGCCTTTCATCGGTTCGATTTGGACTCAAATGGATTTCTTTCGCCCAAGGAAATGCGATTGGCTTTGCTTTCTGTGGGTCACGAGATCACCGAAGCGGAGCTCTACGATTTCATCCGATCGGTGGCACCGCAGGGTGAGCAATTGACTCTGCCCAGATTCATTCAGATGATGGCTCCCCGAATGGCCGACATGAATAGTGAAGAGAATCTGGAGCGGACATTCGATCTTATGGATCGCGATCACGATGGGTACATCAACAACCAGGATGTGCGTGCCACCATGGGCTTACTGATGGGAGCAGCCTTAAGCGATAGCGATATCAAGGACATCTGCCGTGCCGTCGACATGGATGGCGATGGTCGCATAAGCCGGAGCGATTTCACCAGCTTTATGCGCTCCCCCATATAAACTTGGCCCGCGATAAAAATTTTTAAATTCCCCGTGTCAAATGTGCAGAAAAACCCACACAGAAAACAATTAAAAATTAAATTGAAAAACAAAAATATGTTTACAAATTATTAAATTGACCTTTTTAATAATTTGTAAAAAATATTTTTGGCTTTCAATTTATTCAAACCAAATTAAATCGTTTTATATTCTATAAAATATGATCTATCAGCTTTATTTTTGTTTATGCTTCCTCATTTACATATTTTTAAAAATTATTTAATTTTTTTGATTTATTATACCCCTGATACTTTATTAATGCAAATAAAATTGCTTTTTAAAAGAAAACCTTCGTAAGAATTTATTAATAAAATTGCCTACATTTCACTCACTCGGAGCTCACTTAACAAAATATTAAAAAAAAAAATTGAAATCTGATACATTGAAGTATATTTCTGTCTGCAGGCAAAAAACGAAGACGACTGAATGGAAAACGAGCGAAAGGAAGAAAAAATTGAGAGCATAAAGCCAGAAATTAATTCAACAGCACGTTTCGTCCATTAAGCCGCCAGAGCTTTGCTTGCTGACTTTGCCATCCTGACGCCCCCTGCCACGCCCCCTTGCAGGACACGGACATGGACATGGCCACATGTGCAATGGCCACACATACGCACACACACACACAGGCACACATGCAAAGTGTTGTGTAAACAAGTCAGTTGGCCGGCAGCTGCTGGCGGGGTTTTTAGGAAGAAGACCAAGAAGAAGGAACTCGGCCAAAAGGATAAGCCAGCTGAAATCAGAAATCAAGGTGCCACGCCCCCTTTTTCGGACCCGCCCACCGGCGTCCAATTGTGCTTTGTTTGCCCCCTGCTGGCAGGATTCCACCGAAACCACCTTGACTCGTTGTCGTCGTGAGTGGCTTTAATATTTTTCAGCTGACGCTGCTTCTAATGAAAGCTAGAAATGATGCCACCGCTGCCGCTGTCGCTGTCGCTTCTTCTTATTCCCGCTTCCGTTTCCTCTAAAGCGTCTTCCTATTAGTCTAGTCGTGCACTCAGAAAAAACTAAGTTCTAAAATAATTGGTGTAAAGATAACTAACTACAGTTTACAAGCCTTCTATAAATTTTAAAAAATGTTGGTATTTTTTATTGATTTTCTTTTTTATGAAAAAAGGAGCAATCTTTTAATAAAGCTAAAAAAAAATATTAAAAAAAAATAAAATTTTTAAATATTATTAAGCTTCTTCAAAAAATGTTGTTTGTTAAAACCAAAGCCCACTTTAGTTATCAAAATATATTTGCTAAATATATTTTAAATGGTATTTTTTGTTTCTTTGAATCTTACATAACACATGAAATGTAAATTGAGAATTAATATACAGCAAGCCCTTCACCCCGTATATTTTTCTTGAGTGTAGTGTTGTCTAGCCCTTCTTTGCCTTTCGCTTGGCATTTTCCACTTAGCTGACTTGGATTGCTCTTGCATTTCGTCCAGTTATTTATGGCCGGGCCGGGTAAACGAGTTCATTTAGCTAATGGCCGCACGCCCAACTGAGCCTACGAGAGATTGCTCCACGAGTCCTTCGGGTCCTTCGAGCGCTCTTTGTGTGCCACAATGGGCATTACAAGTTCTGGCACTGGCACTGGCACCACTAGCACCACTGCCACCACTGGGACATCATCATCGTTGCCATACAAGCGCCAGATTTCAATATTTTGCATAAAATTGGCCGAGCTGGCACATCATTCAGCCCTTACAATCATATAAATTCCCCCTTTCAAACAACGCAGCTTAAGGATAAGTCCAAAAGCATTTCCCATTGTTGTCCTGCTCCCTTTCTCTTTTTTTTTATCCGCATTCATATCCTTCTGCAAGGACCTCTTTCAGTTGTCAGGACAACTATGCGCAACAAGTCCGTCCAGTTTTGGTAAGACTCGGAATTTCCGTCTCGATTCGCTGGGAAATACCTTCATCGCTATTGTTGACATTCACTTTTCTCATCTGCATTAATACGGGTTTTCCGTATGAAAAACCAGAGCTCGAATTCCGATGATAAGTTGTGTGGCATATTAAACACGACATTTTTCACAAGCTTATCGTTGAACATTTGCCATTCTTTATCATAATGTCAGCTGCATTTGCTTGCCAATTTATTGCGCAAATATAAAACTAGAGATTTTTTAAACAAGCAAGGACTTAAATGCCATCAATCAGAGATATTTTCCTTGTTTGCATACAACAAACAAAATAATTAATCAGGCTAAGTACTTGCTCTTGGCAAAGAGAATTTAGAAGGAAAACATTTTTGGGCTAATTGTTCAAAAATTCTTCTCATTATGTTTGGATTCCAGTTCTGGGTCATTTTCTTTGCTTCAGCCACTCTCATTAATTTAAACGATTTTATCAAATATTTAAATATTTTAATGTTTTGCTTATCAAAAGAAAAGCGGGATGCTGCTTTCAATGGTTTATTAATAATAAATAATCATATATTTCTTTATGGGGGATATCTATATGAGTCACCTTTAAACCGAATTACTCTTAGAGAAATAAGATAACAAAACAAAAATCAAGTGAAAATGGTACTTCTAATAATATCTTGTTTTGTAAGCGGAATAAACGAATGTTAAACAGATTTTTAAATACCTTAGTCTTTAATTTTTGTAGACCTTAAAACCTTTAAAAAAAATTTTTTCAACTATCAAAAATTGACTTAAATTGTATATTGAAAACGACACTAACGTACCCTCTATAGAATTTAAGGCCTACACGAAAAAACCTACCCCAAAACAGATTATTTATTGTTTAAATTTTTAATTTCATAGGTAATCAATATTTTTTCCTTCTACAAAAATTACTATATATTGCATCTTTAAAGCACAAAGACTTTAAATGTAAAATTCCGAAAAATATTTATAGCTTGGAGCACTCACCTTGGAACTCCTTGCGCGCTGCACTCACTGACGTCACGATGTTGGCCACGTGCCCCAGCACGGTGGCAAATAGCATCAGTCCGAAGAGCAGTTGCAGGATGACGAAGACATACTCGCCCTTGGAGCGCGGCTTGGGCAGGTCCCCGATGGTGGTCAGGGCGAGGGTGCACCAGTAGTAGCTCTGCAGGTACTGCTTCACCACGTCCGCCGATTCCGAGTCGTGGTAGACCCAGTTGCGGGATCCAAAGCCGTTGTTCTTGTGGATGATGTGGTAGAGGCAGCCGTTCCAGTGGAATATCACAAGCAGGTAGTGGATGAGCGCCGTGCTCCGGAAGAGATTCGGATAGTTGGTGTGCCGCTCGGTCCGATCCATGAAGGCCCAAAACCGGTAGATCTTCACCAGCCGGAAGCTGCGCAGGATCGAGTTGAAGCCGATGGACAAGTAGAGGAAGTCCAGCGGCAGCAGGCACAGGCAGTCGATGTAGAAGATAGTCGAGTTCATGTAGTGGGTGCGCAGCTTCAGTGCGTCCGTCTGCAGGACCCCGTCCTCCAGATATCCGGTGCGAAAATGGAACAGGATGTCGATCAGATACAGGAAGTCGGACAGGTAGTCCAGGCAAAACCAAATGGCGATCGTTCGCCGATTGATCTCCTGGAAGGCGAAGCGGTAGATTATCACCCAGAAGTTGTACAGGAAGGCCATGGAGACCACCATGGACCAGTAGTAGCACAGTCGCCCCGCCGGATCGAAGACGAAGTGCAGCTTCCTGGCCGCCGTCGCCGCTCGAATCCTCTGGGAGGCGGTTCGCCGCGGCTTCTGGTGGTGCGGCTGCCCGCCGTGCGACCCCGCCCCACTACCGCCCCCGCTGCCAACACCACCGTGGTGCGGGTGGTGCGGATGCCCGCCGTGGGGCGGACCCGGCCCCCCGGGCCCCCTGCGAGGGCGGGCCGTGCGCGTGCGGGTGGTGCGACACCGTCGAGGCCGAGTGCTGCAGCTGGTAGGGGTGGTGCGCCTGCTGGGCGGCGTTGTGGTGCCCCTGCTGTTGCGATCGGGAGCGCGGGTAGCTAAAAGAAATTTTAAAAATATATATAACTAGCTATAAAAACACGTAATTAAAAAAAAATATTACTAAGCATAAATATGCTCGTTGATACTTGAATCACTTATGGAAAGAAAAGTTCAATGTTTTAAAATGTGTACAGTTTTGTTATAATATTAAACATATTTTAAATTAACTGCTTGTTATTAATGTATTTAAATACATCTTGAAGAAACAAACAAACTTAATAATAATTATAATTATGTAAAATATTTGTGTAATGTTTTTTGTTTTCAAAAGCTGGATAGTAATTTATAAAAGACAAATATAATAGTCAAATAAAATATTAATTCTCCATTTAAAATAAAAGAAATGAGAAAGTTTTTAATTTTTTTTTATTTTTATTAAATATTTATTATTTATTTATTTACTATTTATTACTTACCGATCTGTGCCGTTGCAGTAGTTGCCACCGTACTGGTTGTGGCCGCCCATGGCCAAACTGGTGGCTCCGCCGCCGCCGGCCAGCGTGTTATCCTGCGAGCCGCGTCCCGTGGAGCGGTTCCAGGTGCCCAGGAGCGGCTGGTCGCCGCTGGCAGCCGCTTTCAGGCGGCCCCGCGACTTGTTGCGTTGCTTGTTGTGCAGAAGATCCATTTCTGAGGCAGTGCTTACGGTGGCCATGTGCGAGTTGGAGGCCCTGGAGGCGCATGGTGTGGCCAGGCTGTCGTGCGAAGTGAAGAAACCTTGTTGCGAGACACTCTGCCCGAATTTCGGCTGGGTCATGCCAAACTTTGGTCCTAGATCTGCGCGTGGAATAAAAAATAGAAGGAATATCATGAATAATTGTTTATAAAATATCAATTATTAATAAATAATGGACAGGGTATGAGCAGTTGGCTGTAAATCAATCAATCTGTTGGTATAAAATAAAATCTAGAGTATCAAAGGTTAGGGACATGTTACTTTGAAAAATCCCAGCAATTTCGAAGACTAAACTTAAAATAATATTTTAATATTTTTGAAAAAAGACGTTAAAATTTTAAAAAATGTTTAAATAGTAAAATGGTTTAAGTTAATTTGTATTGTATTACAATTTTACATTATTAATTTTTGTGATATGTGGGTGTTTAATTTAAAGAGTTTTAGGCTGAATAGTTCAATTGATAAAGAGTTAAGGGTTAAAAATATGTTTTTTAGGAATAGTAAGTCAAATGTCTTCTGTGAAATTGCTAGTTATTTTTCCAAGTGTTTGTCTTGCTTTTCAGGGGAAGTGGGATCACGCGGCCTTACCGAGAAAGCTCTGGCGATCGATCGAGAAGCGCCGAAGGCTCCCCAGATCGATGAACTGCTCATCGCCGGCCATTGTGGGTGTGATCGAGAGTTCGGTTGTGTGTATGGCGGCACCACCACCACCACCTCCACCACTGCCACCGCCACCGCCACCACCGGATGAGCCAACCACTTGCGAGGCCATGCCACCGCCACCACCCGCCGAGGCACCGCCACCCGCTGAGATGCCACTCGAACCACCGCCCACCGTGAGATTCGTGCAGGTGGTGCCACCACCCGCACTTCCGCCCATTCCGGCGCCCAAGTATCCAGCATTGCTCGCATAGAAGCTGCCATCCAGTTCGGCCATCTGCTGCTCGTAGGCGGTCAGCGGGTTGATTGACCTCGAGCTGTGGTCCCGATAAAGTGGGCGTGGCGAGGGCATCAGCGAGGGGTTGAGCAGCCCATTGAGCGAGAGGCGGGGCTGCATGATCTCCGGAAAACTCGCCCTCGGCGCTAATCTATTGCCCAAGTTTGTCTGAGATGTTGCTGTTGCTGTTCTATTGTTGCTGTTGCACTTATTGCTGTTGCTGTTGCTGTTGCAGTTGTTGTTGTTGTTGGTAGTGCTGCCGTTGTTGCAGCCGTTGTTTTGACGTATTGCGACTGTTGTTTTGGTCTGTGGCCTGTCATTTTGAGCGGCAAAAGCCGAAGTATGAGCCTTCTGAGCCGGAGCCACAGCCCTCAGCCATCGTTCATCATCGTCATCATCGCTATAACCATCGACATGGTTTTCGTTGTCATTGCCATCTGCATCACCATCGCCATCTATAGCCGTCGACCGCCTCAAACTGGGCGTGGCAGCTGCAATTGCCAGCATTATTTCACCATTTTTTTGTTGCCATTGATTGTCGTTTAATTTGTAATTGGTTTCGCATTGATTTGTGTTTTCAAATGGGAAGAGCACGAGAAATGTGATCAGAGTATAGAGTATAATTAATTGCAAATTCTCCATTAATAACATTTTTGGTTTTTGTTTTTTTGTTTTTTTTTTTTTTCAAGAGGGTTTTGGAGGCACAAACACACACACAGAAATGAGCGAATAAATCACAATAAGAACGAGTGAAAGAGGATTGGTTTGGTGGTTTGGTGGTGGTTTTGGTGGCTACAGGTGGTTTTTGCTGGTTGGTGGTGGTGGTGTTGAAAGTGTTGGTCTTTAACAACAACTCAACTGCAATAACGTTATCAAATAGCAACAGCATTCAACAAGAAACAACAACGAGATGTACAAGAACAAAGGTATTCGTTTTGCTAGGACTTAAATGTATTTGGGACTGGGTGTAATTAAGTCTTACCAGGGCTTAAATTGTACACAGAAAAAAATATGGGATATTTGCTAACATGGTCTTATTGAAATTTAGGTATTTTTCTTAACAGTCTTACGTATAGTTACACAAAGTATAGATTTTTTAGGAACTTTATGAAATGAACATGAATTCAATTATTTTGAAAGTGATTGAATGATGTGCTAAGGTGATCAATGGTTTTTCTCTGTGTACATCTAGCATGCAAAGCTTATTGGATTGTCAGGTGATGTCTAAGTACCTTTCGCACCAAAGTTACTCAGCCTCCATTTCGAGCCCCCCGGAAATGTGCTAATAAAGTTAGATTTAATTACGTGTGCCCGAATGGAGCATGCAACAAGAAAAGGCAAGAATGTGAAGAGAGGGGGAAGGGGCAACACACACACGCCGTAGGAGCTTCATTACTTTTAACCAGCTGCCTGGCAACTGCCACTTGGAAATTCATGAGCTGCCACACGCAAAAGGGTCCCGTGCAGATTGGCCCAGCAGCTCCTGGCCAAAAAGACTGGCTCAAGTGCCACTTGACTGTCGAACAGCCAGACAATGGCCAAAGCTGTGTTGGCCTCCAGTATTTGTATTTCTATATGTATATGTATCTCTATCTCTATATGTATATGTATCTCTATGTGCTTGTGTGTCTGTGTATCTGCGGTGTCGCCAGCGAGCTGCGTGCGGCGCCAATTTATTTCTATTAGGAGACGTTCGTGTCCTCCGCCTGTTGCTCCTCTCGAATAGATTGGATACCTGCCCCCAGCTGAGTGCTCGGCCATTGATTATTGGCAGACCGCTTTTAATTATTGCTCAGCTTCTGGCCAGCGTAATTCAATTAGGCCACCAAAACAATGATGCTGAATAGATTGCCCCCAGTTCGAGTTTCATTCGCGGCGCGTCGCAAGTTAAATGCAAAAATTGTCAATTACTTTGGGCTTGCCACCTGCCACCTGCCACCTGCCACCGCTGCTCCTTTCCACACCTTTTATCTTTTTTTGGAGCGGTCTCGTCTAACATGAATTTGCACTTTGCTCGCCGGGCAATAATTTCCAATTAATTCGCGCTTAATGGCAACATACAAATCAACTTGACCGCGCTTATTTATTAACTAATTCCAGAGCTTTCATGGGATACTTCTGCGGCTGGCAAGCCGGACAAAATAAATGTTGTTTAGTTCCGAACGCATTAATAATACATTTCTGGGCTTTCACTTCATCCCTCTTGAATCAAATGTAAATAAACGAAAAGTTTATCGTGCTTAAACACTATTTTTAATCCGCTTTTGGCTATGAAAGTTAGATTTAATTGAGGAGAAAATATAAGTACACTTTGTTGCAGAGTAAATTAAACACGAAATCTGGGCCAGCAAAAAACTTTGGCTTCATTTCCAAATTTTAGTACATTTAATTTAATGACCTATTAAATTGAATTACATATTAAATTATCATTACTTTTACTAACAAATAAATTAGAAACCCAAAAAACATTGAAAACAACCAGACATTTAATAAATTCCTAAAACTTCCACTAATAATTTAAATAACCAGGCACTTTACATGATAATTGGTAAGCCTTTTGGCCCCGCCATTGATGCTAGTCGGCTCACTTGTTTGATTTCAGTTGTCGCAAACAAACTTTGTCTGCCAGAGTGCATTTCAATGTCTAGTGAAAGTTTGAACTACACGCAAACAACGTCAATGTGCGAGTGTATTGCGTCATTGGCAATTTACAAGCCTGTTGCCCACTTTCAGGCGCTGTCACCGCAAATTGGGCCGTTTCCTTTCCCAGGACATGATGAGAGTGTGAGCGAGAGAGAGAAAGAGAACGAGCAGGATGCAGAAGGAGATGAAAGATGAAGAATGAGATGAGGAGAAAGCACACCCTGGCCCTGACCGCATTCCAAGTTTGCAGACATAATCTTGGCACTATTTAATTTTGCTAATAGTTGAGTGTCATTAATTTAAACTTTTGCGCTTTTTGGTTTGTCTTGGCTGCGGCCTCGGTGATAACAAAAAGCCAGGACGAAGGAGCCGTGGAGCAGTGGAGCGCGGCAGCCGCTGAGTGAGATAGAGCGAAGAAAAATGAAAAATCTTGAGCTTAATGTGCGGCACTTTGTCATGGCCTGCCAGCCGGAAACGGAAACTTGCGACAAACTTGCGCAAAAGTTCAACAAAACGCTTGAACGGCCTCACCCACACACACATATACACACCCATCGCACACACACACACACACATACAGAAAGAGAAAGCTGCTGGGCAACCATGAGCCATGAATTGTCAATAAATTTGCTTGCCGCAAATCATCACAAGTTGGTTCGGCTTCGGTTGCCAAATCCGAAACCCAAAAGCAGCGCGTCATTCTGGGGGGAATTTTTGGACACAAAAACTAAACCTCAATTATTTGCTGCAGCTGCCTCGGCAAATGAAAATATTTGAGAAAACAAAATACTTTGACAAAAGTTTGGCGAGCAAACTTTACTTAAACATACTTGAGGGCCTTATACAAACACGCGGCCGGAAAAACGAAAAGGGGTTTTCGAGGGCGGAGGAGGGAGGTGAAGTGGACCAGGCTCAAAGTGGAAATGGAAACTTAAACGACACAAAAAGGAAGTCGAGCCATAAAAACATTACGCAGAACAAACTTCAAACGCCTTCGGGAGAAGGCCGTTCAGAAGCACAATATTCAGCTGCCTGATGAACCGAAGCAAAGTGAAGCTACCTCATTATTACCCGAGCTATAAGTGTTTGGTGTGCTCAAATACTTTTAAGCAAGTTTGCCAAACCAAAAAGGGGATTGAAGTGCCATTAAGATACTAGTAATTAAGATAAGTGTTGAATATAATATAACTGTGAGTGTTGACTGTTTTTAAATAAAATAAACGTTGAAAATGTATCTATTCTTTTCGAGATTTCTGACTCAGCATGGTTGGCATTAAAAAATTTTTGTTGCCATGAAAGTTTAATTTTTTTTTAAATATGTAATTAACGATAAGGTGTGAATTAGAAATAAAAGAAAACTTCTGTTTTAATAATTGGTTTTTTAAGCCAATAAATTGCATTCTGTAAAATATGAAATTTTTTTATGGATTACAAGTGGTAAGTTTCTCTAACAACAAGAAACATTTTTTTTCTTGTGGCGTAAATTATTGTTTTACCTCCGTTTGGATACATGCTTAAAACTCAATCACTTTACCCATTTAACATCTTTCAACATTTAAGATAAATTTTTTAAGTTTTCACTTTTGTATGGCGGTGAAATACCAAAATGTAGCCATATTATTGATGCTGGTGGTCTGTGTCGAAGCGCATCGAATGAAGCGATTATCATTGCCCGAATTCCACGGCGAGGAGACCTTAAATCTGGCCAAGTACGTCGTCTCCATTCGATCAAGAACCCCTTACAAGTATTTCGGCGACAATCACTATTGCGGTGGAGGTCTTATATCCCCCTCCTGGGTTATCACCTCCGCCCACTGCGTCATGAGGTAGGTGGCTTAAGCTCTTCAGTTGCAATGGGAATGGGAAAGCATTATTTCCTGGCTTCCTGACTGCTATCCCCCTTTCTTAGCCCGACCAAGATAATGTTTAGGGCGAGATTGCTGCTGGTGGTGGCCGGATCCCCGCACAGGATGCGATATATCGCTGGCAGAACCATCTGCATGCCGGTCAAGGAGCTCCACGTTCCGAAGAACTTCACCATGCACAACACCTTCAACATGGCATTGATAAAACTTCAGGAGAGTTTGCCCACAAACGATCCGCGAATCGGATTTCTTCATCTGCCATCGGAACCGCCCACAGTGGGCGGCATGCACTCTGTTCTCGGCTGGGGAAGAATGTATCCGGTAAGAGCTTTTTTGACATAGAAAATTCTAATTAAATTAAATCAACAAAAAAGATGATTTTATAATATGTATTAAAGTCTTTCTTTTACAGCCTTTACCTTTTTAAAAGTTTTTTGTATCATAAAGAAAGTAACTTGTCCATTTTGGACAATTCAATTTATGCCTAAATAAAAATTTAAGCATTAAGTTATACAATCAATGGCTTTCCAAATGCAAATACCTTCTACAAATTGCTCACTGATTCATAGTGTTAAAAGCTGTTTCTCACTGTAAAAGTATCTTTTGCCTCACCACTTCTAACATTTGATAAACATTAGAAATCTTAATACTGACATACTGAAATGTTTTAGGGTGGACCCCTTTCAATGAACATCTATCACCTGAAAGTGGAACTCCTGGATAACGGGTTGTGCAAGAGGCACTTTCATCACTACCCCGAAGGAATGATATGCACTGGAAAGAATAATTGGACGTCTGAAGCCGATCCCTGCAATGGCGACATCGGATCCCCTTTAATAAAAGGAATGGTGATTGTCGGCATAGTCGCCTATCCGATTGGCTGTGGCATCAAAATCATTCCGACCGTCTATACGGACGTATACAGCAGCATAAAATGGATCCGGGCGACGGCCTTCGGAATATCCAGCACCATTAGCCCGCTATCATTGATTGCCTTACTGGTGATCGGTTTATCCTAGCCAGTAAAGCACAAAATGCCAAATTATTTTACTTACTGATATTAATAATTCCAAATTTTTATGTCATTTTGTAGAGTGTACAAAAAAATATATGTTTTTCATTGTGTATTAATTTATTTCATACATAAGTTTTTAAAGCAAAAATCCGAAAACTTTTTAAGGAATTCCTTAAAAGAGTGAGTAACAAAAACTTTAAATTTATTGGAGTATTGTTTAAGTTGTTTTTCAGTAAAAACAAGTGAAAATAAATCTCTGTGAAACCTCATTCCCAATTCCGTTGCCAAGTTATCTGCGAAACCTTCTACATTACGGCAGTACTTGGGTTAGATTAACGGGCATAGCCGGCTTGGAAACCACTGGCAATTGGCACGGCTTCTGCCAACAGTGCTGGCCCACTTTTAATTGGCTCAAAGCCCGGCCGAGGACCGCGTCCGTGTGGCTTTAATTGACACGGCCCGCCCTGCTGACCGAAAAAAGGGCAATAAAGCACTCAAAACCTGATTTTCCCCGAGCTGTGAAATGAAAGTGGAAATTCGATACTGGCTGGCCAGAGTGAGTGGAAACGTTTGATGCGAGCGAGAATTGAATTTGCGTATCTGGGTGAATCTGAGGGAGGGGCTTTTCCATTCCGGGGAATGGCATTCATAATGCCTGGCGATAGGGAACACGAATCCAGCTTATGTTTCTCAGCAGGCAACAAAGGCCATCCACCTGCTCTCCATTTAAGTAATGAATTTTGTGCATCTTGCCCTCGTTTTTTTGTTTTTTTTGTTTGCTCCCAAAGAGCTCCGTAGGCAAATGCGTAATGACAACATTAAGGGGTTATATACCTTTTTTTTTTCAAAAAAACGAAAAATTTTTTTTAGCTGAATCCTAAAGTATATCCCCTAGAGAACATTTTCCCAAATTTTTGAAGAGATCCGAATAATAGTTCGATAAGAAAACAGCCTTTTGAGGCGCGGTTCGTCACTCTTTGTAACGCAACGTAAAACTTTGAATGCGATTATCTCAAAGTCGTTTTTTTCCAAAAGTGCCTTTGCTGTGACCGCGATTGCACAAGAACTATTTGATCGATCTTCTTCAATTTTTTTTTTAAATATTCGTAATGATTGTGCCGAGTTCGCCATTGAATCAGTTTTTCTGCGGCAATTTCGATTTTGCAGTTAAGAAATTTTTAATAAAATTTTTAGAGCTCGAAAAATCAATTTTTTGAAAAAATTGTTACTGTATGCAGAAAAAACCAAATATTCTTGAAGTAATTCAATGACGAACTAGAAATAATACTAAACTAATAAAATTTTTTTGGTTTATTGATTTAAGTTGACCCGCTGGACTTCCATCGTGGTCACCGCAAGCCGCTATAACAAAAAAAGGGTTATGAGAGAATTGCCATAACTTCGAAAGTTATTTATATTTTTTTAAGAACAAACGTTTGTTGTGTCTATAAAAACATGTACTATCAATAAATAATAACCTCAGTATCATAAAATAATTGCTACACACCTGAAAAAAAATCCAAAGTTCCCTCATTTTTTTCGCTCAAAAAGGTATATAACCCCTTAATGCAAACGACTTCATTTAATTAAACGCCCTTTTTCGGGCAAAGGCAAGTGGGAAACTGAGAAAACTGTATAAGGCGCCATCATCATTGCGACTCATTGGGACTCATTGCCACCATCGCATTACCCATGCCCATGCCGCACACCCATGCCACACCCACATCTACACTCATTCTGGTCCTGCTCATTCTTGAACGCCTTGCCCAAATGGCGAAGGATCTCGTTCTGGCATCCCGGCATCCTCTGCCACTCGCACTCGGCGTTTTGGTATGCATGAATGCGTATTAAGGTGCGATAGGGGGCGTGCCACACTGCCTGTGTATTTGTGCGCACGTGCGTGTAAGCGATGCGATGCGAATATACGAGTATTTGTGTATGAGTGGGCGTGGCCAGGTGGGCCAGGTGGAGGAGCAGCAGCTGGCCCAGATGGAGCAAATGGAGCAGCTGTGACAAACTCGCCGGCGAAGCAGCCAATTCAATTAACAGTCGGCGGCACCAAAGTTGACAACGGAATAAGCCGTCGAAATTGCGGCAATTCTCGCCGCGGAAATAGCAGATGGTCAAGCATGATAGCTATGAAGAGTTTAAAACACAGTCCACACATTTCAAGGGAATACTGTCAAAATTGATCCCACGAAAAAAAAGGGAAGTTTTTAACATTAACTATTGACTATGTTAAAATAATTTTGTAATTCATTTGTAATACATTTACATTTATATTTTATTTATACATATGTAAAGCAAATTAGTTTTATTTATAATTTAAATGACAATAGAAACAGACAAAGCTGTCAAAATTTATTACATTTTTTACAGCATTGCGACATTTTGCCTTTTCAAAGGTAGAATTGTTTAGATTTATTTAAAATGTAACTAACTCTCATAACCAAAAGCAAGTTTTAAATTTTTGTACAGTCCGACAGATTAAACAAACAAGTTAGCAAATTTATTTAAGTGAGCACTAAAGTGCATAATTACTTTATTCGGTTTTAATACGGCTTAATTTTGTTGGCAAAGCTTCGCTGTATTTTCCGATTGACAGTTTATGCAGAAATGTAAAGTGTATAAGGCTTAAATAATTTTTAAATGTTTTTATTTACATAATGGTTAAGCTTGGCAAACGTTCTTTTTTATACCAATTACACTAACTAATTTACATTGAATTAATATGCATATAATAAATATACATATTTCATTTTCATAAGGCAAAGAATATTTATTTAATTTTCGTTTAAATATTTTCAAAATGAATTAATGAATCTATTAGTTTTGCTATCATGTTTAAAAATCCTAAAGGGACAATTAGCAGTACTTTTTTCATTAAAATCACGGTTTCGCGCATGTGGGAAAATGCCTTTCGACTAACGGCGCTAAATGTACTTTAATTTTGCAGCGCTTTCAATGTATTTAAGTGACTCAACTCATTAGCAGCGAAGCAACATGGATGCCACACAGCTGCTGCAACCGCAAAAGCAATAAAAAGCGCGGGGGCGAAAGGGGGCGTGGCAGAAAGGGGGTTAAAGCCAAACTGTTCATTTGCATGCGCTGGCGCTCATTACATTTACATTAAACTTTTAATATGCGCGGACATGAGGGCCAAAAGGATGCGAGTATGGTGGCATGCAGTCCCTCCTCTTCGCCAGGATATTCGAGTTGGAGTTCGGAGTTCGCAGTTCGCAGTTCGCAGGATCTCGGGTGCACGAATGCAATGCGGGTGCAACACTGAAATTGAGTGACAAGCGCTGGCGGCTGCCCGCATCTGAATATCTTTATTTCCCTGGGAAATGCGCAGTTAATTACATTTTGGCCAGCTGCACAATCGTTTCAGCATCTTTCTGGCCTGATCCCGATCCACATTCGCAAATCCCAATCTGAATTCCAATCCAGATCCAGCGATTGGGGACCATTAGCTTACCGCTGAGCGGTGGCTAAGCCAGCTGAAAGGCGTCTGTGCCTCGCGGTTCCATTGACATTGTCCTGGGACATTGGCTTGAATGGCAGATGAGCTCTCACCGCTCGCTTGTCGACAGTCCCACATGGCGTATACGTGATACACAGATATACACGTTTATTGCAAGTGTTAAAATGTGTAGTAAAAGATTTTTGAAGGTGTTAAGAGGTGGTTGTGTTAACCAAAGTGGTGTAAGAAGGTTAGGAACTCATAAGTAGATTTCAATGTTATATCTGTGGTGTTAGCATTTGTTAAGTTTTGTCATATTTATTTTTAAAAACATCTCCCAATAAATAACTACCAAGTTTGTGGAGGTGATTAGGATTTCATCTTCATTTCTGACCATTTTATTAATATTCTTGTTATTTATAACCAGAATTTGGCACTCTACATTTTTCTGATTTTTTTCATTTTTGCGAATTTGTATTTTACTTCAGTTTTTTTTTCAGTGCCTGTCTGCTTAGCATCGAAAAAATCCAGGAGGAAGCGGCGGTCACCCTCGACATGTGTGTGTGTGTGTCTGTTTAAATGTGTGAGTGTGTCAGTCTGCTTGTTCTCAAGTGTAAGTGCATTTCGTTATGAGCTTAGCAGTCTTATAAATGTTTGCGTATTTGTTTGCCTCGACGACGTTGCTATTTACTTGATGTGACCTCTGCTGCGCTCCGTTCACCCGCTCCGAACCTCTCGGCTAAGCAACTGCACTTTCATCTGTAACTGTATCTGTATCTGAATCTGCCACTGTAGCTGCGCATATGTATCTGCATCCGCAGATGCCACTATGTGTGTGTGCGCTGGGGGTTAAGACAGCGCTCACAGCACATAAATATCTAAAGGATTCTTGAGTAACTTCTCTAATGGATTTGGGTTAAAAATATACACAAGGGCATGTGGAGGGCAAACAGATATGCACACACACAAACACACGCCAAGTCATACAAAAGAAGTTCTCTCTGTCTTTGTATGTGTGTGTGTGTGTTTAAGATTTACAAATTAGTTTAATTTAAATTAGAGTGCGAGCACTTAGCAGTCAGTTGCGAGTAAAATGTCAATTGCAGCCACTACAGTGAAACTTGCCCAGATTAAAAACACATATAATTTGTCTAGCATACATGAAATGCCAAGATTTACCAGACAAAGACAAGATGAATTATTCCGTATGTTTTGTGGAATTTGCACAAAACCGTGGAATTTATTATAGCCAGCGAGTTGGGCGGAAAATTCAGATCTATCCCCGCAGGCTTTCCTCGCAAACATCAAAAACAAGGAGCAAATTGAAATTGCAATGGTAATTATTTAGGCCTTACCCTCCAAACACACACACACACCCGCACACTCGCACACACACAAAGAACAATGGGGCATATTAAACGATTTTAAGGAGAATTTATATATATCCATATGCGTATGCATGCCATAAAGTTGTCCAGGGCCCGTTGTCCGTTGTCCGCTGTCCGCTGTCCGTTGTCCGTTTGTCGGTGCTCCGTGTTCCATGTCCTGTGACCATGTCCCCGTAATGGGACGAAAGTAATAAGCGTGGGCCACCAGGGCCAAAAAGCGAATGCTGAGGGGACCAGCTTATTGTTTACGACGTGCTTAGTGGCAAACT